ACAACTCAAATTGATCCATTTCCATTAATCTATACCTTGCCACATGGCTCGTGGCTTACCGGCATCTTCACATGCTGTTTGTCATCGTGGCGGTTGGCAGTGTCTCTCTGACTCAGCCTTCCACTTCCCAGCTTTAGTCTCCTCCTTGTCCCGCCTACACTTCCTACCTAGCCAATGGCCAATCAGTGTTTTATTTATCGACTAATTAGCAACACATTTGCCATACAAAACATCCCACAGCATGGAAGCCCTTGTGTATCTGTCTATCTTTGTCTGTCTGTCTGTCTGTGGTGGTGGGGGTGGAGCATGGGGCCTTGTGCCCACTGCACTGAGCTGTACCCTCAGTCCACATATACAGTTGTAAACACCATTATATAGTCTTCTGAGAAGAGTGAAAAACTGTTCCTTTGAGAGCAAATATAATTTTGTTTTGATTTTTTTGTTTGTGAGACAGGGTTTCTCTGTAAAGCACTGGCTGTCCTGGAACTTGCTCTGTAGACCAGGCTGGCCTCGAACTCACAGAAATCTGCCTGCCGCTGCCTCCCAAGTGCTGGGATTAAAGACGTGCGCTACCACCACCCAGCTGGGAACAAATATAATTTATTTCAGCAATCCCCTATTGCTGGACACTGAGGTTGTTTCCAACCTCTTCACTAACTGTGTTTCAGTCACAAAATAATTAAGATTGGATATCCTGGTTCAAGCCCTGCTTCCTCACTTGTAAACCAGGATGAGGAATTCCTATCTCCTTGGATTGGTATGGAGGTTGGGGGATGAGGAGGACTTTTACAAGATATTTGACACAAAGTTAGTTCTCAATAAAACCTCGCTGCTAGCAACACATTCTTGGCACCGTGCACTTTCAAATTTTTACTCTGAAAAAAGCTTGAGAGATTTGCATCTCTATGGTTGCATTCACCCTCCTTATAACCTTGGTTTTTATTAGCTAAGGGTGGCCTGTTTCCTCCCCTCCTGAATGGCTAAGGATGAACACACACATTTTCTAGCTGGGTCACTGGCTGTTTTGGGAGTCACATGGTAATAGTACCCCTCACACCTGGGAGGGCTGGCTCCCCTTTGTGTGTGGGGGCTCTGCAACTGGAGCTTTGGCTGACGTTGGGGAAAGTTCTGTGGGGAGCATGCCCTGTGGCCACATCACCGAGGACGAGGCCATTGCTCCAAGGCAGGCACTCTGTGTCAGCTAAGGCACGGCACCGACACCTGAGGGTGCACACCACACCATCTCTCCTTACTGCATCCCGTGAGTCATCCTGTGCCCTGTCTTACAGAGGAGTAACCTGGGACTCAGAGAGTCTTTATCAGCAAGGATCTTGCCAAGGTCACTCAGCTTCCAAGAGCCCTGGAAGTCTCAGCCTGTCTCCATGACCACACATCAGCACAAGGGGGCTTCTTGGGTGGGCAAATGGAATGGAGTCCAGGAGGTTCAGTGGACCTCTGATCACCTCAAATATATATTCTCTCTCTCTCTCTCCTCTCTCTCTCTTTCTCTCTCTCTCTCTCTCTCTCTCTCTCTCTCTCTCTCTCTCTCTCTCTCTCTCTAACTTCATTTATTTTTATGTGTGTAAGTGTTTCCTCTGCATGTATGTATGTGTTCCATGTGTATGCCTGGTGCTCACCTAGGCCAGAAGATGGCATTGGATCCCTTGGAACAGGTGGTTGTGAGCCATCATGTAAATGCTGGGAACTGAACCCTGGTTCTCTGCAAGTACTGCAGCAGTACTCTTAACTGCTGAGCTTTCTGTCCAGCCTCTTGGTGACCATCTCTTGAAGCCCCAGATCCAAAGTTCAGAGAAAGAACACCTATGTCCCTAGTGACCCAGGAGTCAGAGGTCCTAACCAGGCTTCCATCACTCTCTTTGATCCTCTGTGGCTTCTGGCCCTGCCCAGACGCACTGTGTCCTTTGACCTGGAAGGTCAGCCTCCTGGGCAGGAAGAGAGAGTGACCTTCCCAGGGAAGGAGAGCCAGGACAGAGGAGGGTCTGAGATGGATTGACAGCCCCACTCCTATGGTGTCTGACGCTGATTTTTCAAGAGAGCTGGGCTGCTCGTGGCTCTGCTGTACCTCTGCGGCTCCTGAAGGATCAAGGGAGGGCAGGATGGCTAAGCAGTGGCAAGGAGAGGGCAAAGGTCCAACGGAATGTCTGGTCCCAAGGCCAAGGCAACAGGCAAAGGCTTGTTGTGCTCCAGAGGCTGATGGCCAGGGTACAGGGTTCTTGTCCGGGTGGCTAATATCTTCCTTCTAGGCCTCAGTATCCTCCTGTGAGCAGTGGAAGAACAGTCCTGATCTACAGCCAGTTCTAACTACATCTGATGAGAAGGCGAAGGAAGCGCACAGGAGGCCCTCAAGGGGGAGCAGAGCCTCCTTTTGCAAAGGAGTTGTAGCCTAGGCCTTGGGCTCCACCCTGGGTTCCCCTGCACACAGGCCTTAGGATCTCCACAGGCTGGCTGGGGTGAGCACTAGGCTTGGTTGGGAGGAGCCAGGTCCTCGTGGATCTGAGTCTCTACCATGTTCACCAGCTTTGTGTCCTTGGGCAAGTTGGGTGGGCTCTAGGGACCTTATGTACTCAGCTGTGAGATGGACACCTCACACCAGTCTTGATGACCGTTAGGGGCCTACAGACAGCTACCTGGGCAACTGGCGAGGTGCAGTGGATGATCTGGAATGCATCTGTGGTGTTTCTGTCATGTGTCGACCCATGCCAAATCCTTAAGAGTCAGGAGTCAAGAGACCAACGCTGGCCATATCATCACCTGGTGAGCACCAGGACAAATGGCAAGTCCCAAGGAGGTCACGCAGGAGCCAGGTCTGCAGGCAGCTCAAAGTCAACAGGGAGTCGAGGTGAATATTGGCGAGAAGCAGCAATATTGTTGGGGAGCACTCGTTGGGGAGCATTTCCTGGGGAGCAGTGAGGAGGTGGAGACCGGAGGAGGTGAGCACAGAGGGAGTGAGGGGGCTGGAGCAGGGCCCGCTGCCGCTTCTGGTTGTCCTAGTGCTGTGGACAAGTGTCCTGAGTGGCAAAAAAAATGTATAAGAAGCTGTGTTTGGGAGCTTGTGTTTGAGAAGATCCCATGAGGTTGTTTGTTGGGGGTTGAAGGGCAGGGCTGTCCAGGTGAGGAAGATTCTGGAAGATATGTGGGGAGAGATAAGGCCAGAATCTGGTGAAGTTTAGGAAACTCAGAAAATGGGTAGATGAGTTCCATGATGGAAGGGAGTGGCCAGGTGGACCACCCAGTCTGGCCTGAGAACCTGAATAAAGAATGGACCTATCTGAGGACAGGAGAAAGCTACTGTGTCCAAGCTCAGTTTGGTTGGGGCTTTGGCTGAGTAAATCAGGGATGGTATTGCTGCTGGAATACCATGTGAGCAAGGGCAGGGAGGGGGAGGAGAAGGCCCAAGTGGCAGGGTGAAGGACAGTAAATACTGGCCGCTGCCTCTGAAAAAGGCCGAGGGTGTGCCAGCTGCGGCAGCCACCTGGTGCTGATGGGTTAATGATGGGGGGCGGTGGGTGAGTGAGTGACAGGATGTCAGAGGGGCCCGCCTCCCACATAATGGGCCACATGGTCGCCAGGGCAGCAGGGAAGGCCTTGGCAAGATTTGGCTCTCTTCCATTAGTCCCTGGGGGTTGCAGCGGGAACCCTACCACCCAGATGTGGATACAAGGCAGGGACAGGGACGGAGGGGTTGAGAGGTCACTCAGTTGAAGGTGCTTGATGCTGACTTAGCCAGACTCTGGCAGTTGGCCCTCAGAGACTCCATTCCATTCATTCATCAGCCACCAGCCCTTGGAGGAGCCCAGAGACTCCCACCCAAGGAGCCACCCAGGGGCAGAGACTGTGGTGCTGAACTAGCTCCTGAGGTACCGTACGCTGGGCACTCTGCCCTCGAATTGACAGCTGAGCAGTGGCCACTCTGTTTAGCCCTGCTTCACAGAGGGGAAAACTGGCTCAAGGTGGTGGAGCCATCCAGGTCACAGAGCCTGCAGGAGGTGAGGCTGACATTGAATCCCCTGGCCTCTGGACTAAGATCCCTTCTCTCCATCGCACTTGGGTGGCCCCTAGCCTGGCTACTCCCTTGAGGTGCCCTGAGGGCTTTCTGCATGTCAGAGGGTTGATTTCATGTCTTTTGTGCTTCCTGACTTGACGCTCTGGGTCGGCAGGGGCGGCGTGGGGAGCCAGGAGCAGGCTCTGGGCAAATCCTGCAGCTTCTTCCCTTGTACCTGGCTCCTGCCTCTTCCTGGCTGCTCTGATCCAGCCCAGATCCTGAAGGGTAGGGAGCTCCTGTACCTTCTTCCCTGGCCCCCGAGTCCTCTCACAGCACACCTTGTTGTTTTCAAGGCCCCAAGCAGCTCCCACATCTTTGAAGCTGCCTTTCTAGAATGTCCCGCCTCAGCCCTGCTTGTGGCTTGCTCTTGCCTCTCTCTCCTTCCGGTCCCTTGTGTGGCTGTCGGCTCCCCACCCAGACCTTCCTGAAGGTCCTGCCTCACCTCCCCATCTTGTTACTCTCAAGCCTGTGTCTTAGGCCAGGGCACATCCCACATCTGGGACCCGAAACTGCTGGTGCTCAGAACCTGCTTGGTTCTATAAGTCCTCAGGCTCAGAAACACTGGAAGCAGCTGGGATGTGGGTCACCAGCCTGTCTCACACACTCTGCCTCAGGCACACCTGAAAGCCTACACACTTGTGAAGAGCCAGATGTGGTATGTCTGTGCCCTGCAGTGCCTCAAACAACTGCTACACTCCTTCCATAGAAGCCAAGGGAACTGGGGAGCCACAGGTTGACCATCAAGATAATTCTTTTATTTTTTTATTTTTTTTTTTTTTTTGGTTTTTTCGAGACAGGGTTTCTCTATGTAGCTTTGCACCTTTCCTGGAACTCACTTTGTAGCCCAGGCTGGCCTCGAACTCACAGAGATCCGCCTGGCTCTGCCTCCCAAGTGCTGGTACTTCATCTCTGGGGCTCTGAGGGGGAACCCACCGTAGGGGACATTCATCTCATCCTCCAGTTCTTCCAAGTTACCTAGAAAGTTCCACTACAGGTGTGTCTATCTCCAGGTATGGACAGCACGTGGAAAGAAATCCCAGAATCCTCCCTGAGATGACGAGACTTGTGGTAGTAGATGGGACAGAGTTAAAGCTGGAAGGACATGAACGAGCTCTGAGTCTGAGTCCGCCTTGTTAAGGTCTGCACTGAGACCTACAATATGGGAGGAGAGGATCTGATAAAGTCATTGGTGGCTGAAGAGGACGCATGGGGGCTGCAGGCTCCCCTTCCTGGGTCCAGCATGCAATGTGATTTTAGCCAAACGCCTGGCCTTTTCTGGACTTCTGTCTCCCCGCCAGTCCATGCAGGGTTGCATCTAAGGTCCTAAACCCCAAGGCCTCAGTAGTTTCTGTGAGCTCTTCCCGGTCAGTGCAGCCCCACAGTTGCCCAGCAAGGGGTTAAGCTCTTGGCGCCAGCTCCGCACAGCAAACCCCCTCCTTTTCACAAACACTTGTAGGAAATCAGGCTGGGCGCTTCCTGTGAGAAGGAGGAGGCAAGGCCAGGCCTCAGCTGCAGGGGCGGGGAGAAGTGAGGAGCGATGCTTGTCTGTGAGCTGAGGCGGTTCTGGCTGGCAGAGCAGTCTGGAGGCGGTCCAGGGTGCTGTGGAGGCAGGGGGCTCCCCAGGTTTGAAACAAAGACCTCGTGGGCAGCTCCCCTGAGCCCAGGCCGGCAGGATGGTGGTGTAGTCCAAGTGAGGTAAGGAGCTGAGCCAGGAGGAGGGCCAGAGGGAAGGCCGCCTTCCCTCTGGATGGGCCAGTCATAGACTCCCTGGACAACCCTGGCAGTCAGCCCAGCCCAGCCAGGAAGTCACAGCTATGCAGCTGCTGCCACTCCTGTCCAGCCCTGGGAGCCCAGCCCCCTGGCTAGAGTGGACTCCAGGATGCTCGTGTCCAGCTCCAGCTCTGATTTGGTTCCCTTGGTGAACTTAGACCAGTGTTGGTCCCTCTCTGTGCCCAGGGTGGGTCCATCTCCCGGCCAGTTAGTGCTTGGATTGCTGAGGGTCCATGGAGATGTGCAGGAGTGAGGAGCAGGCCAGGAGACGACACCCCCCTCTCTACACAAGGTCAGGGACAGAGTGTGGATGTTCTGGGGGCCAGGAGGCCAGTTTGGACCTAAAGTAGGGCAAGATAAGAGTCGGTAAAAGCCTGGCCCCTTTTCTCTTCCTCCCTGGCTGCTTGAGTCAGTCAGGGCCAGACTGGGGACATCCATTGTGGGCATCTCCGCTTTCTGCAGGCCAGAGGCCACTCCCTGTGAATAACTGGTCTATGCCCTGTCTCTGATCCAAACTTGCTTTGGAGCCCCACTGCCTAGCCCTTTAGAAGGGCCCAGCAGCTTGATCTGGAGGTCTCCCCCGCTATCCTCCTGCCTCCTACAAGTCTGATTTGCCTTGGTTTAATAGCCACGGTGTTCCTCTTCAATCTGAACTTCCTGGTTGTGAGGCCTCATTAGGTGTCTGCCTCAGTTTCCTAAGGTTAAGGTAGGGAGGGATGCCCTGACTGTCCTTGGTTGGATGGCATGGGGCTTCTGAGGGCCAAGAGTGCTGAAGGCTGTGTAGCCGTACCAAGGGAGGGTCCTCAGACTTCCAGGGCAGGAACAACCCCCCTGCCATTACACACACACACACACACACACACACACACACACACACACACACACACACCCTGCTTGTGTGGAGCAGCGGAGAAGAGGGGAATGCCTAGCCAGCAACTAAACAGAGTCCCTGGAGTGTGTTAGGACATGGAGGACAGGGCTGTATGGGTGTCAGATTGGGGGAGGCAAGGGCACAGAAAAGCAGTGTTTGGTGCTTCCTGGGGATGGGGTGCAGTTTCTCAGGGGTATGTGGGGACCCTTAGCCCAATGTTCCAGCCTTTGGCGGGCCTTAGTTATAGAGGGGCTGGCCCTCCTGGGTCAGGACATAGTTCATATGGCTAGCGTGTTCACCAGCTTCCACTGCTGCCCCGTGATGGCTGTCAGGACCTCGCTGCCTGTGTGTGACACCCGGGGACCAGGCCCTCAGGTCTCCTTGAAGTTCAGCCTGTATTTTCAGACCTCCACGCCTTTGTCTGTGCTGTTCCTCTGTCCTGGATGGCCTTCCTCATTCTCCCCTAGATGTGTTTGGTCTATTAAAGCTGTCCCCAAACTTCCTCCTTCGGTAGCTCTTCTGGATTGCGTCCTTCGTGACGGGCAGGATCTTGGCAAGCTTACGCTTTTCTGTATCCTGGGGCATGAGAACCTCCAAGTTCGTTTGGTGCATCTCATGCCAGTGTGCTCACCAGAGCAGGGTGAGGGGCACAGCAGTGGCTGGGCTAGGTGACCGCTTCTCCCCTGTAGAGAGAGGAGTAGTCAGCCAGTCACACACGCTCGGGTGGCAGTCACACCAGAGCTGGGTTCTGCTTGCCTGATGCTCAGCCTGCTGCTCCGTTGCACGTTTGGCATTGATGTGTGTTTGTTGATTGACTACCTGACTGATGGGTCAGTCCCAGGCTCCACGGCACAGAGAGCTGTGGCTTGCACAAGAGACTAAAGTCTTTCTCAGGAAAAGCTCACAGGTTGAGGCGCCTGAGGGATGGGTGCAAAACTGTAGCTGCTGACCACAGCTGCCTGTGACGTGCAGGCTCTGCTGAGCACAGTGAGATTTCTGCCACTGAGTCATTGCAGAAAACAGGCTCTTCCTCTTTTTGCACGCAAAGGTCTCTGTGATTGGGCAGGCTGCTCTGTGGTGGACTGGGGGGGGGGGGGGGAATAACCTTTCAAAAGTCAGAAAACCACACGCCACAGCCTCTCCTTGCAGAGACATCAGGAGGAGGCAAGATGTGGTTGCACCCGTCTATCTGCACACGCCTCCACACTGGGAGCCAGAAGATGGGAGAAGCCTTGTCGTGGTCCTGGTTTAAAGATTCTGAGGCCCGGTCCCAGGGCCTCTGAGCCAGGATCCTGTAGGCATAGACTGAGTGCTTAGAGAATTCTCACGTATACTCAAGGTCAAGGTCTCTTGTCACCATGGATTTGAGCAGGGGTGCAGGTTCTGTAGGGAACGGGGCGGTACGTGTGTGGTACTGCACATGGCAGAGGTCAGAGGGCAACCTGGAGTACTGAGCCTCCCCTTCTGGTGTTTGAGATGGTCTCTCATTCACTCCTGCACATGCCAGGTTAGCTGGCCTGCGAGCTGTCAACATTCCCTCCTCTCTGCCTCACATCTCCTGGTAGGGGTATGCCAGAATTACAGGTGCTTGCTCTACTGCAGCCAGCCTTTATGTGGGTTCTGGAGATTCGAACTCAGGTCACTAGGCTGGTTCAACCAGCTGAACCGTTCAGCTGTTTACCTGCCGAACCGTCTCCCCAGCCTCAACTTAAGAATTTTTCTAGTCATTCTTTTAAAAGTTACGTTTAATCATGTATGTGTGTGTGCGCGCGCGTGCGCGCGCACGCACGCACACGTGTTGCCATAGCACATACGTAGAGGTCACAGCACTTTTGAGAGTCAGTTCTCTCCTATCACGTGGGTCCCAGGGATTGAACTCGGGTCCTCAGGCTTGGCAGCAAGTGCCTTTAGCTGTTGAGCCACCTCACCAGCCCTCAACTGCTTCATTTAAAAACATTCTTTCTAGTACATGTAGTATATTGATTATGTGGATATACAGATAAAGGTATTCCTAGAGGTATAGGTGTGCAGATTTTTGCTGTTGGGGATATGTGGTTACAAAACCAAACAAAACCAACGAAGAGAGCCCTGGGCCGGGACTGACCTCTGGTGAGTCACCTCTGCTTACTGACCAGGTGATCCCGACTGAGTCACGGTTCTGAGCCTTGGTCTTACCAATGAGATGGGAAGGCAGATATCAGTCAAGCTTCCTGCTAGCCTGGCAGCGTGGGGACAGGGTGGAGAGAGGCCGTAAATGTAGGGGTTCTACAGGAACTGAGACAGAGAGGAAGACTGGCTGAGGGGCGGGCAGAGAAGCCCCTGAGCCCCCATTCCTAAAGTCAGCGTCAACTACGGAAGGTTGGCCCTTGTCACTGCTAGCCTTTGTGGAGCCAGCCTTTCCCACGCAGCCCCGGTCTCCGGGGAACTGAGTCTAGAAATAGCCGCCTGATGACTTTTCCCAACTGCGTACTGAAGGCAGGGTCCAAGATCCCCAGGACCACTCTGACCGCCCAATACCAGAGGCTGACTATACTGACTATACTGGCCTGGATGGAAGAGCCCAGGCTGGTACCAAGAGGCTGGCCTCCACCCCAGCCTGGTCTTCAGCCCATGTGCTGCTTTGGGCAAGGCCCCACTCTCTCTGGGCCTCAATTTCCCTATCCTTATAAAAACTAAGTGTGGACAGGCAGGATTCTTTGAGAACTGAGTGGCTGGCAGCTCCTAGGTCCTGTGCCTTTATCCTGGGGCTGCGTTTCCTGGACTCAACACAGTGATTGACACAGGAAATACCAGCAAAGCATTAGAAATAGAGTGTGAAGGAAGAAGAGAGAATGAGGAGGAGAAGAGGAGAAGAGGAACACCCTCCCTTGCCACCAGGGCCATTCCCACAGTCCCTCTCTGTCCAGGCTGTCCACTTTGGTTCACTATCCCATAGCAATAAAGAGGGCTTTCTCTACCGCCCCTTGGCTGGGCTCTCTGCCTGAGAGTCACATGCAGCTGCTGAAGATGTCAGGAGAGGTTTTGTGGGTTTGGCCTCCCACCTTCCAGCACCCCCTGCTGTCAGTCACCCGGCCTCTGTACTCTCAGCACCCCTGGCCTACAGCGTTCTAGTTTCTCTTTCTGACGCAAAATTCATATAACGTGAAACTACCACTCGGCAGCACCTAGCATAACCACAGGGTTGCATCGTGTCTCTTCTACTTCCAGAACATTTTCCTCACCCTTCAAGGAAGCCCTACGCCCACTGAGCAGCAAGGGCCCCCTTTCCCCTCCCCAGCATCACTGTGGCTGGCATCACGTGGCCCCCTTCCTTTCTGGACTCACCTGGTCTGCACACAGCAACCCTCGGACTCAGACACACAGAATTCTTGTGTCTGGTTCTTCACAGCACAGCCCTTCAGTGGTTTATCTACATTGTCACACATGTTGGGACTTCATTCCTTTCTCTGCTGTAATTCCCATCCCTTTCTGCAGCCGAATAATATACTCTGCTGTATGTAGAGACCGCAAATGGTTTTTCCATGTCGATGGATGGGTGCTCGGGTGTTGTGAGTGGGGTTGCTGGGACATGTGTGGAGCCTTGTTTGCGTGCATGCCTGCTTTCAATTAGTTGGGGCACCACTGCCTGCTTTCAACCTGGATTCAAGGAAACCACGTGGTGCCTTCCTTGGCTTCCTGAGCTTGGGGTGATGCGAGCAGGGCATCTGTCAGTCCTCACCTGGACAGTTGCTGCTTGCTAATCTGTGCATGTCCTCCCTTGGGCAGTCAGTGCTGTGAGTAGGACCTCTGCCTAGTGCCTGCAGACAGAGAGGGCTAGGTGTGCAGTGACAGTCGCTGGCATTTAGGGGACACTTGCACTGTGTTCTGACTGCTAGCATGTTACCCTATGTCCTAGAGGAAGAGGAATTCTCACCTCATTGATGACAAATGAGGACAGTGAGTCACCCAGGGTCACACAGCAGAGGGCTACCTGCCTCTGGGGATCCTGCTGGTAAATTGCTAGCTGGATGGTGGAAGGCCCTGAGGATTGACATTATCCATTGGTTGTACCCCAGTAGGCCCCAGGCAAGATGGCTGGTGCTGAAAGGAGCCACCTGTGACTTGGACCCCCAGCTGCAGCTCAGTCTCCTGAAGATGAAGTGGCCCAGGTGAAGCTAGGCCAAGCCCCATGGCCAGCTCAGGGACAGAGGCACGCTGGGCTGGGCCAGGCCTGGGACAAGGGCCCCGCAGGAGGCGCTGGGCTTGGGCTGAGGAGCAAAATGCAGATGGAAGCAGTGACCAAGGCTGGGGAAATGAGCAGTCTCTTCCTAAAGCCACCAGCCCTGAGCTCCTGGAGGACTTCCGCCGGGCACAGGAGCACCCACCACCACCCCTGGAGTGGGACCCAGACATGCAGGAGTCTGAAGAGTCTTCTGGAGAAGGTGAGGTGAACTCCTCTAGCCTGCAGTGGTAATCTGTTCCCCAAAGAGCCCACCTTCTAGAAAAGGCAAGGAAACAGGGGTGTCTTTACAACCCTTAATTAAATTCTGTCCTTCGATATTTAAATTGCACAATAATCCTGTGCATTTTGGAAAATGTAAGCAAATAAGGGGTAAATTTAAAAACTGCTCATTATCCTACCCCTCCCCAGGTGAGACTGCTTTCCAATATGCAAATATTTATATGAATATGCAAATATATTTTGGAATACACCATTGTCCCTTGCTTTGTTGTTATCTCAATAGCTAGGAATCTTTTCCCCATTATCCCAGCATTCTTCCACAAGTCCCTCCTAAGACCTGCATGGAATAGGGTTCTCCCATAATCCTTTGGGCCAGCCTCTCCTGCCCTGCAGGATCCAGCTTCTGGTTTGTGCTGTAGTGAGTAGCACACAGGAGAATGGCATCCAGCCCTCTTTGCATACTTACCACCATCCTGTCTTTGGTAACTTGGATTGCTCAGTTCAGGGTTTAGGCTTATTCTAAGGATTCTTCGGAACCCCAGTCATCCGAGGGGATGTTGACACTCTTCATCTGCTCCAATGGTTCTGCTCCTATTGCCAGGAGACCAGCTTGGAGGGACTTCTCAGCTTCTTCCATGCCAGTCCACTCTCCACCCTAGCCTTGGTTTCCCCACCTACGAAATGGGCATGATGACACCATTGGGAACAGGAATGTCTTGATGCATGGTGGGTCCTCTATTGGATTATGAATAGGACGTGCTGACATTTGATTCCCTAAAATCAGTAGAACCCTCGGACCATAGAGAAACCACTGGTACCATTACCCTAAGTGTTTCATGCCTGCCACAGCTGTTTTCTTGCTTTTATGTTTTTATTTCGTGTGTGTGTGTGTGTGTGTGTGTGTGTGTGTGTGTGTGTGTGTATGTGTTACTAGACATTGAACCTTGAGCCTTCTATAAGCCATGCAAACGCTCTAAGGCTGAACAAAAAAAAGTTTACTTTTGAGATGGAATCCTTTCTGAGGGACTGGAGACTGAGATGTTTAAGGCCATAGGCAGAGGTGCCTCTTCCTCAGAGCCTCTTGGTATGATGTAACAACTACTTCCTTTCCTCTACTCCAGCTCTCTGCAGGCAAGAGGAACAAGCCCCAAGTTTAAATTAGACTACCAGGGTTCAGTGACTTCTGCGTGGTCCCCAGACAGGGATCAGAAGAGCCTAGAGTGAGTGCAGTCTCTGCATGACCCCCTGGTGGTAGACCCTTGCTTGAGTTCCAGGTCCAGTACTGCTCTGAAACACAGTGTGAGCTGTTGGCCAGTCACTTACCATCTTAGAGCTTTGTCTTTGGATGTGTTGCTGTAAAATAGAGTGACTGGGTGAATCCAGTTTTTTTTTTTTTTTGGTTTTTTCGAGACAGGGTTTCTCTGTGTAGCTTTGCGCCTTTTCCTGGAACTCACTTGGTAGTCCAGGCTGGCCTCGAACTCACAGAGATCCGCCTGGCTCTGCCTCCCGAGTGAATCCAGTTTTAAGTAGCCAGGAGATATGCAGTGTCAAGAGTTAGGGGGAAGAGCACTATGAAACAGCAAGTCATACAGGGGTTATGACAAAGGCACCTCCATTCAGAGCAGTCTGTGCTGTATTACCCAGTGTTCCTCATGAAAAGCTGGATCTGTCACAGACAGAGCAGACTAGATACTCAGTAAACATGGCTGCCTGCGGGATGGATGCATGGATGGATGGATGGATGATGGCTGGGTGATAGATGAATGCCTTGAAGGATGGGTAGGTGGATGGATGTGTGAAAGGATGAATGGATTTATGGATAGGTAGATGGATGGATGGATGGATGGATGGATGGATGGATGGATGGATGGGTAAACAGGTCCTTAGATAGGTGGATGCTTGAAAGCATGGATGGGTGGTGGATTATGTATGCAGGGATAAGTGATGGCTGGGGTGCAAGCAGATGGATGAATGGATAGATGAGTGAAAGAATGGATGGATGGTTAGGTAAATGTTGTATCTACTACATAATAATTACAACAGCTATCTATTTTTTGGAAGCTGTGCACCCTTTATCTTTCCCCTTCTTTCTACTCCGTCGAGAAACAGTGTTGAGTACCTGCTCTTCAAATGCAGTAGAGCACAAAAGCAACCAATGCCCTTGCCCTCAGGAAGCTTGCAGAGTTCTGTCAACCTGTGTTAACAAAATAATCCCCAAACTGAACAACAGGAGTTATGATGCAGAGGGCTCCAGGCCTGCGAGAGCCTGCAGAGGGAGAGTTGGACCTTATCTGGGAGCTTCAGAACTTCCCTGGTAAGGTCAAGCTTGAGATGCAGCCCAAAGAACCAATAGCTCACAAGATACAGGAAGGAGACAGGACCCTGGTGGAGGATGAACGCAAGCACAGTACTTTTCAGGGTCCATCAGTGGGGTTATGGGTGTTGGTCCAGCAGAGACCCCAGGACCACAGAGAAGGCTCTGCTTTGTGCTGAAAACAATAGGGAGATGTGATGTGATTCCAGGTTGTGGGACGGGGCTGAGGAAGGAGTGGTTAAGTGGTTACTGCATTCATCCAAGCATAAGAAGACATTAGTTGAAGTATAGTTATGTGGGCAGGAGTCCGCAGGGAGCTCTGTAAGAGGAGGTAAATGGGTCTGGATCAGGGACTAAGGAGAAGGAGATGACCAAGATGCCTCCAGGCTCTGCCTTACACAACTATATGGGATGGTGTTGCCATTTGTGGAAATGGGACATACTTTGGGGAGACTGAAGCAAAGGCTTGAGTTTGGAGGACCTTTGAGGTGACCAGGGGAAGAGTCACACAAGTACCTGGCTGCGTGGGATGTGTCTAGGTTCTTCCCATCCACACATCATGAGGTCCTGAAGTGACTCAGGTGGCATTACAAGACCTAAGACGTACTCAGCAATGAATGACCTGTCTTTCCAGAGACTGAAGCTGATGATGTGAGCAGCCCAGAGGGTTCCACCTTGCCTCTGCCCTGGCTCTCCAGGCACAATCAGCCGCTGGACCTGTCTGCAGAGGAACTGGATGAGGCCCCTGGAAGCCCTGAGGTGGAGCTAGCTGAAGAGAGCTGCACGGAACTGGAGTGTGAAGACCCGGGAGATTCCAGCCCTGCGGCTCTGGAGCAGGGACCAGCCGGAGGCTGGGTGGCCTCTATCAAACAAGGCGGTAAACACAGACCTTCTGAACACTCTACGGCCCATCCATCTGTTGAACACAGCCCCGCAAAGTCCTGGAGCAGTGGGACTGTGAGTCTCGGTCAACCTAGTGACAGCCTTGATTCTACCTGGGAAGGAGACACCGATGTCCCCCAGCCTGCCGCGCTGGCCGAAGCCCTGCCACACCACAACCTCCCACAGCCAGATGACAGAAACGGAGGTGGCGTTGCTCCGGCAACACCCACAGAATTCCGGGACTCCTTGGCAGCACCAGCCCAGAATCCTCAGTGCTCTGCAGGCACATGGGGGCCAGAAACCACCAGCCTGCCCAGCTCTCAGCCTGAGGACCAAACCTGGAAGAGAACTAAGACGTCACCGAAGCCACTGCCCTCACGGTTTACCGGCTCTCTCAGCCCCATGAGCACTCGGCTTGGGGCAGTAAAGAAAGTTTCGTCACAGCGCAATCGGGGAGCCACTCTGGCTGGCCACTCTTCTTCAGATGCCCCCAAGTATGGCCGGGGGCGCCTGAACTACCCACTCCCTGACTTCTCCAAGGTGGGACCCCGGGTGAAGTTTCCCAAAGATGAGAACTACCGACCCCCCAAGTCCAGAGGCCACAATAGGCAACAAGGCCCTACCAGACCCCTAATCTTCAAGTCGCCAGCCGAGATCGTTCGAGATGTCCTGCTGAGCGGCGGAGAGGGATCCCTGGCCAACGACCCTTCTCTTACCCACCCTGTCACCAGGGTACCCCAGGAGTTCCAGACACCCGAACAAGCCACTGAGCTGGTCCATCAACTGCAGGTAAGCAAGACACTTGTCCCTGTGTGTGAATGCTGGAGACCTAACCTGGGTCCTCTGAAAGAACAGCAAGGGCTCCTAATCACCGGACCATCTCTCCAGCCTTTCTATTTTTCTCTCTTTCCTCCCACACCTCCTCTTGTGTGCTTTCAGAAGGTGACATCTGGTACCTTCCTGTCTCACTCTCCACTATATTTTGTTGTGCCAGGAGCTCACAATTCAGTTAGGTTGGCAGGCCAGCAAGCCCATGGATTCTCCTGTCTCCTCCCTCAAGTCCGGGAGCTACAGGCATGCATCACCACACTTGGTTTGTTTTTGTTTTTTTGAGACAAGCTCTCTTTACATAGCTCTGACTGTCCTGGAACTCCCTATGTAGACCAGGCTTTTCTGGAACTCACAGAGATCCTCCTGCCTCTGCCTGTCTAGTGCTAGGATTAAAGACATGAGCCATCATGCCCGGGTTCATGCTTGACTTTTTAATGCAGGTGCTGGCGATCCAAACTCAGTTCCTCATGCTCGCACTGAGCCATCACCCCAGCTCTGAATCTGACCTTTTATAACAATGACTTATTTTCACGACAGTCTCTTGCATCACAGGCGACCAATGACATCTGCTTTGTTTTTGTTTTTTTTTCCCCTGCTGTGAGTTACTTTAATGAAACTAGAGTTTTGTGTAAGGCCAGTGATCCTGAGTAGATGAGAACTATGACTTTTAATTATTTTTCTGTCCTTTGTGTGTGTTTATGCACATGTGCACACATGTGTGGATGCATGTGTGGATGCATGTGTGGATGCCTGCATACGGAAGCCAGCAGTCATCCTTGGGCATCTGCCTAGGTTCTCCACCTTACTTGTGTGTTTGTTTTGAGACAAGGTCTCACTTGTACCTGGTGTTCACCAACTCAGCTAGGCTGGCCATGGCCAGAGAGCTCCAAAGATCCCCCTGGCTCTGCCTCCCCAAATGCGTGCCACCACACCTGGCAGTTTTCCTTGGGTTTTGGGGATGGGACCCAGGTCCTCGTGCATGGGTGGCCTGGGGTGACTGCATCTTTTCCCTACAGGAGGACTATCACAAGCTCCTCACCAAGTACGCGGAGGCTGAGAACACTATCGACCAGCTTCGCCTCGGGGCCAAGGTACTGGCTGGAATGGGCTGAGCTGGGTGGGTGGAGCCAAGAGCTGGCCTCCTTAGGGAGACGGCCTACCCTAGAGTCTTAGAGAAAGGCCACCGGCTCTTGCGTCCTGAGACTCTATATGGAAGAATCCTAGTCCTTGAACTACCACTAAGCCTTTAGGTGACCTTAGCATAACCTAGCCATCCCTGGGCTCTCTCTCTCACTGTTTAATGTCTTTGAGTGACAGAGACTGGGGTACTCAGGAATGTCATCAGAAGCTGTCTCCTTCTCTGTAACTTTGGGGTATGGCTGCCTAGGCTGACTCCTAACCCCATTCCTAGCCAGCTGGATGACTTTCAGGAAGTTGCCATGCTTCTCTAAGCTCAAGGCTGTAGCCCAGACTTTCTGCTCAATCTTTGGTGCCCCATTCTTCCTGAATCACACTTTCACCTTTCTCCCGTGTCTGCGTACCCCTTCACACAAACCCTCCTCCTGTATCCAACAGGAACTGAGCACCCCTTGTGTGGCAGGTGGAATGTCCTGAAGGGATAGCTCATCCACACTGAGAACTGGGCAGCATACCTCCTACCCTGACCTGTCTCCAGAGGAGGCTGAGAACCCTGAATGGGGACCTCCCTCTTTCCTGGGGTGAGGCAGGAAGTGGGCCAATCGTGGCCCCTTTGGCTTCCTGCTTTCCCCACACACCCCTGTTTATTCAAACAGGCAGCATAGAGCAGGCAGGACAGCTGTGGGACAGAGATGTAGGCCCTCTCCTGCTCTGGTTGTCCCCCTAGAAGGAAAGCACCCCACTTTCCTGCAGAATGCTCCCCACTCAGGTCCCCCGTCAAGTGCTGACTTCATGTCTTCAGTCACTTCTGGGGAACATGGGTGAAGGCAACCATGGCAAGGACAATAGGACCTGTTGGAGGACCAGAGTTCTCTGTCCCTACACCTGTGGCCCTGCCAGGTGCAGGCGGGACTCTTCCCACCTGGTCTCCTGGGCACACCTGTTGGGTTACGGCGCTGGTGGGGGATTGAGATCAGACCTTCTGGAAGGCAACAGGCCCCACTGATATCTTTAGGTGCCCCAGAGCTCCAAGTAGTGAGAGGGAGTGTCAGGAACAGGGCTGAGGAGGGCTGCAGACAAGGATTCTCAGGGTAAACTGTAGGAAAGGCTGAACGGTTCAGCACCAGCCACCCTCAGCTGCTCTCTGGAAAGATAACTCTTCGGCCCAAGAGAAGAGTGAGTTCTGTTTAGGTGATTGCACTGAAAATGGCCTATAATTCCCTTCACCCCAGCCTCACGGCTACCCTGGGAGTGATGGGGCACAGCTCATGGTCCCAGCCGGAAGGGGAGAGCAGGAATCCAGGGCCCACAGATGCCTCACTTCTGAGCCCCGTGTTCTCTACCAGAAGGTGTCCTGCTCAAAAGCCACTTCAGGGGACCTGGGTGAGGGGTCCTGGCTCCTGCGGGCTTCCTGGCTCTCAAGAGGGTCTGTGAACACGACTTCTCCAGGACCTGCCCAACCCTTTCTGAGGCCATGGTAACGCAGGAGAGGCTAGGCTCACCAAAGAGGGAACCAGGCTGGAATTTACCCTGATAGCTAGGCTATTCCTGTGGTGAGTAACTGGGAACCACAGTCCAAAATGGAACAGAGACCGACATGGGCTGAATCAGAGTCCAGGCTCAGACTAAGGGTGATCCTTTGGTTCCCTCCTCTTGAAGACACAAGGCTAAGCTGGGAATGCCCCACAGCATGTGTGAAACACAAAGATGGAATGCCCCCCTGATCTGCTCATGCCAGATGGTGTCATTTCCTCAGGTCTGGGAAGCCCAGGCCCTGGCATGGTGTGTGGGACAGGCCTAGAGACAGACAGGCCAGGAGATAGGAACAGACATCAGTGATTCTGTGGACTGCTGTCTTAAGTCATTCACAGCTGGGCCTGGGTTAAGCAACTTGTCCAAGTTCATATAACACAGTGGTGCCAGAGCTAGGGGACCCCACTTACTCTGCCAAAACCAAGCCAACACTTACTGAATTTGCAGCCAGAAAAGCTGGCCAGGGAAAGCCAAGGCTAGACCTTGGAGCACCTATGGAACCAGGGCCTGGGGAGCATGGGATAGGGAGCCAGAAGAGTTAGGAGTCCTGGGTGAGCTTTATTCTCCGTGCCGACTCGAGTGTGTGATGGTGTCACCACTTGATGTCCTGTTGGTACCTCCTCCCAGCTCCTGTCCCCCGTCTCAACTACAGGGGGATGTGAAAGAGTTGAGGGGACAGAAACCACCCCAGAAGGAATGGGGGTGGTGTTACCACCTTTCCTGAAGTGAGTTCTGCTGCCACTCCAGATACAGAAGCTCCGGATGGGAAGTGGGGGAGCTTCTGTGCTCAGAGGAGGAGCTGAAGCACTCCGGCCCCCTCCCCTCTTGCCCCATTCATAAAGCTCATTACCATTTTAAAGGCTTGAGACCCCATCTGTGCTCAGAATACTCATTTGTTTAACCCCATGTTTCCCACACTCCCTGGTCCACTCTGCACAGAGTTCTGAGGGCTGCACCCCAGGGTCTACCGTGTCTAGGAAGGTAGGTCATGATGGGGACAGGCCCACGCAGCTCAGCAGCTGCTAAGCCCCCTCCCTGGTCCCCACTTCCTCTGGACAGCTGGACAGGCCTGGGGTTCTGCCTCCCTTGTTTTCATCCTCTGGATCTGGAAACTGCCAGGTTCACCTTGCTCCCCAGGTGGCACGGTGGGCAGGAAATTCAAGAGGGCGGGGCCTCCCCCTGGGATTCGGGTCACCTCAGGAAGAAAGGGGTGCAATGTGGGCAGCCCCCCGCGCACAGGCAGCGCTGAGCAGATGGCACAGAGGATTATGAAAATCCAGCTTTGTTCTCCGCTAGGGAGGCTCGGTCTGAAGGAGGGGGAGGCGGGGAGGGCCTCCGGTGCTCGGTGCGAAGCAGCCAGCCCCAAGGACAGCAGAGGGGCTTCCTGTCTGACCAGGCCCGTCTCCAGCGGCTTAGTCCTGGGCCTGGGGTGGCAGAGGGTAGTCAGGGTAGCCCACTGAGCTCTTAAAGGGGTGCCAAGGCATCGTGCGAGTGGGCTTTTTCCCTGGCCTGTCTTCATGTCGCCATAGACACATAAGGATAGGGAGGATGCTTAAGACAGAGGAGGGATGGTGAAAGTTAAGACGATGGTGAAGATGATGACGGTGGAGATGATGGTGATGGTGGTGGTGGTGGTGATGATGGTGATGATGGTGATGATGGTGATGGTGGTGATGATGGTGGTGATAATGGTGATGGTGGAGATGGTGGAGATGGTGGTGGCCATATTAGTTACTTGTCTATTGCTGTGATAAGATACCATGACCAGCCAACTTACAGAAGGAAGGGTTGACTTGGGTTTATGGCTCAAGAGGGACATCTATCACTATCACAGCGGAGAAGCATGGCAGGCGGTCATGGTGGCCAGCTGAGCAGTCACGTCTTAGCTGCAAGCAGAGAGAGTGGACTGAGAACGCTGTGGCGCTTGAGACCTCACGGCTCGCCCCAGTGACACGCTTCCTCTAGCAAGGCCACACTTCCTGGTCCCACCAAAAAAATGCCACCAACTGGGACCAAGTGTTCAGATCCCGAGACCGAGGGGACACTCTTTTCCAAGCCACCGTGGTGACAACACCGAATATGCAGGGGGCCAGTGCTGTTTCCTGAGTACTAACTCCATGCATGAGATGCCAGCCTTGCCGTCCATGCTAGAACTCCGAGGTCTACCATAACGGAGCCTGGATCTGCGCCTGGCTTTGGAGTGCACGTATTAAGCCACAGTTAGCCAGACAGAGTGTTTTCAGATGTGGCTTCCTCCAGCACACCTCTGTGAACAGAAGCAGACCCTGGCCCCCTAACTCTGTTTCACACCCCGCTTGTAACCTGGCTTCTCTCTTGCTGAGCTCCAGTGTGATTGAAGCCCGGTCGGCTGCCTCCCTACACACTTCCCACACCATCTACAGTGTCAGAGCACAGCTCCTGGCAGGATTCCTCTGTGCATGACATTTCTCCTTTCATTCAAACAGCCATTTACTACTATTTACTGTAGCTAGAGAGTTTTCTCTCGGGGTCCCACCAAGCCGCGGCAGTCCGACAGCCCACTTATAAAAAAACACACAGATGCTTATATTATTTAAACTGTTTGGCCTAATGGCTCAGGCTTCTTGTTGTCTACTTCCTCTATCTTAAATTAACCCATTTTTATTAATCTATACTTTGCCACGTGGCTTGTGGCTTACTGGTACCTTACATCTTCCTTGTCATGGTAGCGGCTGGCAGTGTCTCCTTTTCTACCTTCCTGTTCTCTCAATTCTCCTCTCTGTTAGTCCCACCTATAGTTCCTGCCTGGCTACTGGCCAATCAGTGTTATCAATCTATTTATTATTACCAATGTTATTGTTGAAAATATTTCATTAAAATGCTAATGATTATTGCATATGTATTGGACACATATAATAAATACTATTAGTAACAATTATTGTTACCAGTGTAAAGCCATAGGCTTTGGGGTCACAGTGGCATTGTGATGTTGTCCAGGCACTTAGCTGGTGATTTTGTGGGACTTAACTTCTCAGAGTCTCAGGGCTCATAGGGGCTCTCAGAGACTGAAGTGGCAATCTCGGAGCCTGCATGGGTCTGCTCTAGGTTCTCTGCATATATGTTGTGGTTGTTTAGCATGGGTTTTTTTTTTGTTTGTTTTGTTTTTTTTTGTTTTTCGAGACAGGGTTTCTCTGTGTAGCTTTGCGCCTCTCCTGGAACTCACTTGGTAGCCCAGGCTGGCCTCGAACTCACAGAGATCCACCTGGCTCTGCCTCCCAAGTGCTGGGATTAAAGGCGTGCGCCACCACCGCCCGGCTTAGCATGGGGTTTTGTGGGGCTCCTAACAGTGGGAGTGAAGTGTCTCAGACTGTTTTACCTGCTCTTGGGACCCTTTTCCTTCAACTGGGTTGCCTCATCCAGCCTTGACGTGAGGGTTTGCGCCTAGTCTTACGGCATCTTGTTATGCCATGCTCGGTTGATATTCCTGGGGGGTCTGCTCTTTTCTGAAGGGAAACGGAGGAGCAGTGGATCTGGAGGCGAGAGGAGGTGGTGGGGACTGGGAGAGGTGGGGCAAGGGGAGGCTGCAGTCAGGATGTATTGTATGAGAAAAGAATAAATAAAAAGGAAAAGCAAGAAAAATGGGGAAGTAGTCCCTGCCTGCCTCCCCTCCAGGACCTCTGTAAAGAGAATAGGAAGGGGCTTGTAAGTCCTCTGCCCAATGTGGGCACCACTGAAAAGTAGTGTTCATGATTCCCAGCGTGAGTATAGGGTTCCTGCTTGGAGGATGGATGAAGCCTGGATGACAGATGCATTGTGGCCTCTTTCCAGTGAGCTTGCCCCCACCTGACTTTTCCCCTCCCTGCCCCCCTCTTCCTCAGGTACACCTGTATTCAGACCCACCCCAGCCCAGGCAGAGCATCTGCTCTGGGTCAATGCCACAAGGAAGCAAGGTCTTGTCCTTCTCTATCCCACAACCCAGATCAGCAGAGTGGTGGCCTGGCCCTGCGCAGAATCCACAGGCTTCTGAGGCCACAGGTGAGTTGGGGAAGGAGCCAGGCTTTTAGCATCCTCCTGCTCATGACTCTGCCCCAGGACATTTGATCCACCCTGGGGTGACAGTGGCTTAGAGTCAGGGGAATAGAGTGCCAAGGCCCTTCTCTGGGCCAACGGACTTGATCAAGCTGAACAGCTGGGTAGAACCTTGGCTAAGCCACCTGGCCTCTTGTGTAAGCCCTAACATGGACACGTACGGCTTCAGTTAATCTCCACACAGAGCTGCTGAGGAACGCACCTTTTAGACCCCATGATAGTTGGGAGACCTGGGGCTCAGGGAGGCAAAGGCATGCCAGAATCACACAGCTTGGAAAAGAAAGGGCCAGGATTCGAACCTGTTTCTCCCTGAATTAGAATCCACACCCCAGGCCCCACTCCCTCTCAGCTTTCACCTTGGGTAGATCTGTGCCTCGTTTTTCTCTGGTAGTGGAGCAGCACAGTAGCCCTCCCTCTTCCTGGGCTAATGTGAAGGTAGTCAGGAGTGGCCAGGCTATAGCTTGATGATATGGTGGTCTGAGTGGGCCTCAGGCCTTCAGCCTCAGTGGACTGGGGAACTGTCCTCAGCCTCAGGGTTCAGCGGCTGTGTGTTCCAGGGTGGCCGTCCCCACGAGCAGACCTGAGTCCCTCCTCGTCCCCCAGCATGGCCACCCCAGGGCGGCTTCCTCAGAGCCAAGGCGTTGCCACAGACCAGCCTGCCACAGAACAGCCCCAGGCACTGACCTCTCAGGCCAGCCGGCTCCTAGCCAAGGTGAGTGAACCCCGGTTTTGCCCCATGAAACACCTCATCCCATGGGGCCTCTATGTGTGTGAGATGCTTCCCCCAGCCCCAGATGTCTCTGCTCTACCTCCATGTGCATGTGGTCTAACTCAGCCTTCCAGGAACTTGACCATCTCATTGCCCTCAGGCATCACGTGATCCAGCTGCCCGCCCCCCGAGTCACTCAGGATAAGGTTGGACCTGTGTATTGATCAGCAACCGTCTGCTGTCACAGCTCCTCCAGTTAGGCGTGGAGGTGCCCCATGGTTGTCCATAGGGAGGCCCTCTGCTCTCTCCGACTTCCACCCGACTTTTCCTCTCCATGACAAGCTGCCTCTTCTTCATTCATTGTTACTGAAGTCAACCCTGCTACCTCTTAAGGTTTTTCAGCCAGCAGTGCATCTCAGAGTTGTCTGCAGGTCTTTGTCTATCTTCACACTTGGCCTTGTTCCAAAGGTGTCTAAAGAGGCTCATGAAGACACAACGCCCTAACCACATTCTGAAAACGGAAGTGGGGGCGCTGGGGCAGAGGGGAAGTCCACATAGAAGAAGACTAAAGTAAGCTAGCTCAAAGCCAGTAAACAAGACATTCTGTTGGGCCCTGAGCCCAAGCGAGAATCCCACCTTGGGCTCGAGGCTTCCTGCTCTCCATTACACCAATAGAGACCCAATCATTGCATTCCCTTGTCCAGAAAACCAATTTCTTTCACCGCTACCCCCATTCTTTGCTTTTAGGGGGCTCGGGGTAGGGCAGCAGCTTTACTGAGGTCTGGCGCACATTTCACACACTTGGCTCACGTGTTTTCCTGTGTTACTGTCCTGCCGCCATCAAGGTCCATGTTACAGTATTTCCATCCCCAGAAAGACACTGTCCGGGAAGCAGGCCCTGACTGTCCCACCCTTCCACCCCAGCAACCATTCACCTGCCTTTGTCTCTGCAGTTCCTCTGTTTGGGACATGTCACACAAGCTGACTCAGCCCCATCCTTCCTTCATGTCTGACATCTTGCAGTTCCCCTGGTGCTTTCCAGCCCCTTCGTGGTAGAGCTGGGTATCATTTCGTCGCTACCATTCTTGGTTCTGCTCCCCCCGGCCTCCCGGATGGCATCTCTCTCTGGCAATCGGGTCACACTGAGCAGATGCAGGGCACAGCTGATGCCTCCTCCAGAGCCATGCTGTCCCACCTGGGAGGAGCCACTGGCCCTTACTGGGCTGTTGTGTTCTTGACCCGGAACAGGTTTGGGTGAGGATATACCGGGAGTGGAAAACACTGGAGCTCAGCTATCCCACAGGCTGGCAGCTCAGCTGGAGAGGCTGGGACAGGAAGGTCGCTGTGGGTTCAAGACCAGCTTAGGGTACTGAGTGAGAACCGGTCTTTAAAAACAACAAAATCTCTCACTGGGCTTATTCGTAATTTTTTTTTTTATTGATTACAAATCAAAATGATATTTGTGATAAAATAAAATATATCAAGGGCCAGCCAGCAAGATGGCTCAGCAGGAAAGGGGGCTTACTACCAGTGACCCGAGTTTGAACCTCAGGACATACACACCCACCCACACACCCACACACACACACACACACACACACACACACACACTGTAGAAGGAAAGACCCGACTCCTAAAAGTTGTCCTGTAACCTCCACAGGTACAACATGGTATGCATACGCACATGGCATGTGTGAGTCTGCCCATCCATGCATGTGCATGTACATGCACACACATAATAAATGTAATTTAAAATAAAAATATATATTACTAAAATTAATTTCACTTATTCCTTTTGCATTTTAATTCCCACAAAACTTTTAATGATATAGTATATGGAGCTCATATTATATTTTCTATTTTACATATTATGTAAGTGACATGCCATAATTCAGTTATATAAATTTCTCTATTTCAGCTTACCCTAATTCCTCAGTAAATATGCATTGCGATTTTTATTTTAGTATTTTTGTCCTTTTTTTTTTTTTTGGCTGCAGTGGTGGGACTAGAACTCAGATCCTTGTTTTTATTCCCTCCTATTGTGCAGGTGGACTCCTACGAGGAACTGGTACTGGCCGGACATCTCCCACCCCAGGACCAAATCAAGGTACCATGATCCAATGTGGTGCTGCACCAGCAGTGACCAGACAAGCTGTCCCCAGAGTTGAGTCTCTGAGCCCCTATTGTTGAAGGCCGGTGGCTGTGCCCCAGAACAGCCTCTCTCACGGGAGCTGAGAGTTCCCACTTAGTGCCCAGGCAGCTGCTGACTGTGTCACAACAGCACGCCCCTGCTGAGCCACGATGGCTTACCAGACACGCTGGGTGTGCCATCCCTGTCTCATCTCTCCATCAAAAACGCCCACAGGGGACCTGCGATCATTACCCCTGCTTAACTATGGTGACGCAGAAGCCCCAGAGAAGAGACAGCGAAAACACACAGCAGTGGGCGGCAGAGCCCTGATTGAGTCCTGACTCCTGCCTTGCCATACCCCTAGGCTCCAGAAAAGGGCCTTTGCTTCCTAACCTACTCTCCCATTATTTCCCAAAACTTGGAACCGAGGATAAGCAGGAGAGGGGATCATTTCTCCATGAAACTGCTGTGCCAGGATAGACTTGTCTCCTTTGGATGCGGGTTTTAGGTAGTTATAGTCAGATACGTCTAATCTCTCTCCTGCTGCCAGTCAGGGCCCTAGGGAAGGTGCATGTGGGGACCTCAAACTTGGGAGTTTGTGTCAGGAAAGCCTGGTAGTGTGGTGTGGGTGAGATCAGAGTCCCCACGGAGGTGGGGAAAGATCCAGGAGGAGGACCTGCTCCACTCCAGCATCCCTTCCAGCTCCCTCTCATTGGACCAATTCCCCGGAAGCCGATGGGGAAAGAGTCCAGTTGAGGGCAGGGAGGAAGGGAAGCAGAAATCAGCTTTGGGGAGCAGATGCAGGACCCCAAGAAATATCATGGCGTGCATGTTCTCTTAGGCTGTGACAAACGCCACAGCAGTTTCCTGCTACAGGGTGTGTGGCATGCGCTGTAGCGTATCACCAAGGGGATCAGGGATTTCCCTTGGAAATTAAAATCATTTCTTTGGGACAGTAGTGTGTGCCTAGCATGTGTGAAGTCCTGAGTTTGAGCCCCAGCTCTGCATAAAACTGGGTGTGGTGGTGGCACACACCTGTAATCCCAGCACTCAGGAGATGAAGGCAGGAAGGTCAGAAGTCAATCCTCAGCTCCATAAGGATAATAGGCCAGCCTGGACTACATGAGACACTGTCTCAAAAAAAAAAAATCCTTTAAAATGTTAATAGATCAATCTTATTTATGGAATACAGCTTAATGATATCATGAATGTATGTAACAAACTCTAGTTCCATTTCCTCAACTATTGGTCACTTCTCTATGTCAGAAACCTTTGAATTCCTCTTTTGTAGTTCTTTTTGTTGTGGTTTCCACAGTCCTGGGTTCTGAACTAGGGTTCCATGCATGTGTGCTAGGCAAACATTCCACCACTGAGCTGTATCCTCAGCCTTCTCTTCATCTTTAACTTTTTTTTATTTATTGTGTGTGTGTGTGTGTGTGTGTGTGTGTGTCAGTGTAGAGGTAAGAGGCCTGCTTTGTGGAGTCAGTTATCTCTTTCCACCTTGACATGGGTTCCAGGAATTGGATCCGGCTCACCAGGCTTGAGTGATAAGTACTTGAGTGATAAGTACCTTACCCACTGAGCCATCTCACTGGCCCCAGCTCTTCAATTTCAAGACAGAATCTCACTGGATTCTTAACCTTAAACCCAGGCTGGCTTTAAGCTCGTCATCCTCCTGCCTCAGCCTCCCAAGTAGATTACAGGCCTGTGCCAACACACTCGGCTCTCTTCTAGTGCCAAAGTATGTAATAATGCTATAACACAGAACATCAGTTTGTTCCTTCCACCTCACTGCTGTGGCACGTGACGGCCAGCCTTCACCTTCCCTTCCTGACCTCTCCCAGTCTATTGACCATTGCCTCCTCTTCTATGCTAGTGTTTTTAGCTTCCACATGCGAGTGAGAGCATGTGACTTTTCTCCTTGTCTGTCTTCACTTAGCATAAGTCCCGTGGAGCCATCTTTCCTGCCACAAATGACAGTTTAAAAATGTCATTTTCTTCCTCTCCATCCTCATTCCTCCATATATAGGGAACCTGGGGGCTTCTGGGATATCAGACATGGCTGGAAACTATATTCTGGGTTCCCCTTGGCCTCAGCCTCTTCCTAGACTCACATAGGAAGGGACTAAACAGGCCAGAGACCAGCAGCCATATACTGACTGACAATGTTTGTGTTTACTATTATGAGGGCCTGGCAGAGTTGTTAGGACCAGGAGCTCGGGGCCTGTGTTCAAGTCTTGCCTGTACAACCTGTTCACTTACTGTACGCGTTTCAACAACTTCAAGGACGTCTTTGTGCTTCACTGGCTCTTCTTCTCTCGCTGAGATTCCATTGGAGTGGAGATGCATGAATGTAGAATGCTCTATCTAAGAGTCACCATGACAGTCACCTCTGTGTATAGTGTGGGATGATAATGCCATCTGTCCTCACTATCTGCAAGAACTGGGGAAGAGAGTGACTTACAGTTTCTGAACGGTGCAGTTTTCAAATCAGGAGCAAAGATCCAGGCCCTCTGGGGGACTAGAGCCTTATGGGGCATAGTGGCAGTGTAGTGGATGCTGCATCTGACCAGGTACCATGGGACCTATAATCTCCCCAAGAAGAGCCAGTGGCCTCTGGGCTGATTCCTAGACTTCAAGTGTCTCATGGCAGAGAGCTCCATCTGGGCAGAAGCCTCCAGAGGTGCCCAACCGCAGCCTGTTTCTCAAGCCCCGTGAGAGTCGCCTAGCCCCCGCAGGAGACACCTGTGACATGTGTGATCATGGAGTCCCTAAGGGCAGACACTCAAAGCTCCTGGCCCTTGTGTTTCAGAGCTTGGAGCAGCTGAGAGCAGCCCACGTGGCCCTTGAGGCAGAATACCTTCAGGCCTGCAGAGAACGGCACCTGGACCCAAAGCTTGATGCCTCCAAGGGGAGTCCCAAGACCCTCAATCTCTGCAGGTAGGCTCTGGAGAGACAGGCCCTGGAGGACAGGCGGGACAGGCCCTGGAGGACAGGCGGGACAGGCCGCTGGCTTCCTCTGTGTCCAGGAAGGTTTTATTTCACACACATCACTGAGTCACAGGGGCAGAGGGAGCCCCTGTCCTAGTGAACCATGTGGCTAGAGCTGAGAATCCAGTCCCTTCAGGTGCACTTCGGACATCAGAACGGCAAAGCCTCTCACTAGACAGTGGGGAAACTGAGGCCAGAAGAAATTGGGATTACTTAGAGTCACACGGCATGGGGATAGTGGAGGGTACAGAGCTGAGGCCTCCTGGCTCCCAGTGGGGTTTTATCATCTTGCTATTGAAGTTCTTGATGTCATCTATTAATGGCCTATATGGACCATGAGAGGACATTCCTAGGGTCTCTGACTTGACACCTGTCGCCATGCTAATATTTCCTCCACCAGGGAGCTAGAGACAGAGATATACCACCTGGGGCAGCGCCTGGAAGAGCTGCAGGACCATATGGACCAGACCCAAGGAGAGCCAGAATCGTACAGGCCAGACCTGCAGGACAGCACCCCAGCCACACCTTTCCTGGCCTGGCCAACTCATCCGCCTACACCTTCAGGACCAGTCTCCTCGCCAGCTGCCCACACCAGCCATGAGGTACTGCTTTGCCCCATCACGCCGGGCCAGTCCCCATTTCTTTCTTTTATTCATTCCACGTTAATTTCTTCACTACCTATTTAGGAAGCGTGTGCCGTCCTCTAGACCCCATGATACACGGCGGGGATCCAGTGAGAACAGAAGGTGGGGTTTTCTGAATACATGAACTATTCGTAGAGTTCCTTATATTTTGATAGCACTCTAAAGAGAAGTCCAGGTTCTGTGGAAATAAAGGGAGGAACCGTAGCTGACCGGGAGCGGGGCACAGAAACTGTCTCTGAAGAAGAAATGTGTAAGTGAGATCTGAGAGTAGGCAGGACTTGTTTAGTGCGGACACAAGTCATTCAGTAGGGTAAGGATCCTGGCGAAGGCATCGTGGCCTGCGTGTGGAGAGTGAGTGGGCTACAGTCTGCCGTGTGGCTGGAGACCACAGCCTGGGCCTTGTGATGATGAGCCTGTGGCTCATGTCTCAGCCTGGCATTAGGTCTCCTTGGGTTCTCAGCATGGGGTGGCAGAAGGTACCCAGGGTCAACCAGCGAGGCTGGGAGTGGCAGGGCAGAGGGAGAGGTGAGTACGTGAGCCTGGACAAGGTTCCGAGGTTCGTTTGGTCGGACTTGGGTGGCAGTGAGAGAGAAGGCAGCCTGGGGTGAGGGACAAGGGGTGTGGGTGCCTACGAAGCTCAGACACCAGACACAGCCTCTGTGTGGGTCGTGCTTTCAACAGGGCCCTCTCTCCACACCAAGGTCTGTTAAGGGACAACCACTCTCTCCCTTCGGCCGCTGGGCTGGGATCACACAGATGGCAGCGGTGGCAGCCCTGTGTCCCTGAGCTCCTCATCCCGGCCTGTGGGAGCTTGCCTGGAGGGGATGAGCAGGGTGGCGCAGCGCATTAGATGAGTGGACGACGAATGCTGGCCCCGAGCATTGGGGACTCCCCCTGAGCCTTGTCCCACGGACAGAACGACCCAGACAGGTGGCATTTCCTGTGGTGACAGGTGGCATTTCCTGTGCCGACAGATGGCATTTCCTGTGCTGACAGGAAGCGTGGGTGGCCAGGCTACAGGGGAAGAAGTGAGGACAGATGCCTCTGACAGGCAGTCTGCCCTGGCTTCTGTATGGCTTTGATGCATCGCACCAGCCTCAGTTTCTCTGTGAGGTATGCGCTGGGGCATACCGAGGAGAAATCATGCCTGCAGTGTGCCTGGCAAGCGCCGGGAGCTCAGATCACAGCAGCTAGCCGTGAAGACCCTGCGGGTCTTCAGTGTCTCACACGCATGAATGAATGGCAGGATACAGGCCAACAAGTTCACTACTAACTGCTCTTCAGTATGTCACGAAACTGCAGAGGCAGGTACTCAGAATGATGATTAATCCCTATTCCCCACTTCCTCGACCCAGCCTGCCGCCACCGCCACCTCCCCAAGGAGCTCTTTCAGACTCCCCGTGAACAAGGAGGTGAACCTGGGCGGCATCAAGGCAGAGGAAAGCCCGAGAGAGCTCCCAGTGCCACTCAGGGACAGGGAGCTTCAGGTGGAACAGGACTTCCATGGCCTTCTGGAGCGGTGAGTATCCATAGGACGGAGGCACTGTCCACTACTGGGTCAGCCACACTGGGTCTTGTTTGTCCCCGTGGGCAGAGGTGACACCTTCTGGGCATCCTCCTCCAGATACCTCAGCGTGAAGTCCTTCCCTGAAGCCTTGAGGGTGGAAGATGAGGACCTGGAGGAGGAAGAAGAGCAGGAGCACCATGGTACCTTGGAAGTTGACGGTCCAGCCACAGCTCCAGGGACAGCAGAAGCCACAAGGGTACCCCCAGGACAGCGCCCAGCACAGGCTGAGGAAAGCCATAGGGCTGCTATCCAGTAAGTCACTGGCCCTCTGTCACAAGCTCCAGTGTCCCACACAGGGGTGGCCATTGGCAGGACAGGCAAAAGAGTCAGGAATGTAGCTCAGTGGTAGAGCACTTGCCTAACATGCCCCGAGTTCAAGTCTCATCTCAGGAAAACAAAACAAAACAACAGCAAGTATCCAGCCTGTGAAGTTGTTGTCATGTTTCTTATATTATTTCTAAAGTCAGTTTCCATTAGTAACACAAAATCTTGGTCTTCCATTTGTAAACCCTGACTTTTTGAGTCCCTGGAAGTCTGGGGAAATAGTTAACATGGGAAAGGAGGCATGTGAGCCCTTGGGCTCTGAGAAACTCTGCTCTAGCCATGTCCTTCACAGTGTTTCTGCTATCATGTGCTGGGTGGGGTTTGTTCCCACCTTACAATGAAGAGTATGAGGTTCGGAGAGGGAAAGCGCCATGCCCAAGGTCACACAGCCAGGTGACAGAGCCAGGATGCATCCCCAGGGATGTGTGTCTGATGCCAGAGCTTGCCCCTGGACGGGTGGGCTGAGCCCCAGGTCTGAGTCACCTGGCTCACATGGGGGGGCTCAGGAATGCTGTTTATCTCCTTCTCTGCTAGGGAAGACGAGGAACAGGCGGTATCCATGAAACCGCCGAGCTTCCGGACATCCATGGCCAGAGATAGGTACACACCAGGCCTGGATACAGCTGAAGTGGCTCAGCGGAGCACCAAACCCATGGCATCTCATCAGAGCAGTCTAACCAGCCTGGAGGAGAGCGGGCCCACAGAGCTCCTACCTCGAAAAGCTCTGCTTCGGGCTGGCGGGTCCCACACTGAGGTGAGTGTGCCTGTGGGATTCCCTGGTGTCGGAGCTCTTTTCCTGGCCTTTGCCCACCCTGGCCCTTTTCATGAGTCACTCTTCTGGCATGCCACCGTTCCTGCAGCCGGAGCCTTGCCCATCAGTCAGCATTGGACCCAAGGCCACCTCCAGCCCTGTACTCTACTGCCGGCCTCCTTCCAGAGCTGTGGCTTGTGCTTACGTCACAGTGTGTCAGAGCTGGGACCTGGTTCCTAACTGTGTCATATACTCGGCGGTCTCTACATTAGACCCTGAGGACACTGAGGTTGGGGGGCACTGACATCATTCACGTGTTCCCTGTGTCCTGCTTTAAACTCAGGTCCCGGTGTGTGTGCATGATGCATGCTGTCCTGGGCATCTCTGCAGCACATGGGACTGCCTGCACCAAAAGACCCTGGGTTAAGGCTTTCTCCTTCTCCCCCTCTATGCCTTGCATACCCTCGCATCTCTCCCAAGAGCCCAGATGGAGCCCAGTCCTCAGGGCAGCAAGCCCTACTCAGGGACCTCTTGGGACAGGGAGTCTTGTACCAGCCTGGCTGTGGTATCAGACAGCCCTGGGGTCTTGGAGCCCCTGGAATGTGAGACCAGGATCGGGGAGGGGTTTCCCAATGCATGGGAATATTTTCCTCAGACTTAAAAGATATGGCCTGTTCTAGGAGCCCTGGATGGTGTCACCGGAGACAGACAGTGGCTTCGTGGGCTCAGAAACCAGCATAGTGTCACCTTTTACCCAGACCCCAGAGCACCGGCTCTCCCATATCAGGTATTCTCGTCCACCATTTTCACATGCCTGGGACATCTTGAAAATCCAAGTGACCATGGCGGCCCAGAAACATGTGTTGGCGTCTGCATGTCGTCACTTCAACCCTATTGATGGTCCCTGTTCCTGTCATACTGACAGAGGGGAAGAGAGGCTCCGAGAACAAGCGTGTCTTACTGAATATCACCCAGTCCATCAGCATTAGCATGTTGGGAGATGATTTTTACTAAGCAAGTGCAGGAGTAAATGGAGTGGGTAGATAGGAGCTGCAGGAAGGTAGTGAGATGACAGACGCCATGGACAGAAGAGTATCTGGGTACAGAGACCAGAATGAACTCAAGGAAAGCGGAGGGTGAAGATCTGCAGGGAACAGGGAGTGGTATAGTCACCATGGAGGCTGGTGATCCCCAGGATCAGGTGCTGGCCACCTGGAGGATCACTTGGCCACATAGGTGTTCACGTGAAGAAGGGACTAGAATTGGCAAGATGAACCGAGCTTTGGTCCTTCCCTATACAGCTGTCAGGTGCACTGTAATCAAAAGTGAGGACAAGGATGCCCCAGATGAGGTTGTCCTCAGTCCTCAGATATACTGAGATGCTGGAGATGGGCAGTCCTAAGGCTGAGAGTTCGCACTTTCTCAGAGAGCAGCGTGGATACTGTGACCTGAGGCCTCTGTGTCTAATCTCAGTGTGTCCCTTCTCCCCTGGCCTCCAGCACTCTAAAGACATCAGCCCCACACCTCACTGCTTCTGTGCCTGGTGATGGAGCCTCTCCTCCCAAGGCCAGGGGTTCTGTGGTTCCCAGAAGAGCCACCGAGGCTGGAACACCCAGAAGCCGAACCCAGTGGCATCTCTCCAGTCTGAGCGGCTCTCTCCGGAGAGGGGCACACAGCTCCCCACCGGAACAGGCACCAGCGGTTGAGATGGGTGAGTGGGGAACCTGGGTAGGCTGCAGCCTGGGAGTGGCCAAACTGTATGAATTGAAGTATCAAACACAGCCTCGTGTTGTACTTCGGGCTGGGAAATACTATGGAGGTTCACCACAAGAAAATGAAAGATTGCAGATAGAGGAGCGGGACAGATGGCTCAGTTGGTAACGTGTCTCCCCTGCAGGCATGAAGACCCGAGTTTGATCCCCAAGAACCCAAGTGAAAATGCGAGCGAGTGCTACTTGTAATTCCAGTGCTAGGGAGACAAAGATTGGTAGATTTCAGGGGCAGACTGCCAGCCAGTCTAGCCAAATTGGCAGCCCCAGGGCAGTGAGAGACCCTGCCTCAGAAACCAAACCAAACAACAACAAACAGGGACTGGGAAGATGGCTCAGTGGTAAAAGCACTTACTGCTCTTGCAGAAGATCTGGGTTCAGTTCCCAGCATCTCCACCAGGCTCTCTCAACTGCCTACACCTCCAGTCCCAGGGGAATCTGAACACCTCTGGCCTCCAAGGACACCAGCATGTGCTCGCGTGCACACTTGCTCACACACACACACACACACACACACACACACACACACACACACACACACCCTCCGAAGCTCCCAGACTCATCTCTGCTGTTCATGATGGCCTCTCTCTGCTCTCTAGGGGTTCCCAGGTCTGAGTGCAAGAGACAGAAGCAGATTTCCAAACAGCTCCTTCCCAGTGGAGCAAGCAGCCCAGCCTCTGCCCCAGCCCCCACAGCTGCCTCTGTGCCCCATGGATCAACAGAGAGTGCTGCCACCCTCCTCCTCACCAGGACAGAGCGCGAGTAAGTGGGCACAGTCTGCACCATCCCACCTCATTGTAGGATGGAAAGTGGGGGAGGCTGAAGGCCATGGAGGGCGCCTACCTGGCTTACACATTCGAGGTACCTATGCTGGGGAAGGTGGACCTGGATCTTGCCTCCTAACTTGGAGCTGATTCATGGGACCTCAGTGGCATTGACTTCAAGGACTCTTGTCCAGCCAATGGGATATAATTGTTCGGTGCATCTTTCTGACTCTGAGACCATCCTCCACCACTAGCCCTGCTGTGCAACATCTGTATTGCAGATTAGTATCGATTGAGGCATGGGGGCCACACCTTGTAATTCCAATACCTGAGAGGTGGAGTCAGGAGGATTATGGGTTCTATACAAGCCTGGGCCAGATGGCAAGAATCCATCACCTCTCTTGGCAGTTTTCTGCTGAGATCCTTCCCTGATCTCAGTGTTCTGTGCCATGGTCTGAACTGAATTTTCCTACCCCTGCAGTCTACCTGGACCTTTGTGAAGTTGTGTGCACATGCATGCATGCATGTGCACGTGTGTGTGTGTGTGTGTGTGTGTGTGTGTGTGTGTGTATATATATATATATATATATATATATATATATATATATATATATATATATATATAGAGAGAGAGAGAGAGAGAGAGAGAGAGAGAGAGAGAGATTCGCTCATGTTGTGCTAGGCCTTGGAGATACAGTAATGGACTGGACACTTCTCAGCTCTGGAAAGCTCACCATCTTAGAGTCAAAGAAGCCTGCAGGTGCTCCCCAAGTGCTGTCAGTCTGTGGGTGGTAGCTTTTGAAGGACTGTGGGAGAGCAGAGGTTGAGCCTGGAGGAAGCCGAGAGCTAAAGAAGGCTCCAAGAAGAGCATCTCTAGCGGAGGAAACAGCACATGCAAAGGCCAGGAGGCGAGGGTGCATGTCTCCTCTCAAGAACCAGATAGCCGTGACTAGAGAGGAGATGCTCTGTGTGTCAAGAGCAATAAATACAGAAGCAGCTCAGGTAGACCGCGTGGCCTAGACCCTGCAGGGCCTTCAGCACGGCAGGTGGCAGTTTGCCCAGTGACTAGCTTACAGAATGCATGGGTGAATGCTGGGCAGCAATATGAAAGTTGGTCCTGAAGACAATGAGAAGCTTTAGGTGGCAAAGTGGCATGTCACTGTTGTGCTTTAGAAGTTCCCTGGCTACTACTGGGGTCAGCACAGAGGTCAAGGGGCGGAGGCCAAGAAGGGTGACTCAGTGGGGGGAAGGTGACTCTGGACTGGGGAAAGAAGGGGTGTTTTTAAGAAGAGCCGTTGGTGGCATGATGCTGGGCTGGCACGCAGTGGGGATTGGTGGTCTCTAAGGCTCAGGGGCACGTGGCGAAGGAGCACCTGGAGGAGTCTGCTGGCTGTTTGGCTGGCTGCTGGTTTGGGGGTGGGGTCAGAGTGAATCTGCAGAGAAAGATGAACGACAGTCCCCCAGTGAACCTCCGACAGTCCCCCAGTGAACCTCCGGCAACCGAAGTGTTATGTCAGGAAGCCCAAGAGCCTGACAGACCCAGCCAGAGGACAGGTGACACCCAAGGCTGTGTTCCAGGTCCCAGACCAGGCAGCCGAGCTCTGTGTCCTACGTTTAACCAGTTGCTGGGAGCGCTCACCCTCCTGCAGCCACCGTGGCCCCTGTGTTTTGCCTTGGAAACCCCAGCAAGCATCTCCCTGGGGATCACCTAGGAGACCCATGCTTGGTACACACACAGCTTAGTTGGACATGGCCAGAGGGAGGTCCCCAAGCCTTCGTGTGCAGTCCACAGAGATCATGTCTGCAGGTGGTACCAGGAGACGCTCACCCAAGAGTCCAGGGATCCTGAGGGGAGTTTCCAGCCTGGGTGTCACACATAGTGTGGCTGCAGAGCCCACCTCAGCCTGGAAGATGACCGCGTCAAGCCCAGTCTCTAGTGGTGCTCCGTGCACGGGGTCTGTGTCGGGGTATCGGTTAGCTTGTCCCCAGCAGTGCCAGCAAGGCCACAGGACCTTGAGAGCTCAGCGAGCTAGGAGCCTAGCAAAGCCAGAACAGGCAACATTATTCCCTTAAGTAGTGCCGTGTCTTTGGACAGGAGGTTGGGCTGTGTCTAGACGTCTCACAGGGGGTCCAGAAGGCAGCCTTGCAGACACCATCTTCCAGCCTGCTCACTTCACAGCACCAGAAGCACGTGGAATCCCCTTGTCCCACTCGGCGACCTTTTGTTCCCTCCCTCCTGAAGCCTGAGTCCAGGAATGTTCCCCAGCATCTGAGGGGTCTGGGATTATGAGATGGGGTGCTTATCCTTCCTGCTTCTGGGTCAGAGCTGGGGAGGCAAATGCCCGGAGTGTCTTCTGCTGGCAGTAGCCATGGTGGATAGGAATATCTGCAGGAAAAGCAGCAGAGAGCTCTGCTCAGACAGTTACAGCTTCTGGAAGGAGGCAGGGAAGATAGGGCCGCCCTGACCCAGCAGGACAGGATGGAAAGTCTGCAAATGTTTGTGTGCTAGGGTCTTGCTTTATAACCCAGGCTAGCCTCGAACTCGTGGTAATCCTCCTGCCTCGGCTTCCTGAGTGCTGGGATTGCAGGGGTGTGCCACCAAGCCCGCGTCAGTGTTTTCTACTCTGTACCTAGTCTCTGTCTTGAGAAGCCGAGGCTGCCTGTGAGGAGGGTCACCCTCACGGGTGGGTTACCCAGATTTGCTTGTGGGCCACGAACTCAGAGAAGTGTCAAGGTGTGTGGCAAGGGACATTCCAGAATCACTGGGCCGCGCAGTCTGATCTTGTGTCCGTAAAGACAAAAGCCGCCCCCCTCCAGGCGGCACTGGGGGCCCCGATAGCTCTGTTAGGTGCTCACATGTTCCCGTTTCTTTCTCGCCGCCATTCCAGCCAGGCCATCAGAGATCTCCAGGCAGAGGTGTCGCGGCTCCGCCTGCAGCTGGAGGACAGCCTACACCGGCCACACCCAGGCAGCCCAACTCCTGCAGCCCAACTCGACCCCTCCACACGGACCCAGGACAAGCCGACGGATTCCTCCCCCTCCTGGGCCTCCCACTATGGCAGGTAGAAGACGGCCCCCAACCCCTACCTCTGTTCCCTATGGAGTTAGCCAGCCTCTGGCCCTCTCTGGGCACGTGGGCGTAGACACTGCACTTTCCCCTCTCCTCACAACATGGTCATTGGTCCATTCTTATGCTTACCCTCCCCCCCCCACACACACACATTAATTTATGGAAGGGATGCACACATGCCACAGTCATCTGTGGAGGCTGCCTCCAAAAACCTCATCCAGTGATGTCATCTCTTTCTTTCATGTTGCTAGTAAATCCACAGAGAGGTTGTCTGGGGAGCCTAATGGTACAGAGCCAGCTGGGCCAAGAGGAAGACGGCGAACCAGGTCCTCCTCCGTGCCTCGGGATGTACCCAGACTGTTCCTAAGTAAGTGACCAGAGACCTGTGACTGGTTTCTGAGGGTCCCCAGTCAGCACGTAGGCTCTGTGGTCAGGGAACCCAAATGAGCCTGGAGAAGGGCATCTGTATGTGTGTTTGGGGCTGTTGCTGTGCTCTGAGACAAAGTACATCTTTACTCCTAACCCCTTAGACGATGCAGCTCCCAGGAGGGAGGGGGCTGAGGGTCACCAGCCTCCATTGCAAGTGGATGTGAGCTCTGCTGAGGACATTAACGCCAGAGTTCAGGGACCTCACTGACAGAGAACAGTTGTGGAGTTTGAACTGGGGTTCAACCCCAGTTCCTGTCCCTGGCCAGTTTGTCACCTGCTCTGAGCAGATAAAGTGACAGCGGACCGTATAGAAATCAGAGCACCCACCTCCTAGGTGTTGCTGCACGGGGGTGTGACAGCCGCAATGCTCCAGACTGAGATTCTGGAGCTGTGGACCCTTGGTCCCCTGGGAAGACCCGACTCAAACCCAAGCATAGCTCTGACGTCTGCCCTTGTATTATGCTCACTCCTCAAGCAGTTTGAGCCCCCCCACCCACTCCTTCTGAGGCTCCCTTTCCACCCCAGGTTCAGAATCTGAATCGCTTTCTCCTCGGCTGTCATCTGGGAAGAGCAGGACCTTGGAAGAGCATCCCCAGGTCGCACGGGAGGGGACAAGATCTGCAGGCAGCATGAGGCGGAAGGAAAGAGTCTCCTTCCGGGGCCAATACACAGGTGAGCCTCAGCCCTGGGGGTTATGTTTAGCTTATGCATATGCACTTGTAAACATGTTTGTGTGTATGAGCACATGTGTGCCTGACTGCGTGTGCATGTGTGTCCTCATATGTGTGGAGACCAGAGGCCGTGGTCTGCTGTCTTCCTCCATCTCTCTCCACTCTATTTGCTGAGGCAGGATCTCTCACTGAGCCCCAGTCTCACCCGTTCAGCTAGTCCAGATGGCCAGCTTGCCCTGGGAATCCCCCCACCCCCTCTGCCTCCCGAGTGCTGGAATTACCGGTAGGCCGCTGTACCCACCCAGCTTTTCTGTCAGTGTGGAGGATCCAAAGTCTGGTCTTCACATTTCTGCTGTAAGCTCTTTATCTGCCGAGCCTTCTCCCCTGCCTCAGCCCTTGGTGTTAATATATTAAGTAGCCCAAACTGGCTGAGAACTTGGAACACGTTCGCGTCTATCCAGTGTGATTTCAGGAGCTTGAGACCATGCTGGGACCAGCCAGTTTTCTAGTGGCCTCAAAGGGCTTTCCAATGGCTGTCCAATGCAGTCCTGTTCTGTCCTTGCCCAAGTCCCAGAAATCGGTCCTATGATGTCCCTCTGTCCAGCCATTTAGAGCCCAGGAAGAGACACTGCTGACCCCTCAACTGAGCCCGAGGCAAAGAAGGGATGACGCTGACTCCTGACTCATGACATTTCTGCCACATCAGTTTTCATGTCCTGCCTCTGCTGGGTGTGCTAATCACTCCCACAGGGCAAGAACTGGCAGCTACTTCTAGAGGCAGAGACGCTGCAAGCCTGGAGAGGGCAGTAGTAAGCAGGCATCTGTGTTCTGTGCATACGTGCGCACACATGTACAGTGGGTCCATCGGCAGTGTGCGCTTCACCTGTACAGAGGAGCTAGGCAGCAGACAACTGATAAAACCGCGGGAAGAGGAAAGAGATGATTAAACCAGTGTCCACACGGGTGTTGACGCTGACCATTCTGGATTCTTCCCCAGGTCAGGAGTACCACATCCTGTCTCCCAAGACTGTCCTGAAGGACAGTGGCACAGCCTCCTGTCCCCACTGCCAGCCCAGTAGGACCCGGGACACAGGTAAGAGGCAGTGTTCTGGGTGGTTGAGGCTTAGCCTCTCACCATTGGCAATGTTTATTAGTGCTGACTGTGAACCATGTTATGAGAGGAGAGGCTCAGAGACATTAAGTAACTTGCTCAAGGACACACAGCTTACAAGTGATAGCGCCAGTATTTGAACTCAGGTCTTTATGACTCCAGAGTACTGGCCCCTCACCACCGTGGATCGCTGTCCTGACAGACCTTTCCATTCATTCATTCACCCATTCACTCATTCACGCTCACTCAGCACCTACCAATATTGTCCCTAAGGAACCAGCAACAAAACAGAATGGCCAGGGGAAACAGTACCTGACCAGACTGGACGTGGGAGGTTCCCAGAAGGTGTGCTGGCCAGGGTGTTCTGGGCTCCCATGGAAGGACCGAGACTGTCTCAAAGGCAAAATGGGCTTGTCATCTGGAGGGCCTGGGCATGAGATCAGATGGCCACTTCCTTTGGCCAAGTACTGCCTCATGGTGCCTCAGTTTCCCCGCCAGTAGAGGGGAGATGGGCAGAGCAGCTAGCGCAGTGAGCAGCGGGGCGTTGTGGAGTGATAGTAAAGGTCTTCAGTGGTTAGCATGTGGTCAGTGCCCACTTACACCGTCATGGTTGCTGCTCATGTTGCCCTCCGGCACATAGCCTGGCGGCCTCTGCGGGTCATCCCTTCCACAGCTCTCTCTTTCTTCCCTTCCAGGCAGTGCTGTCTCTAGAGAGCCCCCGGGACCGTCGGCTGCTGACACCCTCCGCTGTCCCCTGTGTGGGACAGTCAGGTCCACTGCAGAAGGAGATGGCCCCACCTCAGGCCCCTTTGGTAGGAATGAGTGCTCAGCGTCTTCCTTCGGTCATGGGCGTGGCCGTACCTTGGGAGTGCCGTGGGCTCGGCTGCATCTGCCCATATCCTCACACAATGTCTGTGCATCCTTTCTTCCCTTACAGGGAGGAACACCCCAAGGAAAACTGCACCTTCCACCCCCAGTCCCAAACGGAAGAACAAGCAGATGGGCTCGCCAGTACGACCGCTCCCTGGACTCTGGTACCTGGCTGCTGCATCCCCAGCCCCACCAGCCTTGGCCTACATCTCCTCGGCTCCTATCATGACTTACCCACCACCCACCGTGTGAGTGTTCCCTTCCAGCTGCCCCAGCCTGCCTGAGTACCTGCAAATTCAGCAGTCTTATATCGTGTCAGAGGGCTGTGAGCCATGGATAGTGCCTTCCTGTAACTTACCCATGTGGAAATGGAGCGCGTGCCTGACATTCTTGTAGTCACTCAACAAACCCTTAGGGGGCAGACTGCTGGGTACTGGAAACCCAGCGGTGAAGTAGACTGGCAAGAGGGCCCTGTCTCTGGGAGTTACAGCTTCCTGGAGACCTAGAATCCATGTCATCTCCCTCTCCTAGTGAGTAAGCCTGTAATAAGGACTTTTTAAAAAAAAAAAAAACAGTAGTAAGAATAGTTTCTGATTTTTTTTCTCCCTTCTTTTTTTCAATTGACTTTCATTGGTGGAATGGTTTTCGATTTAGGAGAATTGAGTGGGTACTACACAGTTCTCCCACGCACTACACCTCCCCCGCAGCCTGTTCCGATGTCTCTGTTCATACACACTCTGTTCGTACATGTTACTCCTAGAGAACCAACCCCAACGCTTTAGTGTTAATCAAAGCCCTCGGTTTTCCTCTAGCATCCTTGATTTATGTCTGAAGCCATTTTCTATTCCGGGGTACCATCCAGGATCCCCTACATTTACTTGGGGGCACCTCTTGTTCGTGGCTGCTCCATATTGCCCTGTCTCCGTGGCTGTGGCATGCAAGGTCCACCAACTAGATGGGTTTGAGATTGAACACCACCTACCTAGAAGCAAAGAGTGGGCACGGTGGCCTGGTGACATCTCAGGGTCAGACATAACTGTACAAGGAACACCCTCTCCTTTCATCGCTACTGTGGCCGAGGCGGGGGGACTCTTTCTATAAGCCTCGGTTTCTCTATCTGTTCAATGGGGGAGTGGCTCTGCCAGGCACTGCTGTGTGAGGATTAAGTGAGACGTGTCAAGACCCAACTGGGATGTTTGTGGAGTCTTTTCTGTGATTCCGGGAAGTGTCGTGACTGACTTAAGGATACCTTGGCCATCTCTCCTCCTCTGTGAAGGGAGTCAGGTGGGATGCAGTGTTACCAATAGACAGTCTGCCTCTGTGGGTGATGGGGCGGCAGCTGCCTCTATGGCCGCGGATGCCAGTAGGGACAGAAGTTGAAGGCACCAGCAGGCACTGGGGCTCTGTGAGGGGCCAGGCCTGGGGTACAGTTTCTTCTGCCTTCTTGGTTGAGTCTAGGTGGACCCTTAGGGGGCAGCCTTGCTTCGTGTCCAGACCCTGACTCCCATGGTATGGATTCCTGTCCCTGGGCAGGAGAGGTTTGGTGACATTTAGCAGCCTTCTGGGAGCCTCGGGGTTCTCCACTGTTCTCAAGGCAAATCCTTACAGTCTGGGCCCAGGGAAGAGCTCACCAGGTTGTGGTGACTACAGGGAAGAGAGGATTAAGTGGCCGGCCGTTGGAGAATGACTTGGGGTACATCACTGTGCCTGTCTGGCCTGTTTCTTCTTCTGGGATGATAAAGATGACCACATGAAGGAATGTATGGGAAGCCAGGGTGGCCAGTAGCCTTAGTGCTTTAGATATAGTTAGAGCAAACCACGCCTCTGGGTCCTCCCTGGCCAGACAACAAGACTGAGCATGCTCCGGGGTTGAACTAGAAACTGTGGCGGTGCTCTGCTGCCACCTGCTGGCCATATGCAGCCCTGCCGCAAAGATTCTGTAGTCCAAGTGCCTTTGCTTCTGCCCTGGAAAGCTTGGCACTCTCAGGCCAAGCTGGCCCTCCTATGAGCTCCAAGTATGGGAGCCATAGTGAGCCCAGATTCCCCCTAAAGGAGGGAGTGTGAGCTGCTCTGCTACCTCTGGGAAGCCCAGTCATTCAGCATAACGTTCTCCATCAGTACCTGCCACTTGCTGATGCTGGTAGAATTCCATGACAGCCCCAGGGTGCACACAGGCAGCGCACGGTGGGTGGTCTGTAAGTGACTGCTAAGTGAGAGGATGGTGTGAACTAATCCTGCCTTGCACCTGCTCCTGGACAGGCTCTGGCACATTTATTCTCCTTCATCCCTCCAAGTAGAGTAGATGTGCAGCTAGGGCTCCCAACCCACAGCCTCTTACTCATACCCTTCCTTCTCTCCCCAGGTACTATACAACCCCAGCACCTACCTCAGCCCGGACAGCCTCCCCGCAGCCTGCCCGGGGATCTCGGGGAACCCGGCACTCTGTCCATCTGGGTCTGAATGACCTAGGAGAGCTGCAGGCCGCACTCAGCGAGGCTGCACAGGCCGCTGAGAATGTGCGCTTCACCACCCGCCAGCTGAGCCGTTCCCTGTCTGCGGACCTGCGCCACGCCCGTAGCCTGAGAGGCTCCTGCCTCTTCTGACTCCCTGGAGGCTCTGAGACTGAGTAGGCAGGCAGCCTCTGTTGTCCCCCAGGCAACAGTCTCCTGGAGCCATTGATGGCTGGAAGATGTCATGCCCCCCTCCTCAGGAGCTCCACCTACCTGCTCCATGTGGCATGTTTAAAATGGAGAGACATTGGCCTGGTCAGTAGTGGATGAACATCCAGGGGACCAGCTCTGTCTACCAGGTGCGGTGGTCATGGCTACCTCTGTCCAATCAGAGCCTCTAAGATTTTCCTTGCCATCCCCTTCTGCCCATGTCCACCTGCAGCTAATGATATGGATCTCACTGAACAGAATGTCTTTACACTGAGGAGCTAACTTGAGCTTGGATCCTTCTCAGAAGGCCAGCGAGGACAAGGACAGCCTAAGGTTGCTGCGGCATCCCTGTCACTGCCTGCAATAGCCACGCTGAGGCAGGGAGAACCTGGCTAGGGAGTTCGTTCCTAGTACCCTGTGGACAGGGGAAGGACCCAGGGACCCATAGAACATCTTGGGATGGAGGCCTCAGGTGACATGTGCCCCGATCTCCTGTGATTACGAAAGTTTTCTCCCCAAACCCACAGAATAAAGCCAGCCCATGTAGGGCCAGGAAAGACCCGCCAGCCTCAGACCTCCCCGCTGTCTCTTTGGATTTTGGTAGCATCCACTAGAGAATGACCTGTGGCTGAGGCTGACAAACCAGGCCAACACCCCCCCCCACCCCACCCCACCCCACCCCCGTCCCATAGCAGAGTGATCTCAGCATTTTTGGAATGTGTGTTTATCACAGATTGTTTATATATTTTAGACATTTAAAAATCTATTTTCGTTATAAAAGCCAATGAAGGAAAATGAATAATGATCTCAAGAAAGGGAAAAATTCCCAAAGCTACTTGTGTCTGTGGTGTGTATCGGAAGCCCGTGGTTTTTCAAGACGAAGGTGTGGGCAGGGAAGTGGATGCCCAGCCAAGGTCTCCCCCAGGGTACCTGCTGCATATGATTCCAGAGTCTGCCTGTCCCTCCTGCTGACATCTGTCTCTGAGCTTTCCTTCATCCTGCCCTTAGCCAGCCGAGCAAGGCTGCGGTGGCGGGAGACACCCAGCAGGAGAGTGTCTTCCAAAGCCCCAGGCCGGAGTGAATAGCACCCTCTGCCTGTGTCTAGCTGGACACTGGGTATGCGTGTGGCAGTTTGGCCGTCCCCATTCCCCCTTCCCCCGTGTACTGACAGGCAGAGTGGGGCTCCACAGAGCTGTCTGCATCAGCCGCTTTTCCCATCTCTGTGAAAAAGCAGCTGGCAAAAGCAATTGGAGGGCGGAAGGCTCATGGGTGGAGAGGGACACAGCCTGTCATGTCAGGAGGCTGCAGAAGCTGGTCAAACTGCATCCAGTCAGGACAGGGGAACGACCTTAGCAGAGAGAGTTGAATGTAGGTGCCCAATTAGTTTTCTTCTTTTTGTTAAGTGGGGACCCCTCCCCAAGGAATGCTGCTGCCCACCCTCAGGCAGGGTGGCCATCTCTGGCAATGGTCTCACAGACACACACATAGTACATCTCCTAGGTGCGAATCCATTTGCGTGTGAAGAGTCTCTCACACCCTGTGTTTGCCACTGAGTGGACCACTTGTAAAGCAGGTGTCAGCTGGCCTCGAGGTTGTCAGGTGTCAACCAGTCTCATCTCACTGTGTCATTGTCTTCTGACTCCCATAGGGGCACCCTGAGGACTCCTCCTGGGGACAGCCAGACTCTCTGGCCTACACCCAAGTCTACCATGCCGTCTTGCCCTGGCCTTTTATACCATGCCCATGGCAGCATCCACATGGGCCCTCCTGTCTCCCAACTCACTGACACTTGGGTCTTCTGCCTCATCTCCTTCAAATGTGCCCTCTTGCATTTGGAACTTATAAGAGCAGCAGGGTTTTTTTTTGCAGCTCGTGATTCAGATGCCCCTTCCAGGAAGCCTTCTCAGATTTCCCCGGGTTGGGCTTGTTGGACTTAGCTGAGACTCAACTCATGGCAGGCCTCTCCATGAATGATTGAATGAATGAATGAATGAATGAATGAATGAAGCAAATAAATGGTTATTGACTGTTTTGACAAAGCTTTATTGATGTGGAGAAAGAACCAAGGTGCACAGGGTGGGTGTGGTGGGCATGAGGACAGCCCACAGAGTACAGAGAGCTGAGACCATGCCTGGCCTTCCTAGGGACCCTCCTCTGTCTTCTTCTTCTCTTGCTCAGACTGCTTCTGCTGCTGACTGCACATATCCTAGAGAACAGCAGGGAAGAGGGCAGAGTGATTGAGCTGGCTGTGGTGGCACACAACTGTGGGGTGCTGAAGCAGGGGGATTGCTGAAAGTTCCAGGGTAGCCTGGGCTACAGGGTGAGATATAAAAGAAAAAATAATATGGCAAGCTAGGTAAGCCTGATGGACAGGCTTGAATTCAATCCCCAAAGCCCATGTGAGGGTGGCGTGCTCCACAGAGTTGTCCTCTGACACACTTCACACACATCATGGCATGCTTGCACGTGAGTGCACACACACGCAAGTACACACGCACATGCACTTGCACACACACACACACACAATAGCAATAAATAAATTTTTTTCGTTTTTTGAGACAGGGTTTCTCTGTGTAGCTTTGGCTATCCTGGAACTTGCTCTGTAGACCAGGTTGGCCTCAAACTCATAGATATCCTCCTGCCTCTGCCTCTCAAGTGCTGTGATTAAAGGTGTGTACCACCACCACCTGGCTATAAATACATTTTTAAAAGGGGAATGAAAATCCCAGTGGTTGGCCAGAAAAGGCAGGATAGTGTCAACCAGCTGTAACTGAGATCTACCACGACTTCGTTGGAGTATCAAGGGCAAGTCATTCCCATCTCTGAGCCTCAACTTATTCACTCCATTGAACAGGAGCACGGAGTCCCCCAAACGGCAGGCATTTTCTGAACATCTTGACCACGGGTGCGGGTTGAGTCTACAGACCCCACAGTCGTGTAGCTGAAATGACTAAGGCCCAGGTGGCTGGATGACCTTTTTGAGGTCTCCTGGTTGTGAGGTGGAGAAGGCAGGCTGTGAAACACCTCAATTCCAGTGGCTGTTTGCAGGCATCCTCTTCCTGGGAACCCAGGACTGGCAGGAAGGGTTCAGGTAGGGTCACAAAGTATTGTGTGTCTCTCAAACTGAGTGTAAGCTCATTGGCTGGTCCTGTGACCTCAGCTAGAACAAAGTCAAAGCTGAGGAAAGCTTTCCTTCAGCACAGGTTCAGAGAGAGCATCAAGAAGACCCTGTGTGGGTCATTCCTGCCTTATAACCAAAGTCACCGGGCTTGCTGGAGTTGGCAGGGCACAGAAAACTTCAGCCACAACTTTGTTTTTTTTTTTTTTTTTTTTTTTTTTTTTTTTTTTTTTTTTGGTTTTTCGAGACAGGGTTTCTCTGTGTAGCTTTGCGCCTTTCCTGGAACTCACTTGGTAGCCCAGGCTGGCCTCGAACTCACAGAGATCCGCCTGGCTCTGCCTCCCGAGTGCTGGGATTAAAGGCGTGCGCCACCACCGCCCGGCCAGCCACAACTTTGTATAGGTAGTGAAAACGAAGGCCAGGGAAAAGCCTGGCACCCTGGCACCAGCCGTCCCCTCCATTGCCCTTTCTGGTCCTGTCCCATATCCTCCCCAGTCTTTCCAGGATCTCCTACTTAACCCCACCCCTAGTCTCGTCGCCTATCTCTGGTCTCTGGGAATCTCAGCTGCCACAGCAGGCAGAGTTCTTAACAGCAAGACACCTGCCTCACTGGGCTACCTTAACCAGCAGCTTACCCTCTCTGAGCCTCTAGGGTCACTCAAAAATGGTTACTCAAGAGGGTGACATCATCCAGCCTCTTTGTTTACCTTTTTCCAGTCAGTATATATGATTTCTGACTCCTTCATGCCCAGACTTTTGACAGCTTTCTGGAATTTCTCAAGAAGCTCTGGGGAAACATCTGGCTTATTAGCTGCAAGAGAGAATGGGGGGCTGAGTAAGGGTTCAGCAGATGGGAGGCCTGGCAGGGATGTGGGGTGCGGGTGGGGAACCAAGGGCAAAGCCCTTGGAGCTGGGGATCAGGGCTGCGAGGGGCCTACCATACAAGGACAGTCCCCGGTTTTTTTCATCATCCAGGGCAAAGGCAAGCAGGAAGCCCCCATGTTTCTTGAACACTTTCAGGTGGGCCAAGTATTCTACTGCTCCCCCTGCAGGAGGAAAGGTTCTGTGAGTCACTGGAATGGTGCCATGCACCCCATTCCCAAGGTAAGGAAGCAAAGAGCTAGGGGCAAAGGCCTGGGGCTCCCTGGAGCTGCCATGTGCTCAGTCCAGACTGTGTACCAGCCCTCCGCTGAGTTCTTCACAGACGAGGAATGGCAGGGGCCTTGGAAAGATGGTGGTTATCTGTCCCCATGTCACAGATGAAGGGACACAAGGGTTAAAAGCCTCAGGGTTGCTAAGCAGTGTCTGATCAGGCCCATCAGCATTTGTGTGGCCTTCCTATGTGTTGTCCCCGGTGACATGGGGGGCATGGGTGAAGTCGTGGCTGCCCACCCCACGGGTTCCCACTCTGAGCTCACAGAGGATGGGAAAGGATGGTTAAAAGAGAGGGTGGTCTGAAGCTAGATTCTAGTGTGAATCTGCTTCTAATTACAAAGAACGACGTAACCACCCTGTGCTGTTTCCTTCTCTGATCCTTGCGATATCGAAAGCACTGAGTTCCAACAGTGTCCAGCACAGGGCAAGAGCTCTGAGCTTTTGTTGGTCAGTCAGTGCTCTCTGTGACCACAGGATCCAGGGCCTTGGCACGCCCTCACCTCTAAGCTGGCTAGCCCCCTTCACAGACAGATCCGCCCCATAAGTGCTGGCCCTCACCTGATTTGGAGATGGTCCCATTCTCTCTCTGGACTCCCAGCTTGCTGACGTTACAGACACATCGGTCCTCCCTACGGGCAAAGAGAAGGTGGACAACAAAGCGAGAGGTGACCAGGAGATGTGACCAGCATGGAAGCCAAGAGGCAGGTAGAGAAGACAGTTAGCTGTCCCCATTCCTGAAGGTGGGAGGAGGGGAGGCCAAGCAGAGGCAGAGTTTGCTCAGGTCTCCAGGCATCCAGGAATGGAGGCCAGGGCTGGGGTGGGGTGGCTGCTGCAAGGACTCACATGGTCTGGTATTCTTGGAGCAGTATAGTGTCGTCCGTCACGTTGGGGGTAAAGTAAAAGTATTCCGCCTGTATCTTTTGAGCTGCCTGCTTGAACGCAAGGTTGTGTAAAGCCGAGCCAATGTAAAACCATTTGCCAGAGAGCTGGGAAGACAAAGGCACACAAGTGAGCAGGCCTTGGAGTGTGGACCTTGGCAGTCACCAGCGATGAGTGGCAGGCAAGAGATGGCTTCTGAGCCACACGTGGGGGGACAGAAGCCCCAGGTGGGGATCACATAGACAACTCAAAAATCAGCCATCCACTGCTCTGTCCCCTTCTAGAGACCTCAGGGGGATGCTTCTGTGTTTGAAGGCAGGGGGATGCCACCAGAGTCCCAGGCTGGTTAGAATTTCTCTCAGGAGAGACAAGGGCAGCACCAGGAGCCCAGAGATTAACACAGACAGGGAAGGAAAAGCCCCAAGGAAAGGCTGCCGTCTACAGTGCTCAGAGCCAGGCCCCGGGCAGGCACTCACCCAGCTCAGGGTGTCATTGGTAATAGGTATGCCTGTGATGTTGGCGTGTTCTGGATTCTGGGCCCCCAGCAGTGGCAGGAGGCTCAAAATGACAAGAACCGTGTGCAGCGCCATGCAGACGGACACTCAGAGGCACCGGAGCCAGGAGGAGCTAACTGGTGGCTGGAGGGTGCAGTAACCTTTATAACAAGATGTGGGAGGAGCTCCAGAGTCCAGGCAGGGGCTGCAGAGACTTGGCACAATCCCACCAGCTCTGAGAAACATCTTGCGTAAAACGTCCTCTCAAGCCAGCTGTAAGTACAGGTCTCCCAGGCAGCCCTGATATGGGCTCCTGACCTACAGTTGCCCTAAAAGACAGAGTGTTGATTCATGGCCAAGGTGTGTACAAGGCTAGCCCGGGGACACTTAACAGGTTACTAGCCACAGGTTTTTAATATAGATCCCAGCTAGTAATCTCATTCATTTCTTGTCCCATGGAGCTGCCAAGCATGAGTGACAAACCCTCCGCCCCCAGCCACAAATCAAATCCCGAATGTGTTATGAGGAGGTTCCAGGTCAGGAGTGAACTTGGAAGATGCTTAGGGAGTAAGCAAGACAAAGATGAGTTAGAGTCCAAATGAGTGTGATGCTTCTGGGGACCCCTACCCAGCCTTGCAGACAACCAAGTGCCCAATGGGGGTGGGGGGTGGGGGTGGATCTGAGTGGAATATCTAGTCCAGCAAAAGTTCCAGTATCTAAACCAGGCAAGGATCTGCCTACGGCAGTGCTCGCCCAACCCCGGAGCTGTGCCCAGCATCCAGTAAGTATCAGTTGTTGTTCCTGCCTGATGTAGCCTGATCTTTTTCCACATGAATGAATACTCTCAAAAAGGATTGTTATGGTCAGGCATGGTGACACTCACTGGGGCAAGAAGTCATTTCTGGAAGCTTGAGACCAGCCTGGGGTTACGCAATGGGCTGTTTCAAGACTTCAACAACAGCAGTGTTATAGCACGCTCACAATTGTGTGTTCTATTTCCTGTGTCCTCCGCATATTTTTATATTTTAGTGTAGTCCGAGTTACAGTTTTAATAACACATAACTTGTCCTTTCACTTACTATGTTCTAACTTCGTGAGACCTTTTCTTCAACTTGTGGCATGTTGTATTGTATTTTCCCCCTCGTGGTTAAGTGTCAGAGCAGCATATTACCTTTTTAAATTACCCCACCATCCAACAGGAAAAAGCACATGTCAACTCCAGCATCATGCATGTGAATGATTCTAGTGGGATTATTTAAAGCAGCCCCAAGGGCGAATCTGTTAAATGGCCATGACCAAGCAAATGGGACATGGATTGTGACGTCTCATGCAAAAGGAGTGTTGCTTAGTGACAGAGAGAAATGAACTACTGATAGATTTGACAGTACAAATGAAGCTCAACAGTGTTGTGGCCAGTCGTGGAACTCAGATATCCCAGAGGTGGGATTGTGTGAATCTGTGTATGGGAGTTCTAGACTAGCCCAGCTCATCTCTATTGATAGAAATGAAGTCAGTGGTTGCCTAGGGGGAAAGGAAGGGGCCACAGACGGCAGGGGGAAAAGCCAGACCTGGTTTTGTTAATCACAGATTAGAGTTCACTTCTAAAGGCATATAATTAAAAAAGCACGTCTAAGGCTGGCTCAAGAAACTAGGATAGTCCCCACTGTATGGATGAAGTAACAAGCCACACAGAGAGGTTAAGTGACCTGGAGAAGACACACAGCAGCAGAGCACAAGCAACTCAGCAGATGTGAGCATCCCTCTCTGCCTCCTTCTGTAGCAGCAGCTGAGCAGGACTGCTGATTCTAATTAGGGCCTGTAGGTAGGGGCTGAGAAAGCACACCAAAGACTGTTGGGACAAGCCCAGGTCCTGTGTGGAGATCTTGGCAACATGCGTGTGACTGACCTCCTTGAACCTCAATTCCTTTGTCTGAAAGCCCATCACGGTATGTACACGTTTTGCCAGCCAAGCCCTTGAGATAAAAAACACGCTTTGTACTGGTGCAGGGGGGCATGGCCAGTGTACAGGAACTACCTCCATTGTGAGAGTGAACGGTGCTTTGCTTGGCTTGACCCGTCTGTAGCTGGCCTCTACAGATCAAAGAGCAGGGCTCAGAAGGTAAAAGGCTTGCCCTACAAGCGTGGGGACTTGAGTTTGATCCCAGGAACCCACACAGTAAAGCCCGGGCATGGTGGCACGCACCTGTAATCCTAGCAGTGGAGGGATAGGGATGGGCAGGTTCCTGGTGCCCAATGGCCAGCCAGGCTAGCCGACTTGACAAGCTCAAGGCCAAAGGGGAGACCCTGTCTTAAGAAAGAGGGCTGACTGCTCTGAGGAAAAACATCTGAGGTTTGCCTCTGGTGTACACACACACACACACACACACACACACACACACACGCACACGCACACGCGCACGCACGCGCACGCACACGCACGCGCACGCACACGCGCGCACACACACACACACACACACACACACACACACACACACACGTATGCACGCAAGCACGTGCTCAACAGCAATTGACTGTTATTCGGCTCTATACTATGGTCTGATAGCCTACCTATGGCTGGCAGGCAGGACAGAGCGCACTTCTCACGACAAAATGAGCTCCCTCTGAAGGCCCTGCCCCAGGCAAGACGCTGGGCCCAGAACTTGAAGTGTCTGTCTGTCTGTTCTCTCCTTTGCCTCATAGGCTACTGAACATTGTGTTGTGAGCGGGCCTTGGCTGACCTTTCGGCACTGTGGACAGGACAAACACAGCGAGTCGGACTTTTCCCTGGAACCCCAGCCTGCAGGGGAACCAGCTCTGCCGGCTTCCTGACACCTAGGTTGTGCAATGGGAGATTGAGAAATGTGGGGAGGCCTGACTTAGAGGAAGCTGCCACCTGCCACTTCTGGGAAGAAACTGGCTTAGCTTCAGGGTGTTCGATGGCCATGTCAGGCGACCCAGGAATCAATGAGACCAAGTGGTAAACATACTCGTCTCCTCCTCCAGCCCCTCCTGCTGGCTCTCATGTCTCCTGGGTCATGATTACAAAGCCACAGAGAGGTTGCTGACACTGTCAGAGTTCTGAGTCCCAGGCCAGCTGTCCTGTCGTTCCCAGGTCTGCCATCTGCCACCTGCACAGCTCAGCTCCTGGGCCCTGTTGCGGCTTGGATCTATTGGCCTTAGTCTCCATTCTTCTGAGCGAAACCATGACTTCTGTTTCATGGCGCCCAAGCCCCTCTGCCGCTGCCACCGGAAGGGAGTCACTGGCCCTTCCTACTACGTGGATGAGCAAGGCTTGTTTCCCTAGATGCAGCCTTGGACCCAGAGCCACGCTGATGCCTGGACACTGAGGCCTGTAGTAGTAGGTCTCCATATGGCACAGCACACAGAAGGGTCTCAACCTGAGGAACCAGTAGCTTCAGGTTTCCGCCGGTACCTTTTCCAGGCAGGTGTTATGAATATTCTCAGATGGAGTGTTCCTCACAAGAGCCAAAAGGGGGGCACAGCCAGTGTCTCCCAACTGAAGAACAGACAACTTGCAATCTGTCCATACTGTGTGCAGTCAGCCTCCACGAGAGCCATCTTGAATTGTATGCACCACAGCTGCTTTTGGGTAACCCATCTCTTGCTTAGTTTCCTTGCTTAGTTTCTCAGCCAACTATAAATAGGTAAAACATTAGCATGGTATGTGGAGCTTTTGTGTATGTGTATGTGGGTGGGTGTCATGTTCACGTATGTATGCATGTGTGTGTGTGTGTGTGTGTGTGTGTGTGTGTGTGTGTGTGTGCATGTAGAGGCCAGTGACCAACCCCAGGTGTCATTCCTTGGGAACTGTCCAGCTTCTATTTTTTGAGGCAGGATCTCTCACTGAACCTGGGGCTCATTGATTTGACTAGGCTGGCTGACTAGCAGGCCCCAGAGGTACTCCACCACATCTGACTTTTCACATGGATCTGGGGATTGAACTCTAGTCCTCACACTTTCACAGCCAACACTTTACCAAAAGAGTCATCTTCCCAACCCCCAGTACATGGAGCTTGAAAACCAGGCCCTGTGCTGGGAATGTACTCTTCCTTCTGACCCAAACTACAGTGGTGCACTTGGTGTTGCTGTGTCTTTCTGGAGTAGATCCCCAGTACATTGTGCCCAGTACTTATCAGTGCTTATCAGCTCACTTCTTTCTCTGCTTTAACAGCATCGCTTACATTCTAGGGTGGGTCGACCTAGAACGATAAGATGTGACAAGGGCTGGAGAGATGGCTCAGTGGTTAAGAGCATTGGCTGCTCTGCCAGAGGACCCAGGTTCAATTCCCAGCACCCACATGGCAGCTCACAACTGTCTGTAACTCAAGTTCCAGTGGATCTGACTCCTTCACAAAGACATGCAGGTCAAACGCCAATGCATATAGCCTGGCAGTGGTGGCGCATGCCTTTAATCCCAGCACTCAGGAGGCAGAGCCAGGCAGATCTCTGTGAGTTCGAGGCCAGCCTGGTCTACAGAGCGAGATCCGGAACAGGCACCAAAACTACACAGAGAAACCCTGTCTAGAAAAAAAAAAAAAAAGATGTGATGGTATTGCCATCAAAATGAACGAAGAAACACTGCATGATTCAACACACACATGCAAAGTCCCATCCCTGAGTATGGCAGCTCAGAGGCCGGAAGGGGCCAGGACAGCTCCAGGCTTAGGGGCTTGGATAGAGAAGGGTTCTTCCTACACTTGGACATCCCACTCTTCCTCCAGAACCTTGGCATCAATTTGCCCTCAGCTTTAAGCCCCAGCACAGGTCACTGCCTCACCAGGACACCTCCGGGCATCTTCCCTCCTCACTCAAGGCTTCAGCCTGCCCTTGAGCACTGTGAAGAAGCGTCAGACCACAGCCTCAGCATTCCATTGCTCAGTTTTAAATATTTATTTAAAGTCCAGAAGGGAACATGAGAAACGAAACCCACTGAGGGTCTGGACACACTGACATTTAGACAGAAACAGAAGAACGACAGTGAATACACATCCGGTGACGAGAGACACAGAGAGGAAACAGGAAACAGCGTGCAGATGAGGACCGAATGACAAAACGCACATCTAGCCTGGGGTGGGGCGGGCAGGGGTACACAGGCAGCGTCTGGGGGAGAGGGTGGGAGTGAGGTATTAAATAATGGAAAGCAAATCCAATTCCTCACAAGACACAACTTTAGAAACACACAAATACAGACTTTGACATCAATCCTCCTTCTATAAAAATAATTCCATAGTTAAAATAACTTCAAAATCCATTTAGGGTCCCGACTTATTTAGGTTGCATGGAAGATCGCTGTTATGGAGACCGATGAGGTACCCATAACTCATCCTTCCTCCTCCACCCAAATAGGCGCTTGGGGAAAGGATGTGGGTTTCTACACAGCTGTGCAATCTGGGAAAGCAGGGAGGTTGGCTGCATTCGGAAGATGAGCTCCTGGGAGGGAAACCTTGGTCTTCAGAGATGGTCAGCATTTACAGTTCACCTTCCAGATCAGCCCTTGCTGAGGAGCATCTTCCTCAAATCCGAGGAGTCTTCTCCCAGGTCGGGTCTTCTAAAGGGAACCAAACCCCTCCAGGAGCAAGGAGGACCTCGTCAGAACGCCTCCTCAAAGGTCAGAAGCAGAAATCTCCATACTTCTGGTTTCTAGTAGGATTTTTTCTGTTTCTTTTTTTTTCTTTTTTTTCTTTTTTTCTTTTTCCTTTTTTTCCTCCTCAGCAGATTACGGGGGTAACGCTAGTAACATTGTTAAATCCCCATTTGGAGGAGAGAAAGATTATGGACAAGGCCCCACTCAAAACGTTTCTTCAAAGCCTGTGGCAACAAAAATAGTAGCACCTTCAGAATCTTAAATAAGGTTTTTTTTTTCTTCTTAAAAAAATCACATACATTACGAGAGACAATTGTGAGCACCAGCGATTTCACAGTGGGAGGTAGCACACAGCACCCCAGCCTGGGGGTCAGCCTCTCCACACCCCCAGCTCCTCTTGTCCTTCCTCACCTCTCCCAGGTGAAAAAAATAGTAACACACCTTCTTTTTGTTTAAATAATATATATATATAATAGATAGATTTCTTTCTCTCCTTTTCTCCTCTATTTTTTTTTCATATCTCCTTTCTAATATTGCACATCAAAAGCCCCCTAACAGGGACCAGCCGACAACACGCCCCCTTCCCTTGAGGTGGCATCAACGGGGGAGGGACTCTTTGGGCAGGAAGTTGGGGAGGGAGGGGGTGTCTACGGAGCTGGGCAACAGGCCATGGGCTGGAGTGGGCCGCAAGCCCTGCTTGCTCTGACTGGCTCTTTGGTTGGGGCTAAGCTGGGATTGGCAGTTCTCCAGGACAGCCTGCTACCCTCTCTCAACTCCCGCTGAGCAGATAACAGTTGGGACCTGCACCAGGGTCCTGAGGCAGAGTCCCGCATCTTCTGGGACTAGACGCCCCCCCCCCCCCGCCTCTTCCCTCCCCAGCAAGGCTTAGAGGAGCCTGGAGGTCAGAGGTCGGAGGTCAGAGGAAGCACGCAGGTCCGACTTCGAGGCGGTACTGCTTCCCTGATGAGACAGGTGGGAGGTTGTCCACGCTGACAATGGGCAGCTGCTGGGGGTCCTGGGTCCGGAAGGTGAACAGTGTCTGGTGCCAGCGGCCATCACGGACCTGTAGGTAGGCAGGAAGATGACATGAATGTGATTCTTGCCATTTACAAATGCTTTTCTCATTATCTTTTGTTTTTGCAGGAACAATGACTTGTATGTGGCATATCTGGGCACACACCTGGCTTCGTCGCTTGTATTTTGTAAAGTTTTTTTTGAATATTCAATATTTTTAATTATATGTATGTGGTGTGTCTGAGTGTGGGTTAGTGTATGTGAGTGCAGGTGCCTTTGAAGACCAGAAGGTGGCATCAGATCCCTCGGAGTTCAAGTGGTTGTGAGCTGCCCAACATGGGTACTGAGAAATGAAATCAGGTTGTGTCAGAGAACAAAGGAGCAAGTGCTCTTACCTGCCGAGCCATCTCTTCAACATCTATCTATCTATCTATCTATCTATCTATCTATCTATCTATCTATCTATCTATCTATCTATCTATCATCTATCTATCTATATCTATCTATCTATCTATCTATCATCTATCTATCTATCTACCTATCATCTGTCTATCTATCTATCTATCTATCTATCTATCTATCTATCATCTGTCTATCTATCTATCTATCATCTATCTATCTATCTATTTATCTATCTATCTATCTATCATCTGTCTCTCTCTAACTGTCTATCATCTGTCTATCTATCTATCTGTCTATCTATCTATCTATCATCTATCTATCTATCTATCTATCATCTATCTATCTATCATCTATCTATCTATCATCTATCTATCTATCTATCATCTATCTATCTATCTATCTATCATCTATCTATCTATCATCTATCTATCTATCTATCATCTATCTATCATCTATCTATCTATCATCTATCTATCTATCTATCATCTGTCTCTCTCTAACTGTCTGTCTATCTATCTATCTATCTATCATCTATCTATCTATCTAACTGTCTATCTATCATCTGTCTATCTATCTATCTGTCTGACTGTCTATCTATCATCTGTCTATCTATCTATCTAACTGTCTGTCTATCTATCTATCATCTGTCTATCTATCTATCATCTGTCTATCTATCTATCTGTCTGACTATCTATCTATCCATCCATCCATCTGTTTTTGAGACAGGGTCTCATATAGCCCAGCCTTGCCTTGAACTCCTCCTGTTCCTCCTGCTTCTGTCCCCATCCCTCCCCCAATCAAGTCCTGGGATCACAAGTGTGAAACATCCCACTGATGTCAATGTTTAATGTTTTTTCTTTAATTCTTGTTAAGTAATATTGTATGAAATCCACTGTGTTTTCACTCTGGGGCACATTCCTCGTGTGACTATCCCATGAACAGATTCTACAAGTAGACCCTCCAGACCCAAGGACAGCTAGTGTTCTTGATACATACTGACTCTATATTTACACAGAGCTGTTTTCCAACATCTCTTTTCTCAGTAGCTTCATGTGGGGAGCACATCTTTAATGACACTGTGGATTACTAGTTCGACTTAATGCAAGTAGTTTTACCCATGCATGACTTTCTGTCTCCCTCAACTCTTAGCACACATCCTGTTTAAGACATTTGAAAGTGACCCAAACTATTAACAGAAAGAAAGCCCCCTGACCGGTAGAGCAAAGAGAACAGATACTCTTTCAAAGAGGCCTTTGCAAAGTAACAAATGTCCCTATTAGCCTGAAGGACTTTTTATCAGCATAGACTCCCCCTTAGGAAGTTCCCAGAGAGGTTAGCCTAGAGAGTGCAAGGCCCTGGGTCCACCCCCAGCAACACACCTATGCACACACACACTCATACACACACATGTGCATGGGCACTCACACACAGAGGAAAGCGAATAAAGTCAATTTTACTAAGTAAATCGTTCTAATGAAATTGAATGATGATAATGAATTGAATACAATGTAGTATAAAATGATAAGACATACTTAGAAAACCAGACAAGTTTCTCCTAGTGTCCCCACATCGAGGGACAATGAGGGGTTCCAACAGTTACCTTGCAGCCATCCACAGACACCTCTGGCCTGAACTGACCCCCAGCTTCGAAGACCTGTCCATTCCAGGCACGGAAGCGCACGGCTTGCCTGGCAGAGAGGCGCCCTGGGCCCTCCTGCCACACTGTCAGGTTCAGGCAGTGGATTGTGATGTGCTGTGTCCCCTCAGAGCTGAGCAGGTGCAAGAAATTCATCTGGACCCGGCTCACAGCAAACTCCACCTGTGGGGAGATGCAGATAGGAAGGAGCCTCCCACAGCCCTCAGGTCCCCCACCTTTCTGGAAGGCACCAGGGTTAGCCCTCTCCCGGCCAGTTTTTCCTGTGTCATCTGCCCACTAGAAAGACAGGGAAGCCGAGTTCTGTGTGAGCTGGTCCTGTAGCCTAGTGGCTGTTCAAGCCCAGAAGCAGAGGTCTGGTTTGTTTGCTCTGCTCTCCCAGGTGGGTGAGGTAAGGGTTCAGCCAGGTCTAGAGGCTGGCAAGGAGTCTGTCCAAGCTGAGTGTGGAGGGAATGTAAGGGGCCTCAAAAAATTTAGCCTATAGAGGATACAAGCATTATCAGAGCTGCGGTATGGGGCTCCGGGGAGGCGGGGCTTAATGGAAGGTGGTTAGTTCATTGAGGGTGTGCCCTTCAAGAGGCTATTAGGATCCAGCCCTTTCCTGTCTTTTTTTTTTTTTCTTCCCGACTGCCAGGGAGTAAGGAGCACTCCTCTACTACAGTCCATACCACAGACTCCATGGCAAAAGAGTCAACCAATCAGCAGGAGACAAAGAAAACTTTTTTTTCCCCTTCCAGAAATTTTGTCACAGTGACACAGAGCTGATTAGTCTGTCATTGTTCCGGATGGAGACGGCAGAACTGCTGGGCAACTCTGTTACCGATCCAGACTTACACCTCTGACTGACAGGCTTGCCGTGGGGCCCCCAAACCCCCAAGTCATCAAGAGGGGAGCCCACAGAGGTTACTGCGGCCCTGCTGGACTGTGAGCTCCAGCTGCAGGAACAGGGGCAAGTCTGACCTCTTCACACCTAGCTCAGGGTCTGGCTAGGTCGGGAAGCCAGCCGACTTGTGGAGCAGCTGTCTGAGTGGAACCAGCACCATCTCAGCCAGGGGGAGGTGCTGCGGGGCGTCTATGGGTACAAAAGTCTGGGGCTCCCTACCTCTTCTGCAGCCAGAGCAGCTTCTCCATGTGGCACACTCCTACCCCCTCCTCTACCCCACATGGACAGCCTTGTAGAAACAGACAGACAAGCCGTGGAAGGGCATCCTGGACAGGAATGGCCACGCCCCTCAGCTGCTGCTGCCTGCCTGCCTGCCTGCCTTACCGTTGGGTCGCCTGGCTCCACCCCAAAATGCTTAGCTCAGGAACAGACGTGGTGTGCAGATACTGAATGGGAATTAAAGATCATGCGTGCAAGAGTGACACGTGTCCCCAACAAACAATCTTCCGACTTCGTGCCAACAATTCATGATTCTCCTGGACCACAGAGTGTTCCAAGAGAAGATGGGGTCTTCAGCCCTGAGAGTCCACAGTGTGTGAGAACACAGCAGTGTGAATGGGTTTGTTAACCACACATTAGTCCTACCCATCCCCAAGTTCTAAGAGAGGAAACTATGTCTCAAGAAAGGATGGCTTTCCCACAGCTTTTCAAGACGACAAGCCAGGCTCAGAGCAGGGACTGGTAGGGTGGGCAGAACCTGGTGGCAATGGGGAGCAGATGGTACCTTGGAGGCCGTGATGGGTTTCAGACACGTCTGCCCACCGTGTGTAAAGTTACAGGAGACTTCAATGGTGTCAGAGGAGCAGCCGAGGTTGGGGTCTACCCAGTAGGTACCTGCAGCAGAGCAGGACAGGGACATGTGTATCCGGAAGGAGACTGGAGGGGGTTCTGTAGGACCTGTACCTGTGACTCATGGAGCTCCAATGGAGTGGGAAGTTAAGGGGGAGGGCAGGCAGACACAAGGTATCTCAAGGCACAGGCAGGATGCCTTCTGGGTAGAGCTGACAAGCGGCGAGTTCCATGCTCTGGCAACAGTCCCTGTGCTCTTGCTGGGATGTAGCTACTCTGTAGAGTAGCCAACTAGGGTCTCAGCTCCTGTAGGTTCTTCAAGGCTCAGGCTTCCTCCCAGACCTGCCCAGGGAGCTGGGGCTCTGGCCTACATCTGGCTTCCTTTCATCTATACTTCTGCCTGCACCTGGCTTTCCTGCTAGGCTTCCTGGCTGCCAAGAGTTCAGCAGCAGAGGGAAGGGTGCCCCAACATCTACTTCTAGCAGAGCAGTGCAGAGCTAGACTAGGGACCAGGTGGCACCATGGCATGCCCCAACTCACAGATGAGGTGAGTCACAGTCAGGTGAGGTCAGAAAGTGAGGATCCCTGCTCAAACAGGAAGCCCCTGGGCTTCTACTAGCCTTTGGACAGTTTTTTGGTTTTTTGTTTGTTTTTTTTTTTCCAAAGTCTTATCCTTGTGCTCTGAATGGTTCCAACTTGTGGCGCTATGGGCTACATATGGCCCATTCTCTCTACAATACCCTCAAAGCCTGAACCATGGGCCTGGCGCTGTGAAGCTCAGAGGCTGTTTCCCGAGTGAATAAATGATGCTGTGTGTCTATCTCTGTGAGGACAGAAATTTGGATGAGATATGCCAAGGACCCAACACTCCATCGACCTGAGCTCCTCCTGAACTTGTGCCACCCCAACACAGGCAGGAAGACCCTCCTTAGCCCCACAGACACTCTTACCATCCTCCATCCTCTGCTCACAGTCCATGAGGTCCCGGCAGACCCGGGCTGGATTCTCCTTGGTGCCCAAGGGCGTCTTAATGCTCTGGATGAGGTTGCTGAGGTAGTGTAAGGTTTTGAAGATCTCTCCTCCCTGGTCCAGCACCAGCTGGTCCGGATAGCTGTACCCCTGCTACGGAGAAGAAGGGCCATATGTCCTGGCCTTGCCCAAAGTCCCAGACACATTGCTCTGAAGTTCTCACTGTCTGGGGAACCCAGCAACCTCCCAGGTCCTGGCTAGCTCAGACTGGCTACCCCTCCATATCATAGATAAGGAGAGGGAGGGTCAGGGACATAAGGTAGTAGGGCCAAGGGCTGCTTCCTTGCCCCTGGCCTATGAGCCCCAGCAGGGTTGGCAGGAGGACTGAGCTGGAGGATTGAGCTCCCCACCATGACAAGGAAGCAAGGATGCAAAATGGGCTCAGATATTGGCTGGAACACCCTAGACCCATCTCAGCCTGGAATCTCGGTGCAGAGCTGACCACAAGCTGGGTCTCAGCAGCACGCTGGGGCTCCCTTGTTTCCGTGTGACCCCTGGGTGACCATAGGAACCTGCTGTGGCCTATGGTCCAGAAAAGCATCCCTTCCTCACTCAGGCCAGACACAAACTAGACGTGAGAGACTTCCAAGAAACACAAGGGCACAGTGTCTGCATCTGGCCTGGTCCTGGCAGCCTGGGCTGTGGTACCACTTTGGACTGTGGTTTCCATGCGAGCCCTAGTGATGATCTCCATTTGAGACTGTGAGGCATCACTAAGGCAAGGGCTCTGACACTCTCGGTGTTAGCCATGGGGACAGCATCGACCTCCATGACCTCTCTCTTTCCCCCAGGACTGGAGGTCATGTGAGTGGAGGTCCCGGCGTTACCTCTGATCTGATTGCTCCGTGAGCATCCATCCATGTCTGGAAAGCTGCCCCAAGGTCATCTTGCTGCTGTGCAAGGAAAATAAAAGGTGTGTATCCTGTCCCCCTCCCAGAGGAAGCCAGATTCTGAAAGTAGGGGCCACAGGTACAAGCGCCTACTCTCTCGCCCCCACCCCACCCCACCCATACCCCCACAGGGTCTTGACCAAGTCACACATCCTCTAGGAGGTCCTCCTTCTTCCTTTGCAGAGAGTCAACGTTGAACATGCCACTCCCTCCCACTAAGTCCTTCAATAGCTCCCCAGGGCCCTCTCGGTATTGAGTTCAAATGCCTCGGCATGGTTAAAAACCCCATGTGTTGTTATGGTCTTCATCCTTCTCTCCCTCCACCCATGCTCTAGAACCAGGCCCACACTGTTCTTCTATGTCCCTAAAAGCCTTGCTCTGCCTAGCCCCAGGACCTTTACACACCTTCCCATTGCCTGGGGAAGTCTTTCTGTCCCAGCACAGTATCCAGTTTTCTCAACGGTGGGTGTTAATGTTCCCCAGAGGACACGAAGCCCCACCCGGACTAGGGAAGGGATAATTCTGCATCTCAAGGTTGGAAGCAAGAAATGCTGCTTGCCCAGGAAGCTGGGCAACTGTCAGCAGTGCTAGGCTGCTCCTGGGACAGGGGGCCTCTGTGGAGGCTTCTGCCTCCAGGCTGCTGAGGCCCATCCTCCACATCACCATGGACCCCATGGTTCTAATTGTATTGCTCTTGAGTATGTCTGGACTCAGCCTTGGCACCCAGATGGCTTGAACACAGCTGTAGGCTTACCAAGAACATGGCAAGGGGTCTGGGGTTGGGGTCCAGAGCAGGGCTGTTGGGGGATTCCCAGCCTTGCCCTTTCCAACTGAGGGGCCAGCCTTGGTTCCCTGGTCTGGAAAATGGACCCCCAGATAAAACATTCTCCCAGAGCTACTGAAACTATTTCTAATAGTGTCTGGCATATGGTGAGTGGCATATTTCAGCTAAGTTATATAAAGCGCCCTCTCCTTTTCCACGTCTAGGAAAGAATGGGGCTTTGTCTCACTCTCCTTCCCCTGCCTGTCTTTCTGATGAAGAGATGGGTGACGACGGGCAAGTGCTTTGTACGTATGGACAGCACAAAGGGAGGGATGGGTAGAGGCTGGGATGGAAGAACAGGCACTCTTTGAGCATCTAGTAGTTCCGGGGCTCCTTTTCCATGCCATACCCTGGAAATGCTGTCAGGGTCTGAACCAGTGCTCACTAGTGTGGGGACAACATGGAGACTAATTTGTCTCCAGGATGGGAGAGCTGAGCTGGGATAGGGCTGCTGTGCCCATCAGAGAACAAAAGGATCCAAATATACCCACATGCCTGACCTGCTGGACCCCCAGTCTAAGGAGGAGAGAGCCTAGCATCAACTCACATGTGTGAAGGACAGAGACAGACCCTGGCGCTGACGCTAGAGCAGCCCTCCTGCACCCAGTTGGGGACATGGATTGGCCTTTTGCCCAAGGCTCCCCTTGCAGCTCCAGGCCCACGGCTCCAGTGCAAAGGACAGGACGTGGACACTAGAGGTCCAGCCACTGTGGCCAGAGAAGGCTCAGCTTCTTCTCCCCTGCCCACCCTACAGCCTCATCCTAGGAGGTCAAAGAGAATGGTGTGCAACTTACAAACTGGACAGGATGCCAAGGAGGACCCTAGAAAAGAAGGTGGAGGGTCAGTATTTGATAGGGCATTGGTGCTGGAGGCTCAGGTCACTGGAGACTGGAAGGGCTATCCAGCGGGAGAAAGCTTGCTAGGCCACAAGCTCGTGGGCATAATCTGTAGCTACTTCCTCTGAGTTGGAACACTCTCTCTTAGCGGGTAGAAGGCTACTGGAACTCAGGAAGAGTCACCAGGCCCCTCCCCATGGTTAGATAATGAGTTGCAAAGACTGGGGTGTCTGTTGGGGTTGGGGAGGACTCTCCTGCCAGCCAAGCTGCTTGCAAGCTGGGGAGGGAGCTCCAGCTTTCAGGAGCCATCACCCACGGCAGGGAGCATCTCAGTGATGCAGCTGCCTTGGTGCTCCCATAAGGAACCCCAGTAAGCATACTGGCACACTAAGCTAGACCTGAGTGGGTGTGTTTCTTTGCCCTGTCGATGTCCTATCTAACATGGAGAGATGTTGGTTCACATCTCCCCAGGAAAAGCCACACAACAGGTCCCCACTGGGCCTGCTCTATGCTCTGTACAAGTCTTAGGCCCCAGGAAGCACACAAGGTCCATATATCTTTGGGTCAGGCATATTCTGTCATCAAAATCTTGATCTAGGGGCTGGAGAGATGGCTCAGAAGTTAAGAGCATTTGCTGCTCTTACATGGGACCTGGATTTGATTCCCAGAATTCATGACCATCTATAACTCCAGTTCCAGAGGATCTAACCCCCTCTTCTGACCTCCAAAAGCACCAGGCATGCTTGCTGTGCACTTACATGCATATAAGCTAAATATTCACACACTTAAAATAAAAAAAATCTTTAAAAACAAATGAAAACAACCCTTGTCTCACTCAAAGGAATCTGTCCCCTGCCCTGGTAATCCAAAAAGTCCAGCTACCTACCGGTGGACCTGGCCGACCCCTCGGACCAGGAGGACCCTGTGGAAGAAAGAGGAGACAAGTCAGTGCTGGAGAATCCCTTATCCAGGCTGTCCTTTGTCCTACCCAGGCCCAGGGATGATGTGCCCCTGGGACAGAAGGATACAGAGGGGAGGGATATGATCAAGAGAGAGAGAAAGAGAGAGGGAGGGGGGAGAGGGAGAGAGGAGACAGAACACCTAAGAATGTCACTGTGGAAAGGAGAGCCTGAGAGCCCCCCCATCCCTGTCACCAGCCCTAAGTCCTCACACCCAACCTACTCACCTTTGGGCCTTGCAGTCCCTAGAAACAGAATTGAAAGGAGAGACAGTTAGGAGATGTGGGCTGAGCAGTGGCTCACCTCCCATTATCCCACAGTACTGCCTGCCAGGCTGTCCACTCACCCAGTCCCCTCGGCTGCCTCTGTCACCTTTGGGACCCTGCAACAAACCATATTGATAAGTTAGGGCTCAGAGGGAAGTCCTAGTTCCAATTTGGGGAAACTGAGGCTCAGACTAGCTCTAAGTCATGAAATGCTTTAACCTACAATGCAGGAGACCCTGCAGCCTTCCCCTCACACATACCGGGAGTCCTGAAGGTCCTAGCATTCCGGGGGGCCCAATGATACCTTCCTTTCCCTAAAGGAGAGAGAGGCTATGAGTCCTCGATCTGGGCCTGGGGAATAGAGTGACAGAGGAGGGTGGCAGCTGAGTGTCCCATGGGAATGAAAAGGGTCCCCCTCCAAGCAGGGCTGGGCCATGCGTCTCCTGAGCATTCCTGCATGCTGGGGTGAGCCACAAGAATAGAGAAGGGAGGGACTGGGACAGTAGCAGGGAGTGTGTCGTCTGCTAGCAGGGGACATGGTGAGCAAAGGCACGAAGCTGGCAATAACAGCATTGAGCGGAGGCTCTGAGAGCAAAGGAGCAGAGAAACGTGTGTGTTCAGCCAGCCGACGGCCAGCCTCGGGCCTGGGGTGTCTACCCAGATGAGACAGGGAGGAAGGAGACCTACCATCAAGCCAGGAGGCCCCCGGGGGCCTTGGATGCCTTTGAAGCCAATGTCTCCAGGGGGGCCCTGTGAGAAGCAGAAAAGGGTTGTGCCTGGGGCAGCCACGGGGGAGTACCTCAGGGTCTTCTTACCCCTGAGTTCTGGCTGGCCTGTGCCCTCCTGATTTTATCTGAGAGGCCCTGGGAAGAAGAGTCAGGGCCACCCGATTCCTAGACAGGCGCAAGCTGTGTGTCAGCAGGGTGCGGAGTGGTGTGTGCCTCAGGTCTTAATTTTTGCAATAGTCAGTCTTCCAATGCTGTTCTTTCCCTTTCACAGACTGGGAAAGCAAGGCTTGCATCAAGTCCTGTGCCTGAGGCACAGAGCTGCTGAGCTGAACACACTTCCAGCTTCTGGCCCACCCTGTGAGGGCTACGTGAAGACTCGTGGCACGAGTCCACAAATGGCTGAGCGTCAACAGACACAGTGGGATGGGTCTCTGTACCTTGGGTCCAAAGAGGCCAGCCGCTCCTGGGAAGCCCATCTCGCCAGAGTCACCCTGTGGGGACAGCGGGACAAGGTGATGGGAGTGGAGCCAGGACAAGGATGCTACCAAGCATCTATTCCAGTCAGTCCAGGGGTGCAGTGGACAGGCACCTGTGCCCTCTGCCAGAGGAGCAGGCAGAACCTAGCTCAGAGTCCCACAGTGATGCTCTATACTCAGGAGCTCCTGTCCTAGGTCCTTATGGAAGAAGACAGACAGACTCACGGATGCTTCCTGCCCATCCAAACAGCTCTATTAAGCACAGTCTCCTAGCAGAAACCCTCCACTGATGGCTGCTTAGAAAATCATTTCATGGTACTGGAGAGATGGCTCAGAGGTTAAGAGCACTGGCTGCTCTTCCAGAGGTCCTGAGTTCAATTCCCAGCAACCACATGGTGGCTCACAACTGTCTATAATGAGATCTGGTGCCCTCTTCTGGCATGTAGGCAGGATACTGTATACATAATAAATAAATAAATCTTTAAAAAAAAATCACTTCATACAACAAATTTTTACTCCTTCCTTTTTGACGTGAATGCCTTTATTTCTTTTTCTTGCCTTATTGCACTGGCTGGGTCTACAGTACCACACTGGTGGAGTGGTGATTTGCTTCTGCTCCTTGGAAGAAAGCATCCAGCCAACCACCACTGTGCATATTAACTACAGGATCCGCTTGAGCTGAGTTCTACCCATGATCCTGATTCCCATGTTGAATGGGCCATACCGATTTCTTCTTCTAGCCCTATGATGCCTCTTTTCTGCAGAGGAGGAGAGTGCCATCTAGTGCTCAGAAAGTGTATGGCTCTGACTTTGGCGTCAAGTGTACAGGTAGCTTCTAGGCCTGTGTGTACATGTATGAACATGAGTGTTTGTGTGTGTGCATGTCAGTGTATGTGCCTTTTGAATATGTCTACGTCAGTGTGTGTGTACTTGTGACTTTAGGCATGTGGGTGCGTGGTCATGTATATGCCCCGGGACTCACTCACCGGCTGGCCTTTGGCTCCTGGCTCCCCCTGGTTCCCAGGAAGGCCTGTTCCACCTTCTGTTCCTCGCTTTCCAGGGGGACCCAGTTGCCCAGGTAACCCACTTTCACCCTTAAAGAAACACATCAAAATCACTAGTCAAGAGGATACATGGTCCAAGACCAGTGGAGGGGGAGTCTAGGAGCAGGAAAGCGGTGATTTCACGAGGTCTCAGGATGGCAGAGGGTAGAGGGAGGCATGAGGCTGGGGCAGGACAAGCTCACCCCCCAGCAGAAGCCTCCCTCATGACTCTGGCTTTCTCTCTGCTGTCCATCAAGGCTCTCTTCACTGTTCCTCCCCAACAAGACGTAGGCTTCCTCTCCTTCACCCCGCTCCCTGGCCAAATACGTGGGTCCTAACCTTCCCCAGCTAGACCAAGAACTTAGGGAAGGCATTTACATAGTGCCTTTAGGGTATGGCCCTAGGCTAGACACAGAAGCAGCTCACGGACCCTTTCTAAGGAGGCTACAGAGAATTCCAGTGGTAAGCAACCTGTTGTCTCACCAAGAACCACCAGAGGGCACCCGTGGACAACTCAACCAATGTGGAAGGTTTGTAAGGTTCAGTAGGGGGCAGTATTTATTGTCACTTGGCTAAACTATCCTTTAAACTTGGGTCATGAGGGCAGGGATCCCCGAGTCTGCAACAAGGGGCCCATGTTCTCATGGGCCTTAGGACATGGATGCTCTAAGAATAAATATCATTACAGTCAGGACTAGAGCAGAAAGGAGAGATTAATAAGAGCTGACCTTGAATCCCGGAGGCCCCTGTGCTCCAGGTAAGCCAGCCACACCTGGGTTTCCTCTTCTCCCAGCAGGACCCATGGGGCCAGGGGCCCCATCATCTCCCTGCTCTCCCTGTAAAGAAAACACGTGGGGGGATGTTCGCTGGCTAGGACCCAGTGAGTTGTAGAAGGAGGAAGGAGGTCACACTTGACAGGGGGTAGGACAACATGGCCCAGTAACCCAGGTGCTACCATCAAGGAGAAACGGTGCACGCCTTTAATCCCAGCACTCGGAAGGCAGAGTCAGGCGGATCTCTGTGAGTTCGAGGCCAGCCTGGTCTACAGAGCGAGTTCCAGGAAAGGTGCAAAGCTACACAGAGAAACCCTGTCTCAAAAAACCAAAAAAAAAAAAAAAAAAAAATCCTAACAGATGAAAGACATCTACCTATATCCCACCCAGCTCTCCAGCGGACTCTTCAGGCCTGTGGCCTGTGCCCCAGGGCCTGTGTGTAGCCTGTGGAAGTCCCTCACACCAGTTGTTACCCAATGTCCTGCTTACCTGATATCCTGGCTGGCCATCCCTGCCAGGAGTCCCATCAGGTCCAGCAATGCCCTCGGGGCCCTGTCTCCCTACCACGCCCCGGGGCCCTGGCGGCCCCTGCAGCCCCTGTAGGTACAGAAGAAGCTGGTTAAACCTTCTCAGGAGGACATGGAAACCGGCAGTGACAGAGGAGCTGTGGCCACTCACCTGAGTCCCCCTCCGGCCTGATGGCCCAGCCTTGCCAGGCTTTCCCTTTGGGCCCTGAAAAAGCAGAAACAAGAGAGAGACATTAGCAGGACCCAGGAGCCCCGGAAGGAGGATCATAGGGCCTGTGAATGAGTGCGATCTACCAGAGAGCCACATGCCTGGAATCCCAGGGCTGTGGCCGCCCCTAGAGTCACCCAGGGCTATCCCTGCTGCTCTGGGCCCTGACTTCCTTCTCTGGCTCCCTTGCTGTTAAGACCGTTCATTGGCACCACATTTGTGCTCAGAGCCGGAGCCTAGGGCCAGCTGGGCCAGCTGGTCTTGAGATGGGAGCTGAGTTCCTGGCTACAAACTTCTACCCAGGGGCTGATCGCTCAGTCCATGCGCACAGCTGCAGAGCCCATGGAGGACGGTACCTCCCAGCCCTGCCTTGCTGACTGTGTGACCCTAGACCAGCCCATGGCCCTGACTTTGGGGCCCAGCCTCCCCACTGAACCCCAACCCTCTCACCTCTTCGCCTTTTGATCCTTTAGGTCCTGGCTGCCCCCGGGGTCCGGAATGCCCCTGCAAACCAAGATGAGATGATGCAAGGCGGCCCCAGGCCTCTCTCCTGGGGAGGGCGGCCAGTCTCCGCCTGGAGGGGGATGGGTGGGTAGGGGTTTGGGGGTGCAGGCTCTGGGGGAGCCCAGGGTCAGGCCATAAAATACAGCAGGGGCTGCCTTCTCACGCCCTCCTACAGGGCAGACCCCTTTAAATTTTAAAAGGCTCAAGTCTGTCCCTTTAAGTCGGTCATTTCTGATGCTCTACCCCACTTAGAGCAAGATACAGGACTCACGGGCTGGCCCTGCTGGCCCGGCTTTCCACGGAGGCCTTGGACTCCCTCTTGACCCTGAAAGCCAAGGAGAGACAGGTGAGGCCCTTCTGAAGTGGCCAGGGACCCACTGTTCTTCCTGGCCACGTCATTGGCCCTCTCTAGGTCCTAGCTGCTAACTGGGTGGAACAGCAATTGACCAGCTTGAGTGGAGGGAGAAGTAATGGCTGCTTCTGTTACAAAGGCTGTTACAAGACACAAATGGGGAAACCGAGGCAGCCCTCCACCCCTCACCCCCCCCCCCCCCCCAGGAGAAGTGACTACTCAAGATCACGCTGGAAGGAAACTCAGCCAATCCGCTGGCTGTGTGAACGGGTTTATGTCCCCGACCTCACCCTCCAGTCTCTCGGCTGAGGTCAGGCCTTTTCCTCATGGTGTCACCCTGGCCTCATAAAGGGGTGCTCTCTGCCCCTACGGCCAGTGGAGGAAGGAGGGTGGAGCAGGAGCCTGTGTCCAGTGCAGAGCTGCCTTCCTTTTCCCACCATCACTACCCTCCCCAAAGGTAGAGCTCTGATACTCACAGGGTATCCAGGGTCGCCTGGCTCCCCCCGGTCTCCTCGATCACCCACAGGACCCTGAATGACAAAGACAGTGGACAAACATGAGCCCCACCTTCTGTGGGCTCTCAGGAGCCTGTGCCTGACGACAGTGAGAAGTCAGAGGAACAGGAAGGGAACTCACCCGGTCTCCAGGTGGCCCAGGGGGCCCCTCGGCCTTGCCGTCCTCTCCCTGCTCCCCCTGTGGACACCACAGAAACAGCATTAGGCAAGACCACTCTGGGAGTTAGTGAACTGCAGCCTGGAAGGTACCTTCCTCAGGGATGGAGGCCAGCCTCCGTAGGCAGGCAGTCTAGGAGACCAGCGGTCAAAACTGTCATTGTAGGTAATAGTGGTGACAGTGCCCACATGCCACATGGATGCCTAGGACAGGCTGAAAGAGGAGCAGAGACTAGAGTGGAGACCTTGGGCCAAGGCAGGCCATCCTAGGCTCTGGTCCAGATGTAGGATGAGCTCTTGGCAGCCACACGGGTGGTTGAAAGGCAGCCGCGCAGGCAGACAGGACCTCGGGGCTCAGACTCCAGCCCCAGAAAACTGGTGTCTCCTCTCCTGGGAACCCCTCTGGACTCTAGCCAGGGCACCCTGAGCCCCCCGCTGACCACAGAAGTGGGAGGAAGCATGAGGAGCAGGAAGAGGGAAGTGGTCAGAACCGGAATGCAGCCCTGGCCATCTGAATGTTGGTACCCTACCCTCAGCTGGGGCCCTGTGGCTCTCACAGGCAGCAGTTAAAGGCCAGTGAGACCCAGCCTAGTGCCTAGAACAAACGGTCTCCAGAGAGGTGGGCTAGAGTGTAGAACCTCCTCCATTCCTGCCCATGATCTTGATCCAAGTATGGATGGTGTCAGGGGACCAGAAATCTTCAGGGCACCAGGGTTTACCAGATAGTCTTTTGTTAAGTATGTTTAGGTTCCTTTCATATATCCTCTTATAGATTCTACAGCAACCCTGGGATAGTTCCCCCACCCCCACTTTACAGAATAGGAAAACAAGGCCCATGAAAAGAATCATCTTAGTCAGGGCCAATCAGGAATCAAGAGCCGAGACATACCACGCCGCCAGCCTGGCTGCAGTGTGGGACATGATCTGAACATTAAAAAGTTAGTGGACTACTACTCCTCGTGGCCTAGTTCTGAGTCTTGTCCCCTCCCCCTGGCCACCTGTATAGACAAGGACACTAATCTACAAATGCAGACTCTGAGTCTGGTGCTGGCTAAGGGAGTGTGGCTCAGCAGTACCCTCCTACCACTGTTTGGAAGTGGATCCCTATGCTCCAGGAGGCCGAGTTTCTCCACCTGTTCTGTACAGCAATGGCAGGAGGATTCTAGGGAAATCCTGAGCAAAAGAGCAGGGTTTCCACGAATCTCCCTTGCAACCCACTCCCTGTCCCAGCACCAGACACTCTGTGGTTGGCTGTTCATTATGGGACGGCCATGAGCCACAGAACAACATTCCCATCAACAATGAGCCATACATACGGCAACAATCCCATAGCATTATGTCACCTAGAGATGTCATAGCCCTCTATTGCATGCCAATACATTTTATGGGGGCTACCTCTGATCCGGAGTGATGGCACTGGGGCTCTGTCTCCACCTGGCCTCAGGGTTTGTGTTCACCCTCTGCATCATCCCTAGCAGCCTTATGATGCCTGAGGAGAGCTGAAGGCTTGAGTGTACTCCCTACAGCCTCTCGGGGACCATGCCAGGGCCTGCCTGGACCACTGTATTTGCAAATCTGTACTTATCCAGGCAGGAGGAGGGGCCCAAGGACAGGATGCCAAGCCAGTGTGACTCACCACAGCGGGACTTAGTTAGTGGGGAGCTGAGTCGGCAAAAGAACCGAGGGCTGGAGGGGCCAGAGACAAGGAGGCAAAGGCACGGCCTGCTAGGAAGCCTTCCAGCTATGAGGAGGGAAAGGAGGGGGAAGAGGGAGAACAGGGGTACCCAGAGTTCTGCCAGGTCCACCTGGCATCGCTGGAGACATGACCCGGGGGGCCATTCCTTACACCTTCGGGGCCTCATGTGCTCCTTTCTGTGAACAGTGTTCACGACCAGCCAAGATTTTCATCTCCAGAGCCCCAGTGGGAGGGCACACATCCCTGGAGCCCTCGCCCTCCTCCTGAGCCCTCTCCTTCTTCAGCGCCCCTCCTCCCTCGTGCTGAGTGAGCTCCTTGTGTGCGGCCATTCACAAGCATCGAGTGAGGGGGAAACAGACTGGGTCGCGACACCTTGCTCACTTCTGCCAGGCGACCCTGAAGCCGTGAGGGCAGGGACGCCACGTCCCGCTCCACGCTACCCCATCCCCAGAGCCCCAGACGCAACACCTACCTTCTCGCCTTTGGGCCCGGGAGGCCCGAGAGGTCCTGTGATGCCTTTGTGTCCCTGCAGGCAAACAAAACAGAGAGAACTGAAGAGGAGCGTTTGAGGACACAGGAGGGACAAATGGCAAAGGATGGGGACTCAGTGATGGGGACAGTATAACAGGATCTCACCCCTGTCTGCACCTCCCTGGGCCCTGGCTTTCCAGATATGCCTGTTGGTTCCTGTGCCAACTTAGGTAGTAGAGCCCCCCCCCCCCCCCGCTGTGGTTCTCTGGGGGCCAGCTGGGGTCAAAGGGTGGAGAAAGCTGCCGTGGCAGAGTGGTGGGAAGAGGCCACCTGGCAACTGCAGATGACTCTGGGTTGGCACCTGTCCTGCTTCCCATTTCTTCTCTCCTTTCTTTTTCCTGCTGTGTCCCCTGAATTCCCTGTGTCTGGCAACGGCCACCAAGGCTGGCCAAAAGCACCAAGCTGCCAGGCCCGGCCTGCACGTGTGTTTTGTAATTGCTCTGAGCCCCATTCCTTTCTAACCAAGCCTGTCCTTTCTGAGCCCCCATCTCCTGAATGTGTATGGAGGCTCTGGGGGCACAGTAGTCCCTCTTTAGAGGACAAATGGAGCTCAGATGTGTCTGGAGCACCCACCATCGGCCAGAAGGACTCGGTCTGCCCCATCACTGCAGTTCTGCCCTTACCCCACCCTAATCTATGGGTCCTGGAGTCCCCTGAGGCTATGAGACCTGGATCTCCTTCCTTCTGGTGGGAAGGATGCCCAGGATGCAGGGATGGAGTTCCAGAGGGTGGGAAGGAGATTCCCCTAAATGGGTATCACTCACATTATAGCCAGCCAATCCTGGCTCTCCTTGGGCTCCCATCCGTCCTGGAGCACCCTAGAGAGGAGGAGACCCTTGTTGGTATGCAGTGTGGTGCCCACAGCAGGAGCATGGTGGTGACTCCCTCCCCTGGCACAGCCACTCAGCTCAGCAGCCTGGCACATACAACGATGTCTTGAACCAAGGAGGACAAGGTAGAAGGCAAGAGGGCCTTTTCCCAGGCTGCCGCCGACTTAGCCCTTCCTTCTCTATGCTGCTATGGTTTATGAAGATGCAGGTGACTCTTTTCAGGACCTTTATAGCCACCGCCACCAGAGCTAAGTCACTGTCAGTGCCCAAACTTCTGAGACTTCCAGTTAATGAGTATTATTAAGGAACCTCTCCCTACTCTGCTTCCTCCATCCCACTGCTACCCAGGCTGGCATTACCTGAGTCTGCATTCCAGGGGTAAAGCCTTGTCTCACGGGTGCTACTGCATATCTCCCCAGCTTTTATCCATGGCATCATACGTGTGGCAGGAATCCACCACCATGAACACTTTCACACCATGTCCAAGTGTACTGCTCCATTTGCTCAAAGATGCCACACCCCTCTTCTGCCCACGCTGGAGTCTTCTCTCACTTCAGCTATCATGCTCTTTGGCTTTGCCTCAGGACAATCTAGCAGGGCCCTGAGACTCTCTTCCAACCATCTAAGGACCTGTAGCACCTCACCCTGTACCTAGGGATCTGGCTCCATCCCCACCCCTCAGCCCCTTCTCCACCTCGCAGGGTCCACAGAAAGCACCAGGGATTCACTGCAGCCTGCAGTTTGCAAGATACGATTGTCTGACTTAATACCCATGCCTATGGGTGTTAAGGGGCTGTAGCTTTGGGCAGTTCTCAAAGGGATCTGGGGTAGAAATGAGGTGGCTGGGACAGTGGGGTGGGTGATTCTTACAGGGAAGCAGGTTCCTCTCCCTATTCTTGTCCCCTCCCCCAAGCCCAGATCCTCACCATTGGTCCTAGGGTGCCCCGGGACCCTTTAGGACCTGGGGTGCCAGGAGGCCCAGGCTCTCCGGGGATGCCCATCTCCCCCAGCTGTCCTTGGTAGCCCTTGGCACCCTGCAGAGAGAGAGAAAGGAGCTGCCTGTGGCTGCTAGCTCTGGAAGGAAGGTGTGTGGGGAGGGATGTGACCCTCGAAGGCAGGGGACCTACCTTAGCTCCCATTTGGCCCTTCTCACCCTGCTTGCCAGGCTTTCCTTCAGGACCCTGAGGGGACACAGAAGCAAGAGCAGGAGAAAGTTGAGGACTGAGAGAAGGAGGCCAGCTCTGAGAAGCATCCTGATTGGGAGTTCAACACCTGGTTCCAAACCCATGTCACTCAGTCCCTATGTGGCCTTGAGCATAACCGAACTTCCCTATCGGCATCCTGGTCTGTGTCATGGACACGGCATTTTAGGTGGCCTCACAGAGCTTAAGGATTCAACTTGGTGACATGGCATATTCACAACAGTGTCAGCCACAGCAGGTGTTTGGAGTATGGAGGTGGCTTCTGCAAGGGCAGGTCTCTCCTGCTGCCTCCACCACTGACCCAGTTAAATAAAGTACAGGGACTGGTTATCTGCACCGAGCCCTCCCTAGAGATTCCCTTTACAGATGATCACCCTGTTTCCTCGAGGGGGCTTGGCCCAGGTCCCACCGGTGCACAGCTGGCCCTGATATAGTCACCAAGTGGTTTTGTCCACACCCCAGTCACTGCTGTAGACTCCCCAGGGTGTCTACAGCAGTGAGCATCATGCTGGGACACAGATGTCATCCCCTCCCAGGTACCCAGGCCATTCCCTCTGCAGGTCAAATGTGCGGTCTCAGCTGCAGGTTTTCCGAAGTCTAGGCACAGATCAAGGGTTCTCAGGGAAGCGTGCATCTGAGCTGGGGTACCTCTGTGAGTGAATCTTCAAAACTCAGTACAGAGAAGAGAAGGAAAAGGTCCTATCTGTGGTTTTTAAAGCTCTATTCTGTTTTTATTACATTTCCATTTACTTATCATTTGCATGTGGCAGGGAGCACATGCCACAGGGCGTGTGTGGTGGGGTCAGAGGGAAACCTGTGGTAGGTGGTCCTCTACTTTCACCAGGTGGGTTCCAGGGATTGAACTATGGTTGTCAGACTTGGCAGCAAGCACCCTTACCTGCAGAGCCATCCCGCTGGGCCCCATGAATGCTTTCTAAGTATTGATACTATGTTGAAAGACTGTTTCCGATCTACCAGGCCATTCCATTCATCCTACTTGTTCATCTCTCCCTTTGAATTGCTCACTGGAGGACTTTTAGTTCCACGTGGGGCCCTCCTCTTCCTACTTCACAGCGCCAGCTGAGCAATGCTGCTGTAACAATAATAAAACCCATCCCCCTTCTCCACAGCTTCTCGGGCACCGTGTCCTGCCTCAACACGAATCTCAGAACTGGTACAGTGGCAGGGGGATGGGACCAGGCCTCTGTGGGGACAGGGGACCCTCCCGCTGTGAGCACCTTGTGGAGGAACTCTGAGATCATTAGAGCACCTGGGACCTATCACAGAGAGGCAGAAACCACCTGTTGTTGGGGACACAGCAAAGACATGGGTTCCTAGGCAGTTTGACCATTGTTAGCACTTACATGAAGACTAAGTTAGCATCACTGGTCTGCACAATCTTATGCGATCACTAGTGCAGTCCCTTGAGGATGAAGTCTCCTCACATAGCGTGTGACCATAGTCACATTTCTAGAAAGGCCCTGGTGGCTTATAAAACGCTATTTTCAAGTAAGCAGCTGTCTCCAGGCCACAGTGCAGGAAGCATTCCTCAGACAGCCACGATGCCCAAGAAACCCAAATCCAGAGTTTGTGTCCATGGCCTGATGTGCACATAAGCCAGAGACACCCACCCAGCCAACACTGGCATATGAGAACTGTGAGGGACCACTGAGTAACAATCTCACACTGTCGTCATGGCCACCACAGACATGTGACCAACCACAGCCAACGCCAGCAGCTTCTACATATTTTTCCCCTCCAAACGTTCCTATTTCTGTGCATTTTTGTAAAGGCTTTTCTTACCCAATGTTTCTCCTGCCCACTCTCTGGTGTGTGTGTGTGTGTGTACACAGTGTGTGCATCTGACTATGTACGTACACATGCCTGTGTGTACACATGTAGAGGTCAGAGGACATTCATTGCATGTCTTCCTCTATTGCTCATAGCCATACTGCCTGGAGACAAGGTGTCTCACTGAACCAGAAAGTCGTGTTTTGGCTATGCCGACGGGCCATCATGTCCCCAGGATCAAGATCCCATAGTACTGAGGTCATCAGCACACAAAGCCATGCCCAACTGTTTACATGGGTGCTGAAAATGCAAACTCAGGCTGTTTGTGGAAAATTCAAACTCACGCTTGTGGAACCAACCCTCTACCCACTAGACCACCTCCCCGGCTCATTTTCCCTTCATAGCTGAGAAAACCAAGGTTGAGAGATGGGTGGCAGTTTGTCTGACACACCGAAGGAGGGTTGCTCGAGCCAGGAACCCAGGCATGACCTTTGAACTCAGGTTTTTAAGAACATGTCTAGGTCGGTTGCTCCCCACTCCGCACCAGAACCACGCACGCACTCACTGGCAGAATGGCCTTAGGACTTTGGAACTCAAAAATAACCTTGGCACCCATTCTTCCCAAATTTTCAGCATAGCAAGACTGAGGCCAGAGTTGGCCAGGGGCAACTGCAAAGTCACACAGGGGATTAGTGAGGTGAAGGGCCACCCCTTTCCTGCTAAAGCCCTTCTCACCCACATCCCCAGGGCTGAGGCTAGCAGCAGCCGGCGGGTCTGACAGGCACACACACACACACACACACACACACACACACACACACACACACACACACACACACACACGCCTGCACTCTTAGGCTGGGCAGTGACCTCATCCCCTTGCTTCTGGGAGCCATTAGCACTTCAGCTCTATTTTTAGGTAACAAATACTTTCCCACGGCCAGTACGTTGTTGGCTAATCTGGATCCTTCCCAAACTGGTCACTTCAATGGCCGAGGAGCCGTCAGGGGCAGGCCAGAAGAAACATGGGCTGCTGAGCCCAGGTAACAGCAAGACTTCATCATTGGTCAGTGTGTGGGGGCCGGGGGCAGTAGGGAAGCATCCAGCTTGTGGAGTGGGGCTAAGGCCAAGGCTGGCTCAGAGCAGACACCTGCTGGCCTGACATTCTGGTGGCTTATTGCAAGGTGGCCGGATTCCAGGGGCCTGGCAGGACACTGAGCTGGCCACAGAGTCCTGCTCCATACACACCCTTGGCTCCATTACAGAACCAAACACCAAGCCATTAGACAAATACCAGAATACACTACCTTTCATCAGTCCTTGTCCCCGTAGCCTGTTCGGGCTCTGAATTCCAGTGAGGCCACAGCAGAGGGACAGGATGTACACACAGAGGTTGAAATCCCGCCTCTGCTGTTTCTTACTGTGTGACCCAAGACAGGTTCCTTTACCTCTCTGAGTCTCCCAGCCCTCACGGCTGCTATCTAATTAAAAAACATTCTGGAAAGTACTAGATATGCTGTCTGCAAACACCGAAACAGAATAGTTTCTGTTCTGTAACAGGGTTCTGGGGCCCAGGGAAGATGCTCATGGTGTTTGTGGTCAAGGCCGGATAAGGTTCTACCAGCGTGAGGGGCAGAGTTTCTGTCTTCCCGGTCAACAATGAATGTGTCATCTCTACAGTGTCACAGAAGGAAAACATAAATCTAAACCACACAGGGTCCTGGCCTCCTCGGGAGTCTAGCCAAGGGTCAGGGATGGCTTTCAAGGCTAGGGACTGTCTGTGAGGATAGCTGAAGGTCCACAGGGGTACAAGAAGGATAGGAAAGAAGGGAGCGTGTACTTGATCGAGAGAGGAGCGGGCGCAAAGGCCCAGAGGCAGGTCAAGCTTGTCCCAGGAGCTAAGAAGAAAAACGGGCTGGGTGTAGAGTTGGATGGGATGAGGTTACAGGCCATATTCCTGAGGGCATAGGAAGCCACAGGAAGGCTGGGCAGGGAAGAGACCAGCTAGACTTCTCAGGAGGCCTGGACGGGTATGAGCAGCCCTCACCCACAGGCCCACGCTGCTAGCAGCCGCACACTCACCCGGACGCCAGTGACGCCTGGGGGCCCAGGGAGCCCATCCTCTCCTTTCAGTCCCTCCTGGCCCTTCTCACCACGTTCACCGTCAGGTCCTGAGTCACCTTTGTCCCCCTGGGCAGGAGGAGGAGGAGGAGGAGGAGGAGGGAGAACATCACAAATCAGGTCATCAAAAGCTCTAGACCTCAGGTCACCTGGAGGCCGATAGCCTTCCGTACTGGAGGCAGCCTCACCAGAACCTTTCCCTGGAGGTTCGCTTCCGGTGTCCTCTACAGATGAGGAAATGCAGGCAGAGCTAAGTCAAGCTAGCTGGGGTACAGTTAATTTGCAACTGGCACCAAGTCCTGGAAAATGGGGGTCCAAGGGAGGAACTCTTATGAGTTAGGAAGGGGTAGCAAGGACTCCCCGAGACTGAGGGAGGGGCACTGTAAGAGTCGCCATATGAAAGGACCCCTTGCACAGGCTTTAAGATCCCAAGGCACAGGCGTTTTGGGTTCTCCACAAACACTGGTTTTCAACAAACCATGGGTGTACCCCTTGATGGTGTACTCCGGTTCATCCTGCCTCTTCACCATCTTTCCCTCAGGCCCAGGGCAGAGCTGAGCTGCCTGGGCCCCTCCAAGGCAAGGTATGGACTACAGCTCTGGCAGTGTCTGCAGGGCCAAGCAGTGTCCATCACAGGCCTGTCTCGGAGGGGCTGCCAGGCACGGAGCCTGTGGCAGGTCTGTGCGGCCTAGCTGTGACTGTTGCAGGTCCTGAGAGGAAGAAGGCATGACATCCCATGGTGTGTGTGTGGGGGGGGGGGGGGGGTGCGGCTTGGAATAGGCTCGGGAAGGTACAGTGATGCCTTGCAATAGTTGATGGGGGATGTTGACGACCGCACACGGGGCTCAGAGCAGCTGTGGGAGGGGGGCAGATGGAATGTGGCTTGGCTTGGCCCGGCCAGGAAGAGAGAGGCTCAGGATACAGATGTGATGGCGGGAGCCTGAACTTCGGGGAAACGATACTGGCATGAGGAGTTGTAGGTACTTTCCAGCTTGACCTGGGGGACAGCCACGGACAATACACGAGGGAGGCCAGCTCGAACAGGCCAGCTTAGAGCGGAGCTGGCCACTAGGATGGCCCGCACGGTCCCTCTCCACTGAGCGTCTCGGATTCCAAGCACAGCCTGGCACAGAGACCTGCTGGCCCAGGCCCAGCTCCCAGAGACTCCCCTGGCTCCAGGACTGCGCTCTGGCTTGTCATTCTGGCCACCTGCTGTCTCATTTGTAGGCCGGGTGCTCCAGGTAGCCAAGCTAGGCCTAGGCCCAAACCAGTCTCCAGCGACTATCCATGGCCTGACTCCCACACAGCTGGAAAGGGAGGGGGTGCCGTGGGGCCCATGAGAACGGGCTGTAAGGGTCCCTGGAGACTTCTGGAATCCATGATATCAGCTAAGGCTCAGAGAGCCTTCTGGGTGGCCAGTCTCAACCCTCCCAGTCCACAGATGGAAGAACTGAGGATGGAAGTCTAGGTGGCAAGACGGCCTAATAAGAGAGCAACAGAGCCCACGGAGAGCCAGGGTTCTGAGCTCAGGTCGCGATCCTTGAAGTATGCTCAGTAACTGCCACTCTGGCCAGCTTGATCAAATGCCTCCCCGCCCTGTACAGATGGAATATGAGCAGCTCTGCACTTCACCCAGCACAACCCCTGGCAGTGTGTGCTGCGGGTGACGGCCACCATGGCCGCTACCAACAGGAGAGACACTGTACACGAGAGCACTGTGCGGTGCTGTGTCCCGCGAAGAAGCGGCTTACTCCAGGAAGACGATCCGCAGACACACACTTTAGGGAGCGTGTCCACTTCCAGGACCACTCAAGGACCAGGAAGCGACATCTGAGTGACCACTCCAATCCAAGGACAAGGGTGTGTGGTTGGCTGTGGAAGCCAGAGGCGAGCGTTGTGAAAAAGCAGAGGTCAAGAGGTTGTGAAAAGCGGCTGGACCTGCTCTCCTGTCCCCTGCGGTAAAGACTCCAGGAGAAAAGTGGCCGTTCAGAAAGGGATGAGGTTGTGGCCCCTGGGCCTCGGTTTCCTCGTTTCTCCAGTGGGGGACGCTGATGTTTCCAGCTGGGAGGCTGCTGGAGCCTGAATGAGTTAATTCTCAGCGAGTCCTTACAGTGTGCCAGGACTGACACTCCTTGCACACACAGCGCTTGCACCACTAGGTCTGTTGGCACCACCACTGGGCACGGCCAGCATCTGGCCAAGGAGGGCTCTGATCAGATTCCCTCCATAGTTGTACCAGGAGGCCACCGTGCTGGGGCTAAGAGCAGGTAGATAAGCCAAGAGCACCGACAGGGGGCGCTCTTTCACTTGCAAGGAAAACAGAAGAGTTGGCAAGACCCCGAGGCAAAATGTTCTCTGGACCCAGGGCAACTGTGGAGAGGGCAGGGCACGAGAGCCTAGCTCTGGGGTTGGGAAACTGAGACTCAGAAAAGTGGAGGTGCTTCTAGGAGACCTATGGAGAGCAAGTTGGAGGGGAACTTCGAGTGGGGACATGCACTCTAGGGGGCAGTCTCTCCTTGGTCATGGCGTGACCAGGTCAGTCCGGAGAAAGCCTCCCTGTGGAACAAGGCTGGAGCTATGCCTATTCCTCATCTGCCCGCCTGCAGCTCAGGCGAAAGCCCACAGCTCCCACAGGGAGCAGCAGTACCCACAGAAGTACCTGCGATCCACTGACCCTTCACTCACAGCCAGACTCTGACCCCGTGCCTAAATGACTTTCCCGTGAGCCTCATGTGTTTCCCTCCTCTTCAGAACGGGTGTGCAATCCAGCAGAGCTGGAGGGAACTTTGGGGGCAGAAAGGTTTTGGCTTGGGTGTTGGACATACAGATAGTGGCTGTGTGTCTACAGCAAGCCTTTTCCACTTCTCCTTCTGGCCACCTACTGTCTCATTTGTAGGTCTGTTTCCCCATCTGAAGACGGTACTCGGCTAGCACCAACTGTACCTGGCGCCCCCGTGACTAGTTCCTCCTGAGTGGTGGCTTATAGACTCTGGCAACGATCAGAACTTTTCAGATCTTTAAAGATGTTTGGAAGGGAAGGGATATCAAAACCCCATGCTGGGCTGGGCTTAGCTGACAGAAGCTGGTGTTTTCATGGGAGCAGGGGAGACCCAAGATGACACTTGCCCAAGCCCCATGGGAGTTGGCAGTGGGTAGGTAGAGCAAGGGCAGCCTTGGCTCTGCTGATCCCCCCCACTGTCCTCTCCAGAGGAGGAGCTGGTCTCTGTGCGAACTAGAGCAGGGATAGAAGCCATTCCCAGATCCTGGCCCAGACACACAACTCACCTTCAGCCCATCGGGCCCCACGGGGCCAAGGTCTCCCTCAAGGCCTGGCTCTCCCTAGTGGAAAAAGATGAGGAAGTATTACTGGGTAGGAGTGTAAAGGGCTTTCCCTCCTCCCTAGGGGTGGGAGAGTCAGGAACCTATTGATTCTCTGGAGTTGAACAAGTGAATTTTTAAGGGGCAGAAGAAGGGCCACAGAGCCTCATAGACTGGGCATCTAGGTTCATGAGTTAGACTTGGGAAACAGTGTGGTCTGGTGGGTAAGAACAGGTTCTAACAAGGGCCAACCTCAGCATCACCAATGTTTGTGTGACCGCAAGCAGAATCTTAATCTCTGTTGGAGCCTGTTTCTTATCTGGAAAACATGGCTGACAGAGAGTGGATGGTAGCCACCTGAGACCTCCTTCTGGGAGCTGGGATAATGTTCCTGGAACCCTATTCTCATATGAGGAATGTGAAGCTAGTTCGTGGACTTCTGTGGGCAAGTTTGAGAAAGATGCTAAAAATGCCAAGGGCCCATTTAACGCCCCTGTTGGTCCTCCCAGCTCTAAAAGGGTCCCAGCTCTCCAAACAGCTGTCAGCTTGAAAATTAGCATCTCCCTCTGGTTTTAGAATTCAGAGATGTCCAGAGGCAGAGTTAGGAGGGGACCCAAGTCGGCAGATGCAGGGATGGCAAAGGGTGACAAGCGAGCAAATTCTGCTCCTTTCATACCCATGGCAGACATCAATAATCAATCCACCAGAACCAAGCTCCATTAGACAGGCCTCCTGTTACTCACTTAATGCTCCCAGACTGTGAGAAATATGCCTGATGCACAGTGGGTGTTAGGGGAGTGCTCATCTGCTTCTCTAGCTTATTGAGCCTAGATGGGGCTTTAGGACCTTTCTTAACACAGCTTTCTAAACAGACTCAACTGACAAGCTTGGTGGCCACACACAGCTGGTTTTTCTAGACTCTAAGCTCTCATATTCTCTTCTGCCCTGTTTTTGGAGTCTCTGGAAACTGGGCATGGGGAGTGTGGGGCATCACAAGACAAGATGGAAAATGAGGAGATCGGGTGAGGAGCTGGTGCTCTGAAGGCTGACTGCACAAACTCTCTGTCACTCTTGGGCCTTACCTACCCTGTCTGTGAGGTGCCAAGAGTGTTTGCTGTGTCCTCACATGTCCCAGGGGTCCACATTCAGACAGAGGCACAGAGCACAGAGAGGTAGACATGGGAGTCTCATGGGGCTTATGAGAACAAGGGAAACTTGTGGGTTTCTTTTGGGAATGTGATGGCTTCTTTTAGAACGGTTCTCGAAGAAACACATTTGAAGGGAAGTGTTTGGAGATTAAATACTTCTGGAAGGCCTGAGTTGATAATGGAGTTAACTGCTTGACTGCAGGCCTTCTCAGAGCCTTGCAGATGCAGCTCTCAGTGTGTCACAGGACAGCAAGCCCACCGGTGCCCAACACTGTGGCCACAGAATGCTTCCTCTCCACAGTGATGCTGGGTACTGAGGGAGGCCTGCCAGAGCAGTGAGGATGCCGGGAGACCGGAGAGGCTCTGGGGTTGATCCAAGCCCTTCTGCCCACTGCTCCAACGACTGGGAACTCTCGCAGGAAAATGTGCTTCACTTACCCGCTGCCCAATGAGGCCCTGCTCCCCAGGGGGGCCCAGAGGTCCAAGGTCACCCTAGGAGAAGCCAAACACAATCCATGTGGGTGTGTACAGCCAGCCTCAGCCTTCGCCAGCCCTTCTTACTTCCAGCTTTGACTAGAGCTGGAGAAGCTGGGGAAAGTTACTTTTTCTTTTTTTTTTTTTTTTTTTTTTTGGTTTTTCGAGACAGGGTTTCTCTGTGTAGCTTTGCGCCTTTCCTGGGACTCACTTGGTAGCCCAGGCTGGCCTCGAACTCACAGAGATCCGCCTGGCTCTGCCTCCCGAGTGCTGGGATTAAAGGCGTGCGCCACCACCGCCCGGCTAGAAAGTTACTTCTTGAGAACAATAGAGAAATTCTAACACATCAGCCCAAGCCCCTGTTCCAAGTACGTCCTGGTCCACTAGGCAGCAGGACCACCTCCACCATCACCATCGCTACCATCACCCAAAACACAGTCAGCACTACAATCACGGCCATCACCATCACGGCCATCACCACCACCATCCCAACCAGCATCACTCTATTACCACACCATCACTATCATCATTATAAACAGCAAGATCACTATCACCCTCACCATCATCACTCCATAACCACTACTATCACCATCATCACCATCGTTGTAATCACAACTAGCACTACAATCACTATTTTCACCTCTATTGCCCTCACCATCACTGCATCACCACCACCTCCACCATTATCCCTATCGCCACCATCACCACTATCACCATCATTATCCCCACCACCAGAAACACCACCATCACTGCATCACCATCACTGTATCACCATCACCATCATCGCATTACCACCATCACCATCACTGTATCACTACCATCACCATCACTGCATCACCGTTACTGCCATCACCACCATCATCACTGCAACACTATCACCATCACTGCATCACCATCACTGCATCATCATATCACCATCACTGCATCACCACCATCACTGCATCACCATCACCATCACTGCATCACCATCACCATCACTGCATCACCACCATCACCATCACTGCATCACCACCATCACCATCACTGCATCACCACCATCACCATCACCATCACTGCATCACCATCACCACATCACCACCATCACCATCACTGCATCACCATCACCGCATCACCACCATCACCATCACCGCATCACCACCATCACCATCACCGCATCACCACCATCACCATCACTGCATCACCATCACCATCAATGCATCACCACCACTGCATCACCACCATCACTGCATCCAAACTGTCACTGCAATCACCACCATCGGTGCTGGTCATGCTGTTCTAAACACATCATCATCATCCAAATGAGCTGGGCCTTCACAAACCCTGAAGGAACGGTGCCGTCTTTCAGAGACTGGCCCCAGTGACATGCTCAAGGTCAAAGTGGGCAGCGTGGCTAGGGGAGCCTGGGCGGTAGACAGTTCTGCTGAACATCATCTTCCTCTTCCTTGAGATGTAGTAAGAAACTAAATGAGGAGGAAGCCAGAGGCCCGTACCCTGCCCCTGAAGGGCCTCCAAAGAGAACCCCCCTCGTTTGGAGATGTGAACACCATGCTCCTACTGGTGTCTGGACCCTAGGAAGTAGAGCTTGGTGCCCCAGCCCAGCCCTGACTGGAACAAGCCAGTCCCACACACTTCATATGTAGGTGGCTTTCTTTATCGCCTGGGGAAGATGAGGCGGAACTGAGCCAAGGCCAGGAGCTCCAGGCCTGGCTCAGCTCTCTTCGAGTGACCGGACACTGGGCCACAGGACAGGAATGATCTGCTTCCAGTCCCATAGTCCCTTGGCAGCTGCCCCTGGGCCTGGCTTTTATACCCTTGGCCAGCCGGCATGGCTCCTAGGCTCTCAGGTCTGCAGGGTAAGCAGGGTCCTCCAACGGAAGGGGGATGGGATGAGAACTCCTGGGGACCGGGTATCAATAGGCACCTGTGTCCTCACAGGTAATACGGTCACCTGTGCTGAAGTTCTGATAGTATCATGGAGACCAGGCGGGGCCAACGTTCCAATGGGGGACCAAGACAGGTGCCAGAGAAAACACAGCTGGGCAGTGGACAGTGCGGGGGCTCTGAGCTGGTTGGGGACTCTACTGTGGCCACTCCCTAGCCAGGACAGAGACCCCATTATCCCAAGCACAAGAAAGGCCTGTTTCTCCTCCAGGGAGAGGACCAGGCTGCCAGCTTGGAACTGATGTCAACAAGTCATTTTCCCATCTTTCATCTTGTCTCACCTTCATCCCGGAGTCCCCAGGAAGGCCAGGCTCTCCCACTGCACCCGGCGGCCCCTGCAAGAAAAAGCCGCTGGTCTCTCTTGGAGCAAGGGCTGGGCCCTGGCTTCAGGCAAGCAAAGGCTCAGAAAGAGCAAGGGACGTGCTCAGGGCACACAACAGTGGGGCATCGAAGTGGAGCTGGGCAGCAGCTTCTGAGTCTTGGCAAAACCATGGGGTTTGGGTGCAGGTTGGCAGAGCCTCACACTACCCAGCGGCCGCTGAACCCTCTGCCTGCCCACGAATGCGGTTTACCACACAGGAGCCCTTGGCAGACATACAAGGAACATCCATGATCCACAGGAGGCCGTGGGGAGGAAGAGCCAATGAGGGGGCAGGCTTGGCCTCTCCCACTTTTTTCCTGACACTGGGCCGAGGTGGTGAAGGTGAGAAGGGGGCCCTCAGCAGGCTGGGTCTCTGTCCGTGATTCTGTACCAGGGTGCAGTCTTAAGCAAGGCAGGAAGTAGGGAGGACACCCAGGACGGTTCTGTATCCCACCACGTGCTGTGAGGCAGGCTCCCAGCCCCTCACCCCGTGCCCTGCACAGATGTGTCATCTGTAGGCTAGGCCCTTCCCTCTGCAGTAGCAGCCTGACCATCTCTGTAAACCGGGACAGGGATCAGGCAAGAGGCAGGACTGCTGACCAGGAGGGCTGCGGTGTCCCAGTAGCGATAAAGGACAAACCAGGGCTCCTTGGCACTCACCTTGGGTCCCATCTCTCCTGGAGGACCAACTGGCCCCTGAGGTCCCTGAGAGCCCTGGAGACAGACAGACACACAGACAGTTAGGTTGCCCCTATGTGGGGAGCTATGGGGAGGCTGGGTCACACAGACTGGCATGGTGACTGAAAGAGAAGACTCACAAACCCTACTTCCAACCAAATACAGCTCCTCTTCACCCATCTCCAGAATCTCCTCCGCATCCAACTGTACCCCAGCAGGGCTGCACCCCCCTCTCCCTTCGCTACAAGGCACAGCTTCAGAACTTTGCTCCCTAAGTCCTCTCCTGTTCTGTCCTCCCCCAACTACCCCCAACTACCCCCAACTACCCCCAACTACCCCTGACCATCCAGAGTTCAAAGGCTCTTCCTGGGTCCCTAGCTGTCTGGCTCCTTGAAGCCTTCTTGGGGATGCTTAGCACCTCTGCCTCCCCAAACCCATCCCTCGGGACATTTTCTGAAGGACCAGCCGTGTGTCAGTGTCTCCCCTTGTCCTTCCCCCATCCTTCACAAAGCCCTCTCTCTCCACCTTCCTTCTGTCTTTCTGGATGCTAAGCGCTCCCTGAAGACATTTCTCGGGCCCTCTTCACAATCTTGCGGCAAGTGCGGGTCAGTTATCCTCATCTAGCAATGGACCCCCAGGTCAAGCAAGCCAAGACTCACCCTAGAACTCAGGGCCAAGCTCTCCATCCTTGCAGGCCATACCAAGCCCCGTCTTTCCCCCCACCTCCCCATCTGTCTACCTGGCCAACAGTCCCTGCTACAGTCAGACTGAGACAAAACTTCCAGGGCAGAGGTACCAGAGAGAGGGAAGAGACACCTACCGGTTCTCCTGGGAGACCCTTGGCACCTGGAGGGCCTGAGGGACCAGGGATGCCCTGTGGAAAAACACAGGAGACCTTAATCTCTTAGCGCTTCTCCATCAAGCCCATCCCCTTGACCTCAGGCTAGTCCCGTGGTGTATCCGGGTTCCCGTTCCAGGCTTATTGCTGAGACAGGGCTGCAGGGCACCTGTGTGTTCCCGTAAGGGTCAAAAACTCATTGTTGATCTTCCCCCATCTGCCCCCAAGTCCCATGTCGAGGGTTTCCAGAACGGACACCCACTACTTACAAGGAAGCCTCTTGAGCCCGAGTGGCCTCGCTCCCCAGCTGCACCCTGTAAGCACAATGGACATCATTAGAGGCGTGGGTCACAGCAGGGACAAGGGTCCTCTTATGGGTGGGGCCTCACATACCTGCTGTCCTGGCTGACCAGGTCTGCCCCGAGGTCCCGAACGGCCCTGTGGAAAGCAGAGCGTGGAGAGGTGGCAGAGGGCTTCATGAGGACACTGTCAGAGAGGAGAGGACCCCAGAGGCCAGATGTCCTCCTCCACACACTGCCTGTGGGCATACTTAAGATTTGATGGGGAGGCTGACAAGGGGGCGGCTGCCACAGTCACCACAGAGGTGCTGGGGTAAGAACCAAGGGCCTTTCCCACTGAAGGGAACAGCAGAGAGCGTATGTGATGCCCTGAATGGCCTTTTTTGGGCTTTCATTTGTCTGGGCTACAGGAGGCTGGATAGGGACAAAATGAGTTGCTGGGAACATGCCCCGAGTCATTCTGGGCCTCTCTGCTACTTCAGGGGGCCAGGGGTTAGAGGGAAAACCCAGGGGAGGTCTGTACCTTCAGGCCCTTCGACCCCTGCTCCCCAGCTGGTCCATCAGGTCCTCGGGGGCCCTGGAAAAGGAAGAGGATTCTAGCTCAGTGGACTGGACGGCAGGGGTCTCCCTTGGGCTGTGAACCAGGAGGGGGAGAATGCCTATCGCCGCTGGCTTTCCCTGTCCCTCCCCTTCCACACACAGCCCGAGGTAGGTCATTCCTCAAAGGCTTGGGTGGCTCTTCAGAGGTCACAGCCTGCGGGAGTCAGCTAGAGACCCTGCAAGCAATGGATGCCTGGGTCATTCTGTCTAAAGTGTCCTGAGTGGTTGCCACCACTCACACGGATGTGGAGACTGAATGCTGAGGCGGGGAAACCCCGTGGCCATGTTCCCACACCAGGTCTTAGCTTACTGCCTCCTACTCCTTCCCTAACTCATGACCCAGTTCTGAGGAGAGGAAGGCGGCAGGCAGGGGTGGGGCATCCCAGGTCACAGTCGAAGCTGGGCCTGAGAGAGGCTCCTGGTTTGGGGCTCTGTGTGTGGCACAAGCTCACAGCTCCTTGGAAGGGCTTTGGAGTGGAGGCTCTGAGACCTGAGTCACGCAGCACACTGACTACCCTGCCTGGGATCCAAGCCTTTCTACGAGAAAGGATGTAACCTGGTGTCGATAGCAGCAGACACAGTCACTGAGAAAGAAATAAGGAAAAGGGGCCTGGTAGGGAGGTGACGTTGCCTGTGCTCAACAGGTAAGGGGAGAGCCAGAACTGGAACCCAAGCCAATCAGATGCCTGTTAATCCCCCCCACTGTCTGCCACTGTTCATCTGGATGGGGGTGAACTCCCTGTCACAGGAGGTATCAAGCCAGGAGCTCTGGGCTTGCCTTCAGGAAGGCTGGACATGGTGTGGAGCATAAGAGGGGACAAGGTCTAGACGCCAGGGTTGAGCTGTAGAGAAAGAGGAGCCCTATCTCCTGTCTGGAGGAGGGAAGAGACAGGGGCTAGCAGCCACCTCCGGTGTTCAGCTGTCATGCAGGGATATGGCAGCCTGTCCTGAAGATCCCCCAGCTACCCTTCTTCCCTTGTGCCCTGGGCAGGCCTTCCTGTGGCAGGCAGGCTAGGATTTCCACCAGAGCCACATGATAGTCCTACAGGTCACATCAGAAGGCCACCCTGGGGTTACCCTTCAGCAAGCTAGGTCAGTCTCAGGGGCAGACAATCCAGCATACCACAACGTCCTGAGAAAGGGCAACCACAAAGAGAGGGAAACCCAGCTTCTGTGGCTACTCTGGGGCCAAAGCTCTTGGGAAGTGACCGGGCATGCAAACCCAACCAGGCCAGCTCTGTAGCTGGCCCATTTTACAGAGGGGGAAGCAGAGGCTGTGGAGGGGGACGTCAGCTCTCTGACATCCTAGGAGAAGAGCCTTACTCTGAGAGCTCAGACGTAGCACCAGACACTCCAAATCCCAACAGCCCTTCAGTAGGAACTCCCTGCCTCAACAGATGGGGAAAGCCTCAGAGAGGTAAAGAGACTAGCCTAAGGTTGCACAGCCACAAACTGGGAAGGCAAGAGACTTGCCCCACTCATGGTCTGACTGGGTGCTTTCGTTCTTTCGTGGGATGCTAATGGGCCACTGCTGTCTCCAGACCCTCCCACCAAAGAACGTGCACCCTACACATGGACAGGAAAGCCTGCATGGTCTTGCAGATCTCCCATGCCCATCCCATGGCACCTGTGGGGAAACTGAGACCCAGGGAGCAAAAAGACCTTCCAGAGGACACAGGGCAATCCAGGAACTCAACAGGCTTGGCCAGAGCTTAGATTTTATAGGTGCAATGCGCACCTCTCTAGGTCCCCTATCTCAAGTCTGGTCCCACAGGTTTCAACTACTGCCAAACCTCGAAGAAGATGGCTCTGGCCCTCACGTGTCTCTCCTAGTCCTGAATACTCCAATGGGAACCCGGCTTTTCTCAAGGGGGATGTGTATGCATGCTGGGTGTGGGAACAGCTCACTCTTTAGCAGTGTGGATCGCCTAGGCCTCCAGAGTTCACCCCACAGCTAGGTCAGCTTTCTCAGTGGGGGGCACCCAGGAGCCCTGAGGCCTTGTCTCACTTAAGAGACTCAGAAGGCATGGGTACTGGGAAGGATCCCAGCAGCCAGAGCAATGTCCCATCTTCCCGATCACAGGATGGCTGCTCAGGCCACGTAGTTCAGGGGATGTCTTAAAACTAGATACAGACAAGAGGAAAATGATATCAAAACCCCACATGGCGCTTGGGAACAGGCCTGGGCAGCCTACACCATCTTGTTTCCTCTCCACAAGGAGGCCACATGCCCTTACACCTTCACACGAGCAGATAAATCATTCCACTCACCCCTTATAACTGTAAAGGAGACTAAACTCAGGATGCCAAAGAGGCAGGTTCTCGGGTTCAAATCTCAGCTCTACCACTTTCCAGCTGTGCAGCCTGAGGCAAGTGTCATAACCTGTCTGCATCGGCATTTTCTGAGGGAAACAGCACTTCCCTGGTAGGGTAATGCTGAGGGTCAAATGTGTTAGTCTCTGTGACAGACCGCACAGCGCATCGGTGAATCCCCTTGGCTACTGTACTCAGAGCAGCTTGGATCGTAAACCTCTATGGTTGGTTCCCCACTACCCTTAGAGGCTAGCTTTGGCTGTAAGACTCAGTGTGTGTGTGTGTGTGTGTGTGTGTGTGTGTGTGTGTGTGTGTGTGTGTGTGTGTGTGTGTGTGTGTGTGAGAGAGAGAGAGAGAGAGAGAGAGAGAGAGAGAGAGAGAGACCTATGTCTGCGTCACAAGGCCAGGCAGGGCTTAGGCCTGCCCTCAGGTCCCAGGTGTCTGCCTCCAGTGGTTGCTCACACAGTAGGAATGATGGCTGAATGAGTGAAGGGATGGATGTCCGGACTGAGCTAGGTACAGTGGTTTATGCCCTCTGGACAGCCAGCCAGGTGTGAGGCTCAGACACAGGCTGGGAAGATGGCTCAGGCTCGGCTCCCAGCATCAGACTCTGGATGTGCCCGGTCCCTGGCCAGTGCTGCAGAAACCACTCAGCTCAGAGTGGGGCAGGCAACAAGGAGCAGAAGCGTCCTCACTTACCCGGCGCCCCTTGGCTCCCCTCATGCCTGGCGGGCCTCGAGATCCTGGAGGGCCCTGTGGGGAGGAGAGGGCACTTAGAAGCCCTTTCAGGGCTTGAGAGCGATGGTGGGGTAGGGAAGCCAGCAGCCTACTTAAGAGACTGAATTAGGCTGGTTCTTAACTGGTGGCAGTCCTCCTGCCTCAATCATCCTAATGTTGGATTGTAGGTGTGAACCAGAAGTAGGCACTCTGGCCTGCTGGAGGAAGCTCCTGGCAAGTGGCAACCCTGAGCCTGGCTAGTGTCCGAGGTGCCTGGGTGAGCAGGGGCCATGAAATGGACAAGCCATTTTCAACCAGCAATGAGGACAAGCATCTCCTCTAATCCCTGTGGCTTTCCTCTTCTCAAGGGGGACTCGAGTTCTGTCCCTCATCCTCACCTAAAACCACACACAACCCTGGCACCAAGAGCCTTGGGGAAGGAGGAAGAGGAATCTGTTGGGTCAGGGCAGGGACAGAAAGGGGGAGAGGCAGAGGGCAAGGGGCGGGACTGAGCTAGGTACAGGGGTTCACACCTACAATCCAAGCATTAAGGTGGTTGAGGCAGGAGGACTGTCACAAGTTAAAGACCAGCCTAATTCAGTCTCTTAAACTGAGAGCCCTCAGGGGGTCATATAATTGAACATGGAGGCCGAGAAAGTAACTGGCAGCAGATAGAGGTTTCTGAATGTATAAAACAAACGAAAGATTAATTTAAAATCAAACACATTGTGAGTCAGAGCTATTTTTGGCTGGGCACTGTGTGACGTCACTGTGGCCTTGGCTCTGACCACACAACACACACACTTCACACTGCACATGCCATCACACCACACATCCCCAGGAAAAGCTGCCTGCGATGCCTGGGCGCGGCTTTGAGATGGCGGCCTGTTCTGAGCTGTTCTTACTGCTTTCTGCCCTTGCAGAAATACACCACTTCAATAAAGGAAAACAAAGGCTTTAAATATTTTCCTACCACCGTGCTCAGCACACAAGTATCAAATTAGCCTATCTTTAGATTGTATTAGAATGTTTGATTTTTAAAAATTGCTTTGCTGACTTGAGTTCCATTTAAAAAAAAAATCATTCAGTGAATTTTGGCTTGGAATTAGAACAGCATTTCCAGCAATTTCTGAATGGCCCCAAACACACTGATGTCATTCTTTATTATGTATTTATGCAAAGCAGAATTTTCAGCATTGATGATTAAATTTAAAACATCTGCCAGTCAACTCTGAAAACCAGCGAGGCTGCCTGAGGTCCAGCAGTATCAAATAGTCAGCCAAGATGTAATCCTCCACGTAAAAGGTAACGGGTGCTGCCATATCTGTGGTATGCACTGCCATCTCAGGGGTATGCAAGCTTGCTTTCATGCTTAACAAATGGTGAAATGATTCAGGTACCAAAGAACTGCTTCAGAGGGAATTTCTGTATGGCAAAACGTTATCAGTAGGCATTTGACCTGTAGAGCTATTTTATATACCTATATACCCAGCCTTGCATAAACATTTCTTGGGTGAGGAGTCATGTGTGGAAGAGGTTTAAGACTCTCTGGCTTGACCTAGTCTAGGCACAGAGAACCATCTGTGCCAGCCATCCAGACCCTATGACGGAGGCAGAGGCCCTTCCAGAGAGGGGCAGCCTTATCTCCTCTGGATCCCAGTGAGCAGCCCATCCCCATGTTGCTGCTCCCACAGTCCTGAGGTGCAGACATAGCTGCTGTCCTCCACGGACCCAGTCTGCCGCTTCTGGGGCTTGAGGGGAGGGCCAGCTCGTAGCCTGACCCATCAGCAGAGCCAGTGGGGGGACCCCAGCCTTGCACAGTAAGAAGGCGGGCCTAGCCCAAGTGGACCTCAGTGTCCTCATCTACAGCATGAAAATGAGCAAAGTCCTTCACCCCTATAGGACCATCTAGGGTCCTCAGTGGGTCCTGGGTCCTACCCACCTGCCTCCCCATACCTAGTTATGAGGCTGGGACTGGGCTCAGAGTTCAGAGTGAGGATGTTAATATAACTGGAAAATGCTCATCAGATGGGCACACAATTAGCAGAAATGGCACTTCAATGGTAGATGTCATGGCTGTGGCAAGCAGTGTATCTCACCAGTAGTAGCTGGTGCCATCTATGAGGTGCTCATGCATGACAGCACACAAAATACCAGCTGATTCTCACCATGCTGGTGAGGGCAGCATGATGCTGGCTGACAGGTGGGGAAACTGAGGCAGAGGAGGCCTCAGGTATGAAGGTGCACACAGACGTGTGTGTGTGTGTACATGTGGAAGCCAGAGTTCAATTCTGGATGTCCTTCTCTAGCATGCCCCCACCTTATTATTTCTGAGACAGGGTCTCTCACTGAATCTGGAGCTTGACAATTCAGCTGGACTGGCCGGTCAGCAAGCCGCCAGGATCCTCCTGTCTCCACCTTCCTACAACTTGGGAGATGGTACAGATGTTCACCACCACACCTAGCTTTCTACACAGATGCTGAGGATCCAAACTCAAGTCCTAGTGTTTACACAGCAAGCTCTTCACCACATGAGCCATCTCCCCAGGCCCAGAAGAAAGAACCTGATGGCGGACCCTGAGCCCTCCTGCGCTCAGGCTTCAACTCTGAACACAGGACGGAGGCTGGACCCTTGGACTGAAAACCATCCTCTGCCTCATGCTCCTTTCCACCATGGTCCCAGTTCCAAATCTCCAGCCAGATGTGGCTGTTCTCTCTCATGAGCAGGGGAAAAAAAAAACAAAACACATGTGACTGTGACCCCAGAGAGTGGATCTGTCCAGGGACACCTTTCCACTGGCTCAAAGGACCGTGGGGGAGGATGCAAGCACCCGGTGCTTGGCACATTATGGGTGGTGACTACATGTCTGCCTCATTGACATCTGTGTCCCCAGTTCAGCACCTGTAGAGATTATTCACTGTCTTGACAGAACTGAGTGACAGGTTAAGAGCAGGAAGGACATGACCAAGCTGCTCCTGAGCTTCCCATGTTGCCCTGTACAGAACCTCAGCCCACAATGTCTCATCAATACTGTCACAACATGCTCTAGATTTCACATGAACGAAATGTGGGCTCAGGGAAAACGGCAGGATTTGCCTGGAACCCCAGCCAGGAGCCAGGGGCGGGGTGTCCACCCGGGTCTGAGACTTGAGGTCTGGACTCCATGTGTTTGTGCTTAGGAGACATGAGAGTTTTATTTACCCGGGATCCAGGCTCTCCAGGGTTCCCAATACCACCTGGCGTTCCAGGATGGCCCTGCCGAGGATGAAGAAAAATGAGGAGTCAGCTGAGGAAGGTGCCATATCCCCCGTGAGTCCTGTGACAGGGAATCAACTTCAACCCAGGGCAAGGAGGTCAAAAGTCACGCCTAGCCAGGGATCTGGAGAGCTAGGCATCCTGGGTGTCTGGAGCACGTGGTATGTGAAGGGAACAGAACTGTCACCCGAGGTTCTGCCAGGAGAGGGGAGAGGATGCAGACTTACTCCTTACCATCGACCCCTTGGGTCCAGGTGCGCCTGGGGGTCCCATCACTCCACGGTCTCCCTGTGGTGGAGACACAGCAAGGGACACAGGTCATGGCTGGGGCTCTGGGGTTCTGGGACTCTGGGGGCAGGGACTCAAAGGGAGGTAGGAACTTGACAATGGCCTATGGAATCATGCCCAGCTCACTCACACTGTCAGGTAAGTAAGTTTCAGGGGCAGGAAATCCCAGCCTCCTCTGCCAAGGCAGCATAGGGCACATCCCTGGGCCAGGACGGTCCTGATGAAGGATGCAATAATTGCATCACCCCTTTGATCCTGGCCCATATCACATGGTTCTCATTAGGTTTGGCACCCCCTGGGCTAGGCTTGCTGAGGCAGAGACAGCCATAAAGGCCTTTCTTTCTCTCTGCCTCCCTCCCTCATGGCACACCAGATGGTCACCCATCACTTATGTCCTCTAGATCAATTCAAACAGGTTGGGAAGTCAGAGGCAGCAGGCAAGGCATAGCCATCTTGTCTCGGTTTCTACAAGGCCTTTTCCTCCTCTTCGGGTGAAAATTAATTAAGTATCCACTGTGTGCTGACACCACTGTGTACCAAGTCCCAAGTATGCCATGAGGACAAGAAACAGATCAATTCCCATAGTGCAAAACACCCCGTATGGCAGGGAGATGATGGGGAACCCTAGAAAAGATGCATCCTGGAGCAGGGAGGGGTGGGGGTACATAGCTAGACACTGTCACAGGGGATGTGACCAGTTGGTAATGAAGGAAGCAGGAGATTCCCTTCAAAGGACCCCTAGCAAGTGACCTAGGCAGAAAGGACATGGGTGGATGGGCATGAGAAGAGGGGACCTGCCAAAGCAAGGGTCCACAGGTGAGAAGGGACATGAGAAACTTGAGCAATAGGACCAGAGTTGGCTTTGATGCTGTGTGGTGGTTACATAAGCTGTTAGCGCTGGGGACATTGGGGGAAGGGCACCTGGGACCTCCTGTAGAAACTCTGCAACTTGTGGTGAGTGGTTACCTACTTTAAAATAGTGTCCAAGGACGAGGAGGAGCAGAGGGAGGAAGGTGGAGACCAGAGTGTCTAGGAAGTGAGGAGGAGTGAAACACTTGAGTCTGCAAAGCCAGGAGGCCCCGAGAGAGACAAGGGAAACCACAGACTACTGCTTGGCTGAGGAGCGTAGTCAGCAAAGCATGGCCTTCAGTGATGGACCCGGTTCTAATCCCAGCTCTGCCACTTACAATCTGGGTGGCCTTGGGCCAGCCACTGCTTCTGCTGGTCTCTCAACGACCTCTTCTGTAAGATGGAGCTTCCAGGGGCTATGGAGGGACCTGAGGCACAGTCCACTGAGGAATTACACCAATCACTGCTACCAGTGCTGGGTGCTGCCAGTAGGCAGCCCTGGGCACACACATCAACTGACTACAACACCGAGGTCTGGTTGTGCTTATGGGTGAAGACATGAGCTCTGGGGGACAGGGACATAGGCTTTTGGAGAGCAAGGGATGCCAGAATCAGAGGGAGGTGGTGCAATGTCCGCAGCCCACTGGTCCATCGACCCCTTATCCTGATCAAAAAATACAAGCTCTGAGGGTCTGCCTCTATCTCGCTCACTTACCTTCTCCCCCACGATTCCAGGCTCCCCGATCAGACCAATGAATCCCATAAGTCCCTGGGGAGAACACATCAGGAAAAACTAGTGAACCTGGGGGCATGCTGAGTGTTCAAGATTTTCTCTCCTCTGCAGCCCAGCCCTCCCACACCCAGCCCCCACCCTCAGCCTCCACCCCCAACCCGCCCGGTGACTGTACTGTACAGCTGGGACTGCCATGGAAGAGCATAGCCTCTGAGCTGCTTCTCCCCACCACTCCGCCAGATGGTTCAGATTTGAGAGCCAAGCAGTGGGGCCGCTGCCAGCAACCCTGGGAGCCGAGCATTCTTCCCGTGCCAGAAGCAGGCTGGGATCCCTACACATTTGGAGAACCGGAGTAGGGGGATGAGCGGGGAAGAGGCCATCTGTCTCCATCTTTAGGGGCTCTGGGGCTGTTTCAGAAACAAACTTGTTGACTGAGACATAAATACCCTAGCAGTCTGCACCAGAGACAGGGTGGAATTTGGGAAGTGGAGGTTTCTACCGAAGGGCTTCCCTTTGCTGAAAGCACATGCGGTCAGACACACAGACATAAACACACAAACACACCCAGATGCACATAGACATACATATACAAAGACACATACACTCACGCACACACACAGATCCATACACACAAAGACACACACAGATACACATAAATGTGCACATACAAAGACATGTACACACATGCACAAAGACATATTTACATACACACATACACACAGATATATATAGACACACACATATAAAGACATATACTCATATGCACACAAACATACACAGATACATAGACACATAATGCACAGACACACACATGCACACAAACATACACAGATACACACAGACATGCACATACACAGATATACACAGAGAGAAACATGCAAGCAGACACACACACACACACACACACACACACACACACACACACACACCTCCTTTGGATCTTTTTAACTCTTTAACCCACCTCCCCTCTGTTGAGACACATACTCAGAGGGCTCCTGTGTGGGTCGGGAGGACGTAGCAAGTTTTGGGAGATGCCAGATGCACAACCAAGCATTTCCTAGAGAATTAGGACATATGGGGATGGGTGGGTTTGTCCTATGAAATCTGTTCCCTGTGCTGAACTTCTGAGCAAAGCGAGGTGAGACCTGGAGGTGTTAACAGCCCAGAGGCCCTGTGCTCAATAAGCTAGGGAGCCAGGCTACCTGCCAGGGAGCTGGGAGGGGAGAGGCACTGCTCAATTCACCAAGCCCATTTTCCCTTCCGCAACAACAGCTGTAAGTGGCGAGCTCCTGGGGGCCATTCACGTCTTGTGGCGGCAGCCGAGCAGGTAGAGGTGGGGATTGCACCTCCAGCCCCCTTGCACCTTTTCTCCACTGGGAGCCCCCAAAGGATGCACATGACAGAGTGGACCTGCACCCTCGCCACCCACAGGATGGCCTCCTGACCTCTCTCTGGACAGAGACTCTTTCAGAGGCGATATGAGGGGGTTACAGTGTGAGCGATGGGCTCACGGATAGTATGTCATGGAGGATACTTTTGCAACAACTAAACAAAACATGGGCATGACAGCTCATGCCTATAATCCTAGTACTTGAGAAGCTGAGGCCGGAGCATAATCTCAAGTCTGAGTCCAACCTAAGCTGTATAGCAAGTGCCAGGACAGACAGGCTACATCAAAACCAAACAATCATTAAAACAAATAAACTGGGACATTTCTAAGGTGACTGAGACATTAATAACGATGGATCCATGTACTGAGGGCCTGCTGTGTGTCTAGTCCTGCGTATGGAACTCTGTGTGTCACTCTTATCCAAACTCCAGGTTTATAAACCCTGAACAAATTGGTCTGCCTTTATGTATCCATGGAATTGGCAACCATAAAGGCCCCTCCAATCTCCTGATAGCTCTGACTGTTCAAGACCTGTATGCTTTTCAAGGGGCACAGAGTTAAGAGATCACCTGAACTTCCTACCAGGGAGCAAAGCAGCCAGACATTTCAATGGTGTCAGGGAAGGGAATAAGCCTGATGGGTCTGGAGAAAGGAATTTCATGGCTACTTTAAATTTATTATTGGTCAGGACCTAGAAGACATAAATCTTCAGTCAGAACTCAAACGGGATCTGAGTGGATAAGAGTCATACAGCAAGCACCTGCTCCTTGTGCAGAGGGGTTTGGACTGGCAGTATATCAACTGAAGAGAAGCAGTCTCAGAGGCTTGGGGCTTCCACCTGACAAGGCGGGCAGAGAAGCAGCTTTGAAAGTCAGGAGCACATCCTGCTCCTCTCTAGCTGGCAAGACATGGTGGCGTCTCCCTCCTTCTCACAGCATTCTGCTGGCCATGGAGGCTGCTTGCTTCTGAGATTCAGACACCATGTGCCCTCAGCTGGACCATCACTCTGGGTAGGTGCTGATATGCTCATTGTCCCTGGAGGCTCACACCTTGTCCCCAGAACCTAGGACAGGGCCTGGCAAGCAGTCTGTGCTCACTGGTAGATAAACGCAAGGGTTCTGGGGATCAAAGGATTTTCCACTCTGTCTAGATAGCACTTGGGATCCCAGAGTCTCTTAAGAGTCCGGTGTCAGTTCTGAGTTACGCTACTGCCTATGAGATCTTGGAGAAGCTACTTAATTTCTTAGGGCCTCAGTTTTCTCATTTGCAAAATGGGAGTCATAACAGCTCCTGGCCCAGGGCTGTTGGGTGGGGTGGGGGGGAGGGGACTGCAGACGCTTGTGTCTAGCACTTGGCAAAGAGCCTGCTACCTCACGGGTGAGCAATAAATGAAGCTGTTACTGTGATTACAAGCAGGGCCTGTGGTGTGAGCTTGGGGGATCTTTCCTGGGGAGCCTGTGGTTCTGCCAAGAACAGGAAATACCCACCCGTCTGCTGTGGCCACATGGAGAGGGGCTGGTGGTGTTGCATGCCCACGGCCAATGCAGGAGCCAGTGCTGAGTCTCACCCCAGATGCCTTTCCCTCCTGCTGCAGCTTGTAACTGACAACGGACCCACAGCTGGGGGCTTTGCTGTCCCAGTGAGCCAGGACCATCCCGAGCAGGGTGTCTACCCCTCTTGGCCCCAGCTCAGCCATGACCCCTTTTGAACACATTGCTGATCTCATTTTTCCTCCCAAGTTTGTGACCCAAACTGTCAATGTGGGCCAGAATGCAGGGTTTCTTAGCTCAGGATCCAGAGGTCTCTATAAGCCTCTATGAAGGGAATGCAAAGGGTTCAGGAACTTGAACAGAAAAATTCACAACTTTTATATAAATCACCCTCTAATCAAACTGTTGTGTTTTTCTTTAAAAACTAGTGCATGCAACCAGCCCAGTAGTATCTAACACATCTGACTGTCCATCTGGTTACATGTCATTACAATCAATCCTACACAGATCTCAAAACATCATTACACTTGGACATGGAGGTCACTGTTAGGTATCATCGTTGGGTGTATTAATTGAGAAGCAGACACATGTATGCCACATCTGAACACACTTTCTGTATGTATCTTGGTGTAACTGGTTGCCTTTGTTTAGACTTTGTGCACTTAAATCTACTCAAAGAAGGGGATTCACGGGCTTCATTAGTTCAGCAAAGGTATCTAAGGCACAGAAAATGATCAGGGCCCTGGAGACAATGATTGCCAAGGATCCCAGTGTCCTAATGGTCTAGGGTTCTAAGTATCTATTTCCCCAGGGCTGACCATTAGCATAACTATGAACTTGAATTTGCGATTTTTTTTCCAGTCAGTAAATACTTGGATGCGGCAGCAGCCTTCCCAAACTCCCGGCTTCCCACAGAAAGTGCTTGAATGACACTGGAAAGATTTCAAACACGTTGACCCCCCTCACACCTCTCTTTAATTCGTATCTTTCTCTTAACAGCTGTCACAGGCCTTGTGAGGAAGCCTGTTGCACGTGAGTCTCATGCCATGGATGGCACTGCTGGGCACAACTGGATCCTTCTGGGCCCCCGGTACTCTTTCTCCTCCACGCGTGAGGAAGCCCTTCCCAAGGCTCCTAGAGGGTTCTCATTGATAGGAGTGGAAAGTATCTCCCCAACTCTACCTCTGCGCCCTGAAGCCAAGCCTGAAGGAAGCACTGAGGCCTGGAGGGAGGCCCCAAGGTGGCCATCCACACAGCGCCCAGAAATGCTTCTCTAACTGGCAGAAGAGGGTGATGAGCCTCAAACTTGTTTTAACTGACTAGTGGCAACCCTTTTTCTACAGACCTTGTTCCTGTTTCCCAGCTATCCAGAGCCACGGGTTTGAGTTTCATCTTCTTTACAGCTTGAGGAAGCCTGGACCTCGAACCTCTGGAGAGTGGATCTATTTCTCTAGCTAAGTGAACACAGTCATTTGGGGGGAACTCTCTGGTTTAACCCCAGTTCTAGGAGGTGAAATCACATTAACCCCTTGAGCAAATACACCAAAAATTGCATTCAAGAGTCAGGCCTTAGGAAAGGAACCTGTTATTCAGGGACCTCCCTTCTTTGAAAGTGTGTGACAGGCCTGGCCCTGGGACGTCACCAGCCTGAGGACTGAGTGACAGCCTAGCAATGGACTTGGCACAGATGAGTGCTCCACCATGTGGACACCATCACTAACTTACCTGTTCACCCACAGGCCCCGGCCGTCCAGGATCCCCTGGTTCTCCCTGCAAAGGAACACAGAAGAGGGTAAGTCAGGACAGGAGGTGGGACACTGAAAACCCTTGAGGAAGTCCCCAGGGCCAAGTGGCCTTAGGTGTCATTGGTGAGAATGAACCAGAAATCCCATCTCCAGACTTTGGCCTTGAAGAAGAATCCAAATGGCTAGCAGCAACCAAAGAGTGCTCCCCAATACTACAGCCATCCACTCTCTCTGAGCAAGATCCCCCAGCACCCTGACACTCCCCAATACTACAGCCATCCACTCTCTCTGAGCAAGATCCCCCAGCATCCTGACACTCCCCAATACTACAGCCATCCACTCTCTCTGAGCAAGGTCCCCCAGCACCCTGACACTCTCTAACACTGCAGCCATTCACTCCCTCTGAGCAAGGTCCCCCAGCATCCTGACACTCCCCAATACTACAGCCATCCACTCCCTCTGATCAAGGTCCCCCAGCATCCTGACTCCTTTGGGACTTCAAACAACCTAACTCATTTTGTTAGGGTGGGAACTAAGGTCCAGAGGGGTGGAAGGACTGTGTAAGGTCACAGAGCCAGCTAGAAGGAGGGCTAGTATTGGGACCTTGGTCCACCTGACTATGGCCCATTTCCATGCAGGTCACCCACTGCAGGGAGAGCTGGGAACTGCAGGTAAAGATCATTAAGAAGCTGAACCTCCACCCTCCCAAGCTTTGCCACCAGCACAAACAGTCTTGAAGAGTCTCGTCTCTGTGCTGGGCTCAGCCTCCCAGCTTCCAGCACTTGGTGGCCTGGTATGGCTTTGCCTGGCAGGTGTGATCTCTGCTAGACAGATCTTACTCCGTAGGTGGCCACAGCAGCCACAGTCTCTCTCTCTCTCTCTCCGTAGTACATGAGTGGATCAGTGATCAACAGATACCCTGGGATGAATCTGCCCAGATATGTCACCTTACACCACAGAAACCTAACTAATATCTGAGGGATTATGGCAAGTCCTCGGAGGGCAGGACACATGATCACAGGGACAGGAGCTTGGATGGAAAATATGGCTCCTATGTCCTGGTCACAGTCTCGTCCTCCCCTCGGTCCCTCCCCAGATGTCATTCTTACGAGTGCTGGCAGGGCCAGACCAGGCACATAGCCATTCATTCCTTTGGAGGGAGGTTATCTCCAGGGCTCAAGGAATCCTCAGACTGTTTCCTACCCTCCTCTTTCCAACCCATTCATAGACTTAGCCCAACATCGTCAGGGCCTTCCCTGGAAATGATGATTAGTCTTCATTATCAGCCTGGGTGGATGTGAAATAGGAATAAAAACACACGAGTGTGTCTATGGTGGCATTTCTAGGGAGGTTTAACGGACACATGAAGATTCACTCTGAATGTGGGAAGCACCATCCCAGGGGCTGGGGATCCAAGTAAATAAAAGGGAGACAGCCATCATCCCCCGCTTTCTGTTTCCTGCTCTAGCCAGATGTGAAGAGGCCCAGCTACATTGTCTGGCCACCACGAACTCCACCACACCTTTTCTGCCATGGTGGCCTGTACCTTCTTAAACTGACAGCCATAATAAACCCTTCTTCCTTGTGCTTTATGTCAACTTGACCCAGGCTAGAGTCCTCTGAAAGGGGGAGCATCGGTTGAGAAAATGCCTCCATAAGATCAGGCTGCGGGAAGGCCTTTAGGGCCTTTTCTCAATTAGTGATTGATGGGGGAGGGCCCATTCCATTGTGGGTGGGGCCACCCCTGAGCTGGTGGCCCTAGATTCTATAAGAAAGCAGGCTGAGCAAGGCACAAAGAGCAAGCCAGTAAGCAGCACCCCTCCATGGCCTCTGCATCAGCCGCTGCCTCCAGGTTCCTGCCCTGCTTGAGTTCCTGTCCTGACTTCCTTCAGTGATGAGCAGTAACTTTTGGTCATGGTGTTTCATCACAGCCATAGTGATCCTAACAAAGACATTCCCTTAACTAGTTTTCTGCCGGATATCTTGTCCCTGAGATAAGAAAAGTAGCCCACTCCCTTACAGGGTCAGTTCTTGTTTTGATCATTAAAAAAAAAAAAAGAAAAGAAAAAGGCCCATTAACAAACACAATACATATTTATTGTACACCAGGGGCTACATGGAGGCCCAGAGAAGACAACAGACATCTCCTTCTACTCCAGTTAAGCACTGCCCGCCCATCTCTTGCCTCTGCTCAGTAGAGGAAGAAGGCAGGTACCACCCCTGCTCATCTCCCGTTTCCAGCCTGCCCCAGAGTGTCTGGACTGTATCCCATGACTTGAACAATCCCCCTCTGTTGGACACCAGCTATGTCTACTTCCTTCTCTCTCCTCTGTGACCAACACTCTGGGATGAAGGTGGACCTTCTTCTCCCCTTTCACTAGTAATGAGATTCAGGGCTTGTCCTAGGGCCGTCCGTCTATGTCAGACCCATGCCCTCTTCCTCCACCCCCATCTCCAGGCACGCCCGTCTCCTCACCTTCGAACCATCCAGGCCAGGCCTCCCAGGAAACCCCTTCCTTCCAGGCTGACCCTGCAACAGAGAGGCACATGAAAGGGGCTACCAGGCACAAGGAGATGTGGGCCCCTGGAGAACTCTACAAGTCCAGCACAGGGAGATACTATGCTCCGGAAGGGACGGCGATGTAGAGATCCAATGTCACCAGGCATCCGGACAAAGAAATTCAAAGATGGTCTCCAGCTGTGCGGCCTCAGCATTGCTTCCTCAGTCCCTGGGCTGAGCTGTCATAAATAGGGACAATGACCCCTGCTCTTTAGGGGAGAGGACAAGGAGAGGTTGGGCAGGGCACTTGGGCACAGGGTCACGCGGACTTCCAGTCTGCAGTCTTCCAAACACGGTCAGAGACTCTGAGGGCCCAACGATCCCTTTGGGAGGGTCAAGCGGGAAAGCACTTCACAGCAGCCATGAGATGTCCCCCGCCCTCATCGCTTCTCTCAGGGATGTGGTGGAGTTTTCGGAGACGGTGTGACACATGATGTCACCAAAGACTGATGCAGATACAGAAGTGAGAACCCAGCTGACTTCACCAGAGTGACCGACATCCAAGAGGTTTGCAAAAATGGGAAAGCAATGCCATGCTTGTCCATGCTTTGCTTCAGAAAATATAGTGATTTGGGACAGAAAAAAAAAAAGATTTCTGCTTATGAGAACAGGCTTATCACTAATTTCCACTGACTTAATGAACACATGTAGAGTGTGCTGGATTTAATTATTCACATATCCACAATACGAGATGACCCACACTAGCAAACACTCTTGGGTGTCTCATCCTTTCTGAGTGTAAAGAGACACTGGAATCAGAAGGCTCGTGGACTGCTGCTCCACACCGTCGCTGGGGTACAGGTGGGCAGGTCTTCTCCAAGGCAGCTGGAAGCTGGGGAGAGAATGTGCACCTAGGCTCTGGGCAGCCAGCCCACATCCCAGCTATGGGACCCAGGGCTGGACCTTCCACTCTTGAAGGCTCTGTTGTTCCTCCCTGAGAGAACCGAGCAAGGCGAGTGGCCCCTGGAAAAATCCACGAGGAAACAGCCACATAGACTCCAACACGGTCAAGCAGGTAGTTGAGGCCACCAACACTCGCCTTCAGTCTCTCTTCTTAGGGCACTTCTTGTGTCCTCTGACTGGCCGGAGGCCTCCCTGCTGGCTGCTCTCCAGACCACTAGCCAGATGTTGTCCTTCCTGTCCCCACTGGCTCAGCTCCAAGAAGCCCTACTTCCTCCTGGCCATCAACACTCACCTCCAAGCCTGGGACTCCTGGCGGCCCCGTGGGTCCTTCATCTCCCTGGAATAGGAGGACACAAGAAAAGAAGGAAGACAAGGGAGAAAATTAACTGGGATTCCTGGAGAACTTGTGCTGTAAGGAGGAAAATATGCGATGGTCTCGCTCTTCTCTCCCTCCCATTTCTGTTCCTCACTATGATTCTCCAGCCCTCCGCAGGTCACAGGAGTCTCCAGGCTGACCCTTTTGGCAGCCAGGGCCTGACCACAGGCCCCTCAGAGCAACCCTGGAGCAAGTATCTCCAGCTTCCAGGAAAGCAACCCCATGCAGTGACTCCTAGAGCCAGCACGGGAACTCTGCCAGACCCACACCCAGCTCAGAGAAAGGATCGGGTCAGCAAAGGCCTGCTCATGGTTGCGCATTCTCCCAGGGCTGTGCACCACGATGCCAGTCAAGGCTCAGGTGCAAGCAAAAGTCAGGCTGCCTGTGGAAGGCCCAGAAGGCCTGAGGCCAGCTCCTGCCCGACCAGGTACAGGTGAACTCTGCTGACATCCCAGCTAGGTAAGGCATGGCATTCCCATGATGCCCTCGTGTCTCCCAGGAGCATATCTGAGAAATAGCACAGGATCTGAGCAGGGACTCTGGGCTAAGGCACACCTGAGTTCTAGTCAAGGCCCTACCTGCTATTAACATGGGGCCTGGCAATCATTTCCCTCCCTGGATCTCCAAGGACCTGTTTCAAAAAAGGGACTGACACTTCCTATCCTCCCATATCAACATGATAAACTGTGATAGGTGTGGAAGGAAGTTACTTGTCCCACTAGGCCAGAGAAGAGTCACAGGCAGAGCTGTAATGGAACAGATGCTCTGGTGATGAATCTGACATGGCCCTGGCCCCAGTCAAGGCTTTGGTACCCTGGACAGAGCCAGCTGGTTGCTGGGACAGGGTGGAAAAGACAAAGAGGAACAGGAGGGGACAAGGGCATCTCACCTCAGGTCCCGGCTGCCCAGGGGGTCCAGGCAGGCCTCGGGCTCCAGGCTTACCCTGGGGAAAGAGAACAGAAAGGGTCTCAGAGGCAGGACTCTCCAGTAGGGCAGCCAACGTGTGCCCTGGGATTTCTTCAGCCAAGGACCTTAGGCGGGAATGGACTCACCTTCAGGCCTTCAGGACCATTGTCCCCTGGGGGGCCAATGTCTCCTGGGAAACCCTGTGGGAAAGCAGAGAGCCAGGTCACCTGGGCTGCTTGGCAGGTGCTCGGAACATGTCGCTCCCCCCCCCCCCCCCCCCCCCCCCCCCCCCCCCCCGCCTCGAGTGCCATGGGTGACCACTCCTACCACTACTGTCATGTGACCTGAGGTAGGTCAGCTACTTGATCCCCCCCCCTTCAGTCCCCAAGACTGACTTTGCAGAGTGGCTGAGAAAATACAGAAGGAATTGAATGTAGTGACCCATGTCTTTAATCTTAGCGCTGGGAGCGGGAGGCAGAGACAGGAAGATAAAGGGTTCAAGGTCATCCTCAGTTACATATCAGATTCAAAGACAGCCTGTGCTGCGTGAGACTTGTGGAGAGAGAGGTGAGGGAACAGAGATACGGAAGATCATTCAGGAACACACGAAGGTTGTTGCACACGGTCATCTGACTCAGAACGGAGTCTCAGGCTCCGGGAACACTGAACCCTGAGTCAGCCGCCCTGTCTGAGATACCTGACCCACAAGCCACATCCATCCTGTGGGCCATGACTCGCCACATTGGTTGTACAGAGTCAGCTGCTGATGCCCTTAATCACGGCCTCTCCTCTTCGGGAGCTAGCATTCCTGAGATCCCCTGCCCAGAGTGCCGGACTCTGTGACACGCTCCTATCCTGGCCTGCGGCTTCGAGGGACCTATCCCGACAGGTGACCATGCTCCAGACAGGTCAAGTCTGGAGCAGAGAGGCCCCCTTCTCCTCCACACCCTGGTGCCTCTGCTGGGGACCCCTCTCGCCACCCCAGAGGCTTGTTTCTATTATAGTTGCTACAGGAGCAAAGTGTCCTTCGGCCTAGCCATGTCTAGCGGGCCGGTGTGGGAAATCCCTCTCTGTGTTTATGTGGAATACCTCCGTTAATCCAGCCTAGAAACCCGTTCGCGCAGGGCAGCCCCACTCCTCCCTTCCTGGCAGCTAGAACTCAAGGCCCTTCGTTGTTTTTTTTTTTTCCCATGACTCTCTGTGACTAAAAGACCCCGCCCACTTCATTCTTCTGTTGCTGTTTTTCTTCCCTTCCCTTTAACCTCACACTACTCATGTCTGTGAAATCCTTTTGTCTTTTTTCCCCCCAAGTGGTCCTGAATATTTTTTTCTTTTTTAAAATCTTCATTTTACGTGCATTAGTATTTTGCCACGGGTGTCGGATCCCCTGGAACTGGAGCTAAGGACAGTTGTCAGCTGCCATGTGGGTGCTGGGAACTGAACCCGGATCCTCTGGAAGAGCAGTCAGTGCTCTTCACCACTGAGCCATCGCTCCAGTCCCCGAATATTTTCTTCTTTAGAAGTCTCACTATGTCATCCAGTCTAGCTTGGAACTTGCTAAGCAGACCAGACTGGTCTTGAACTCCCAGAGATCCTCCTGCCTCTGCCTTCTGAGTGCTGGAATTAAAGGTGTATGGCACCACACTAAACGCACAGTCCTACATTTGGTGCTAGCACATTGAAGTTCCGTCAAAATGGGACCCAGATCCTGTCCTGTTACTCCTTCACTGTGTGATGGGCAAGTTACTCAGCCTCTCCGGGCTTTGGCCTATGCAGGAGTTTTAGATAAAATACCTCACAGGGCAGTGCTAAGATTGAAATGAGCAATGGAAGCCAAGTGCTTAGATTGGCACCCAACAGGGAGTACACAGACAAACTTGTATCCACAAGAGTGTGTGCTGGGAAACCACCCTCGCCTGGGATTGCCCATCTCCTGTGGGAACACAACTGCCAGGATGTGACTCAGTTCTGGTGTTGAATGAAGGAGGCAATGCTGTCAGGAGACTGTGCGCGGGGGCTCCCTCCCAGCTCCTGAGGGCCAGGTGCTAGCCAGCAAAGACACACGCTCACTCACGGCTTCTGCCTTCCACCAGCCTGAGCCACCTCTGGCTATGGAGTCAGCCAACCAAAGCAGCACGGAGATAGGCCGGACAGACCCCAGAGGAACCCTGGGAGCCAGAGTCCAGCCGAACTGCTACTGAACAGTGACCCTGAGACTCCAAGCCTTGTTTATTCATCCATAAACAGAGGCAGCTCTCCTGCTCCCCACCGACCACCCCCGCCATGGTATGGTGAGTTCTCCTCCCTAGCTGCTACCCAGCTCCTGGCCCGATAAGAGCCTCATCCATCCATGAGTTCACATTCAGGAGTAAGCTTTCCTCCCTCACTGGCCAGGCTGCTGGGAAACCCAGACTCAGGAGTCTTTTTCCACGTTGAGCAACGGATGGAGGAGAGGCCAAGTTCATTTGTCTAAAGATAGGGTTGTGTCCTGGCCAAAGTCAACAGAGCGAAGAGTCAGACTGTGGCTTTTAGGAAGCATGCCCTCATCCATTGGGGAAGGCTATGAGTGATCTCTGGAAAGCTTGGGAGCAGGCTCTTCCCTTGGCTGCAGGAATCTCATGGAGGAGCAAGGCCCTGCGGTCAAGGAGCTCCGGTGGCTGGGGACTGGGTGGTAACAAGCCTGAGATGCACAAAAACCCTGGTTAAGGTAGCATGCTACTGTTAGAGGGGACCAGGCTAGTGGGGCTACAGTGAGTGCCCATTTGGCATCTATGGCCGAGCCCCGAGATGTCCATCATCACATGTACCAGCAGCTGCCAGGTGTTCTCCACGTTCCCCGGCGCATCCCTGGCTATACCATCCTGCTTTGTTTCACATTCTTCAGCCAATCCAGAATCAGTGGCTCTCCTCCCTCCCCACCATGTCTAGGAGCCCTGAGCCCTGGGGAGCAGCCAGGGAAAGAACGGTTCAGAGGAGTCCCTGTGAGTAAACCCACAGCTCCAAAGGACACGGACAGCACCCCGGGAAGGCTTCAGAGGTGGCTCTGTGGGAACCACAAGGGTCCGGTTGGCCACCACTAGGAAAGGACTCTAAGGTTAGCTCGGGGAGCCCCTGGGTGAGACAGGACAAGCTGAGGAGGGGAAGAGAACACAGAGGGTACTGACCCGTGAACTTCTCTCTTTTCCTTTTGGTTTTTGAGATAGAGTCTAGCTGCACAGCTTGGGCTGACCTTATGCTCCCACTGGAGTGCTGGGATCCTAGCATGCACCACTGAACCCATTTCTAGCCTTGGCCTTGTTTCTCATTTTATGGATGATCCCTAACAACTCCTTCACCATCTCTGGGCACAACACTAAGTTCTACTCAGGTGTAGGGGACAGGAGAGGGTGACAGAGACAGAGAGAGAGAGACAGACAGACATCACGTACCTCAGGACCAGGAGGTCCAGGAAACCCAAGTGAGCCTTTGTCTCCAGCTTTGCCCTGTGGGAGATGTAGGATCACTACACAGACAGGATTAGCATGGGCCCTACCTTTCACCAACACCCTATCCTCAGTTGAGGGCAGCCTGGAACTACACGAGTGAAATCTGCCTAGTTGGCTAAAAAGGAGCAGCACCTGCAATGTCTTCTGCTGTGTGTTCCAGCCAGGAGACCCAGGCAGGCCACTTCAGCCTTCAGAATCTAAACTTCCACGTCTAGAAATGGAAGCAGCCATTACTGCCCACCCTCTGCTCCTTGGGTGTGGGCAGTAGGCATGGAAGGAAAGTGGCAAAGCGTGTGTGTGTGTGTGTGTGTGTGTGTGTGTGTGTGTGTGTGTGTGTGACACACGCTAGCATTCAGTGTCATGAGATGGGGGACATCAGTAGTGTGCATGGGCATGCAGAGTCTGGTTCCAATTAGGGTCCATTGGTGTGCAGGGCCTGGGGCCAGTCTGGTACCCAGCATGACTCCTGCCCCTCACCTTCAGAAACTCTATCCAGGAAATTGGTCAATGGCCATCTGTGCCTCACTCTGCTCAACCCCAGGACTGCTGGAAGAAGGGAAGTCTTGGATGTGGTATAACCCCAGCTATGGTCCATAAGCAAGTGGAGGGTACTGGCCTTAGTATCCCAAAGCTGCAACCAGGTGGAGGGATGAGGAAGAGGAACTTACCAGAGGCCCTGGCTTCCCTCGAGCACCTGGGAACCCTGGCAAGCCCTGACTCCCCTGGTGAAAGAGAAAGAAAACTGAGTTATCAGAGCATAGCCATGCCAGGAGCAACCACAGTACCCTTCTGCCAGCCCATCTTCAGGAAGGAGGAGGGCCTCCCTTCCCCACTGCAGGCTTGGGCTGAGCTCACACTTGCTGCACCCCAAGGCCTGTGTACCAGGGTTGGGAGCAGCCCTGACCTACTCTTCAGGACCTAGGGAATCTTCGTCCATACTAGCCCTACAGTGCCCTTCAGGCCACTTGAGATCAGAGCCCCAGAGGAGAGCAGCCAGGCCTGTATGTTATAACCTAGACATGGACACTGGGTCAGGGCAGGCCGGCTAGAAGGAAGGGAAGGGGGAACTGGTCAACATTTGAGCCTGGTGGGCTGGCCAGGAAGGCCAGATGTGGCCACATGGTTAACTCCGGGCAGAGGAGCCATTCCCAGCAGGCCACAGCCAGCCACTAGAGATCAAGGCCATCACGGTTCACCCGTTGTTCCTTGTCGGCACAGCGAGTCCCTCCCTCCCTTCTTCCCTCCTTCTGGCCAACTCGTCCTGAATTTTCATTTGAGTGTAGGACCAGAGCAGAGCTGTCAGGGCAGTCGAGAGCCCTGTTCCTCCGGGAATTCAGTCTGCAGGAGGTTAAGCACAGGTCCCCAACCAAGGAGAAGAGTATTGTGAGTGAGAGACAGACACGTGCCCAGGACATCAAAGGCCACTTTCTGAGAAAGTTGGGGGGGTGGGTGGGAGAAGGCATCTGAGCAGGGTGGTGCAGAGGCCAGGGGTGGGTTCTGAAAGGGAAGGGGTGTGTTCAAACAGCATGAGGCTCCCAGGACAGTTTAGTGGTTCCGCAACACAGCCAAGGGGAGAGGGAAATGTCAGAGGGTCCCAGAGACTGGGGTCCTGTGCCACTGTGGGGAGCACCAGAACTTGTCCCTAAGGACAGCTGGAAACCATTGACAGTGTAAACAGAACAAAGACACATGTGCCCTCAAAAGGACAATTTGGGGGTCGTTAGAAGGACAGGTAACAGTGGCTGGCAAATAAGTTCAGAGGCCACTATGAGGTTCAGGAGAAGTGACGAGTGGGTGGATGGGAACTGCCACCTGACAAGTGGGCCCCAGACCAGCAGAAGGAGGATGAAGGTGGGGCCGGAGGCACCTGATAAAATTACCTTGTCTCCTTGGAAGCCGGGATCTCCCGACACACCTGGGACCCCTTGTTCACCCTGAGTACACACCAGCAAAGAGATTATAAGGGAGGAGGCATGCAACCCAGAAGCTTTCCCCGCACAGCAGACCCCGTGGAGCCTTGTGGAGGCTGTTCTTGTGGCCAGCAGCAGCCTTGGCTCTAAAGTGGTCAAGGTCCCATCCCCTAGGTGGGCCAGGAGAGCCCCAGGGTGAGGAGAGGCCTCCCACTCCACCACAGCTTCTCAGAGCACCCCCGAGGCCACCCAGCCTTTCTGTAGTGAACACTGGTTTTCTTGTAGGGCAGTGTCTTCACCCTGCAGGCTCTTCAGCAACAGTGGATGTCCGCATGCAAGGGTGACAGCTGCAGGGACCACAGCCTAGCCACTACGCCTGCTGGGAGCTGCCACATCTTCCTGTCCCCCTTCCATTCCAGCAGCTGGCTTCTAATTAACCGCTTTTAATCAGCTATCGTGGGAGTCACCAGATAGCTGGCTTGTTCGGACTGTGCGCAACAGGAATCAAATGGGCCCTGACTGAGCTCTGGGTGGGTCTCTTCAGAAGGCTCGGTGACAGGATTCCTCTGCTCCCTCTTGGTCCAGTTCCGGTAAATGAGCTGTCCCCAGGCCAGCTGGAAAGGCGCCTCCCTTGTAGGACTAGAACCATCTCGAAGCCCTTAGCCTGCTAGCCTGTTGCCTTAGGCTACATTACAGTAGCCTACTCGTTCTGGTCACTGAGACCTTCTGAAGCCCTAGCAGCTCGAAGAAGTAGAAATCTCAGAAGACCAAGGTGGCTGTAAAGGCTGTGACTTGGCACACAACTGCATCATCAGAACAAAAATTGGAATTGAAAGCTTTTCTGTTTTGTTTTGTTTTTTTTTTTTTTTTTTTTGGTTTTTTCGAGACAGGGTTTCTCTGTGTAGCTTTGCGCCTTTCCTGGAACTCACTTGGTAGTCCAGGCTGGCCTCGAACTCACAGAGATCCGCCTGGCTCTGCCTCCCGAGTGCTGGGATTAAAGGCGTGCGCCACCACCGCCCGGCGTTTTTTTTTTTTTTTTAACTTGCTTTTTTGTGTTTTCTTTTTTCTTTCTATTTAGAAAATCTTGTACACGGTCATAGAATTTGGGGAGGTATTCTCTCTCCCTCTCCGTGTGTGTGTGTGTGTGTGTGTGTGTGTGTGTGTGTGTGTGTGTGTGTGTTGTGTGCAAAGAAGGGTTGAAAATATTAAAAATATGAGAGAGGAAAAGCTTAAAAGTCATCTAGGAAACTCGGCCATGACCTGGAGAGTCAGGCTGAGCAGGAGCCCCCTCCAGGCTGATCTGAGAGCCTGGCTCAGGGACAGGTGGGGTCATGGAAAGTCAGGATGAGCAGGAGAATACAGGGATGAATGATGGCTCTGTGGTCCAGGGAGGGCTAGAGGCAGCATGGATATGGTTGCCAGAGCACAAGCTGGAGACCCTGGCCCAGCCAAGGGCAGGACAGCAACTCTGCCTCTCTCCCTCTTCCAAAGGGGCCTTGAAGGACTTCCTGCAGTTTGTTGCAGAGCTCCACATCTCCAGCACCCCTGGTGGCCCCACCAGCTGCTGTGACAAGGACATGAGGGCACTAGGCTCATTTGCATGTTTTCCAGCATTGCAGATTGGCAGCCGGCCCTGCCCAATCATCTGTGCAAAGCCCTCAGCCACAAATTCATCTCCCGCACTTCCTTTCTCCTTGGCCAGGACTTCAGTTAGTCCACAGAGCTGTCGTCTCACGCCTCAGAGCAGACAGGAGGTTATCAGGATCCCCCCACTCCACCCCCCACAAGCCCCTTCATTTCGAGAGGGCTGGACGGAAGGTCTGGGAGGACAGTAGCAGATAAAGCCTAGAAAGGCAGGCAGCTGAGGCATGACGGGAGAAATCGGAGAGGTAGCAGCAGGTGGAGAAAGAGCTGAAGTGACTCCATCTTGCTGGCTGCCTGGCCACTTCCTAAGAGCCCAGGGACTTGGATTAGCTCCATAAAGCACAGACTTGGATTTCATCAGTATCTTCCCTTCTCTGGGACTCGGTTTCCACAGTTGTCAGTTGTAGGTTCTAGAGCCAGGGACTTCCCAGAGCCTTGCTCACTCGGACCTCATGACTTTTATTCTGTTCAGTGACTGGGACTCACTGGGGACCCAGGTGTCTCAAGAGGGCACAAGGGCCCAGCCATCTGGCACAGGTGAGGAGGGACTGAGCGGCGAGGCCATCTCTTGTGGATATTCAGGGGGCCACCCCCAAACATGCCACATACCCTTTGGCATTCCAGGTTCATGTAGAAACTGAACGGGAAGAGAGAGATGTCTGTACAAGGCAGAGTACTCCTGCACTGGCCTGGTAGTTGTTATTCTGAGGCTGTGTGACCTAGGCTAGGTGCTACCTGTCTCTGGGCCCTGGGACTCACCTCGCCTTTCCAACAAGGTTTGGCACAGGGTTGAGACAACAAAAGGTCATCGGCAGGGCTGTTCAGCACGGGCCTAGGAGTAGCTTTTTCAGGGGCAGCTGGGGAAACAGGTGGTGCTTGGAGGCTTCCCATAGTGTTTCAGCCTAGGTGCTCTCTAGGGCTGGACTCTCAGAGCCTCCCAGGGATACAGGGATACCAACACCTGTTTGGGCTGGTCCTGGGAGGTCTCCACCCTCCAGGTTCTGAGGCAGTGACCCCTGCATGCCTTGCTGTGATGCTCTGCATTTGAGATTCAGAGGTCAGCCTTGACTTAAGCCAGACCCACGCTCCCTCCTGTCCTATCTGCCTCAACCATCAGGCCCCCAACAGCCGTTCTCTTGAGCCTCACACACCGAGAGAGCAGAATAAGCCAGAATGGTAGTTTCAGAGGACTGAGGAGGGAAGCCACAGTGTGCAGCGGAGGAGCCAAGCGGGTCCAGGTATCCCGGGGGGAGGGGCATGAGGTAACCCACAGGCAGTAAGGGAGAGTTCCGATCACCTTATCACCTTTCAGTCCGGGCTCCCCCACGCCGCCCATCAGTCCCTGCAAGAGAGGCCAAGGCCACAGAAGTCAGGGACTACTGACATGCTTCAAGACCCTGAGCTGGCCCCCACCCTGGGGCTCCGTATTCTGATGAGCCAAGGGGGCAGTGATGCCCACCTCACAAGGCAAAGGGTTGTGTGATTAGCTGTGAGAAGCTGCAGTGACCCTCATCCCTGAACTCAACCCAGAGCAGAGGGGGCTGACAGCCAGGACCTGGGCTTTCCTGGACAAGTGTCTTCCACTTGTGAGGACCAAGCTCACTGCTTGCCACGAGGGTGTCTACATCACTGGCCGTGAGTCCCACATCCCAGAACCACACTGGCCTCCCATTCAGCTTGTGGACTTAGTGTTCAATAAAGATGTCTGGCCTAAATGACATACAGATGCTGGCCAGCTCTCAGGCCAGAGAACTGAGCTCCCAGCCAGCCTTTCCCATCTCCCCTCCCAGTGACATCAGACGGTGCCCTTCTTCTGGGGTGCCCAGTCGGGGTGGGGCCTGAACTTGGGGAGCCTTCATTTAACTTACCTTCATGCCTTTGGGTCCCGGGTAGCCAAGTGGACCCAATGCTCCCATGTCACCCTGGGGAGAGACAAAGACGAAGACACCATGAGAGGTGGCCCTGGGGGGAGATCTGGGAGGGAGGATCCCCCAGATCCCAGCAGCTGGACTGAAGATGCAGTTCACACCCTTGGGCTGGTCTTGGAATTAGGAGTGTTCTGCCGTTCACTTCCACTTGGAATCAGAGCCGGCCACAATGCCTGATCTTGGCCACATCTCAGGAGCGGTCACACCCCTCCCAGAACTTCTTATTAGACAGCAAGACTTCTGTCCACTACATAAAGGACTCATAACTTCTTTGGACTTCAGTCTCCTTCTCTGCAAAATGGGGACCAGGATTCTCTGCTCTGGGGCTGCTGTACGAGTTAAGTACATGTTTATTCTTTGGGATGAGGGATGAGGAACACTTCCTGCTGCCCAGGGCAGCTGACAGCTCCTCACAAGGCAACAAGGACAGGAGGCATTCTGGGTGCTCTATATTGTCTATGGTCCCCAAGACGCAGAGTTGGTTCTTGGACAACAGGCTGGGGATCCAGCTTTGGGTCAGGAACAGCAGGAATCCTGGACTTGGGAGGTCCAGTGACCCCAAGGGTGTTCTCCACAGGAGCTCCCGATGGCTGGAGGGACATTTCATGTCCCTCTGCCAATTACCTAGCATGGGACAGGGAGAGTAGCAACACTTTGTTTCCTTAGCACCGTTCCAAGGAGCAGCTGAGTTAGCAGGTGAGAAAACGTCTAGGGTAGTGTGTGTTGTCACAATTTAAGAGAGGCTACTACCATCTAACAGATGGAGGTCAGCCAGGGGCCACCAACAATCCTGCAGTACACGGGACAGATCCCAGCAAAGGGTAACCCAGCCCCAGACTCAGAAGTGCTGAGGTCAGGGAATCCAGGCTTAGAGCAAAGTGGGTGAATTTCTTTATTCAAAATCCACTCCATTCCCTCCAATGTCACTCTGCTCACTCCCTCATAGCCACCCCCAAGCTCAGCCATAACATGGAGTTGTTCTAGGGGGAAAAAAGCCGTTCTTTTCACCTTGTTCATCTTCCCTCACTGACCCAGCAGGCTTTGCGGTTGCAATCAATGTACTTGAGCTCTCTGGGCATCGGTTCCCTACTACCCTGTTTCAGACTCTTTGGACTCCTTGGCAAAGGCCCTGAGGTTGGGGCATAAGGTCAGCCCCGGAAGCCCAGCAGCAGAGAATGCCAGTGGAGAGCTCCAGAAAGGCTGGGGGACCTGCAGATGGGTAGCGGAGAGGAGCTTTTCAGACTAGACATGTCCATTCCTCCCCTGCCTGAAACACAGGTACTAGCCCATGGCAGGCAAATCCCGACTCAGGACTTCAGGACTGCCACTTGGCTGGGTTCAGCCCTCTCTGCTGAGCCTTCGCTAGCAAATCCTGCTCCCAGTGTCCATCAAGAAAAAGAACACCTCGGTCTAACAATGACCATCATGACCTAATAAGACCATTGCAGGACACAGAGCAACAGAGTCCCTGATTCCCCTCTTCTCAGTTACTTCTCACAACTCCGGTGGGTCACTTTTTCTACCATGGCTGATGTACCAAAGAAGAGGCCAAGAGGCCGGGCCTGCAGCCATGTCCAGTTCTGAAGTCTTTGGAAGAAGCGAATCTCACAGGCAGAGTTGGGAGGGGAAGCCAGCCTTCCGAGGCTACATTAAAAAAACCAACCCCTGCTGCCAGCCCCAAGTGGAGGAGAGTGATGCCCATGGTCCCCGCGGTATGATGGACAGAGCAGACTCTGTAAGAGATCGCTGCTCCCTAGGCTCCTGGCAGAGGGCAGAGGACCAGCCAACAGCTCCAGGAACTCAGGCTGGCTTTTCCTGTGGCAGCCTAAGCTAAAGGCAGCTTGTGAGGGGTCGAGAATCACGCAGGCTGGACGATGAGCATGTGGGACACTCAAAGGCTGTGTGGGTGTCGGAGAAGGGGCTTGACATGAATACACATCACTCCAAGGGGGAAGCCATTGTGGCAAAACGACCCTAGATGTGAGGACTGCAGCTGGAGGACCTTAGGGGAGGCAGTCGCAGTCGCAGTCGCAGAAGGTAGGTCTTAGAAATACGGGGTCCCAGATTGGCCTACAAAGGGAGGGGAAGGGACTCTGTGGGTCACTGTCCCCAGAGGACACCTCATACAGCCTGACTGCTGAGTGTTCCCATGAGAATAACAAGGAAGACCCTTAGGTCCGAACCATGCCTAAGCTCCCAGGCACTACTTCACACCATCCCCTTCCTCTCCAGGCCCCCACCAGGATCACAGCCAACACAGCTGAAAGCAATTAAAGCCCCCCTGCTGTCTGTCCAATTCCAGGGGCAGCTGCCAACCCTCCTCGGTCCAGCCCTCCCTAGCCAGACTCCGAATGATGCACCGGGCCACTAGCAGTTCACCACTGTCCACCCATGCAACCAGCATGGCAGTTACAGATGAGGAAAAAGAGGGTCCAGAACACGTGCCCTGGAAGTACTGAGTGGGGCAGAGGCAGGATCAGACCTCAGGACTGTCTGTCTGTCTGTCCAGGTATGAATTCATGCTTACAAGTCCTGGGGAAGCCTCTGACAGCAAGAACCCAAAACCATGACATAGGCATCCAGATCAGGGTTTGCAAGGGACCTTGGAGGAAACCCGTGGGGGTTTCCAAGGCAGGACCCTCCCTCCTCTCCAGAAGTCTCTCTCTCCTTCCAGCCTCGCGGCTCCTCTTCAGCTGTGGCATCTGGCCTGTAATGTCCCCAGCCTTGGCTCACCTGTGTCTTAGCCTGGTGTGCTGGGCTGACCACTGACACTGCTAGACCTTTGTTCCTGTAACTGCACCACTTGGCCGTGACCCCAGAGCTCTGTCACCTCCCTGCTCTAGGGTCTGGAGTCAGCTGACTCCACAGAGGGTTGAGTATATCTTGGTTTCTACAAAAAACTGACCATCAAAGCATGGACTCCTCCCCTACACACACACACACACACACACACACACACACACACACACACACACACACGCACTCAGCTGAACACCCATACATTCTAGAAAATCATTCGTGACTCAGTCCCAATTCCTCCTACACCTCATGGCAGAGACTCTTTCCTTTCCAGTTCCCCAGGAAGCTCCCTCAGGCTCTGAAGTTCCCACTCACAGAGCTCTAGAACAAGAGAAGGCACTCACTCAGGGCTTGGTGGACTCAGGCCCAGCCCAGTGACCCCCACCTAAAGGTGCCAAGATGAGAGGAACTTCATTCTGGCAGAGAAGGGAATCTGAAAATAGGCAAAGAGAAGCTGGCAGTGACCAGAGAAAGACACCGAGTGAGGGAGGCCGGAGAAAAGAGAAGCTCTTTGGAAACCTTGTAGGCATGGGGCTGAGAACTGTAGGCAGACCCAGAGCTCAGCCAAGAAGGAGACAGGAAAGGTCCCTGGACTGAAAGACAGGGGTATTGGACTTGAATCAAGCTCCTTCTCCTGCCTTGTGTGTGACCTTGACCTGTGGTCTGTTTCCCCTCTTTCCAAAGAGACACTGTAAGCTGCAGCATCAGATCAGAACAGAAAGAGGCCCCAGTTATATTTGGATGATAGGTGAACAGAACAACATTCTAGCACAAACGTGTCCTAAACATCACATCTGGCATCCAAATCCACCTGGGACTTGCATTTTGTCTGGTAGTTCTGAGGCTGGAAGGAACGTGCCATGTATATGGAGGAACATCACAGAGTTCCTCCACAGTCTGGGTCCGTTGAACCTGTTCATTCATCCAAACAGAACTCATTCTATTCTCAGGACCCAACCCAGAATACTGGGACAATGCCAAATGGGAACATGTGCCAACGATGACTGTCAGAATGTGGGAGTACCCCCTTTGTAAATTTTGGGATCAGTATTGATCATACTGAAGGAGCTGAAGAGCAGGAAATGGGCATTTGACCCAAAACAGCCTCTCCCAGAGACAGTGAGGGTAACCTGGGCTCAAGACAGGAAAACACTGGAAAATGAAGACTGTGTGCTCCGATGGACCAGGGAAGGAGAGAGTTTTTAGCACCCGAGGTGTTCACATTGGAGCTTAATGGTCATACGCTCCAGTGATCTCTTCAGAGCTTAGAAAAAAAAAATAGATACTAAGACTTCCAGCATGTTCTCAGATTCTCATGGCACACACTGCCAAAGTAAGTAGTCAGCAAAGTTCTGTTGAATGAACATAAGAGGCAAGTGTCTAAGTTAATACTTCCCCATCCCTAGCCAAGGCAGACATCACTGTCAACTGTAGCATCTTCAGCCAAGGAGGATCTTACTAGCTAACGATAGCATCCCCCTCCAAGGCAGACATCACTAGTCAATTTTAGCACACTCTCCCACCCAGTTCCAGTGTGCAATGCTATCAGACACGTAACAGAAAAACAAAAATAGCAATTGTTATGATTATTGCTGCTTGGAGCCTTACTGTGTTCCAAACACTGTGTACATGAATGTGCTAAGCTACTTAAACCGTAACACCAATCCCCCAAAGCAAGCACTACTACAATGTCCATTTTATAGGTGAAAAAACTGAAGGTCAGAAGGGGAAGAAATACATCCAGGATAGGGATTAGATGAGTAGGTGAACTAGGACTCAAACCCAGGAGGTCTGGTGCCAGGGCCCAGATTGGACTACACGCATCTGTGGTCCCAGAATAAATGAGGACAATAATCCCATATTACAAATGAGGACGAGGATCCCATGTGACAGAGGGTTCCTGGGGTTCACAGAGGTAAGGTCATCATTGGAGATCAGAACCAAGAGGTTGACCTGGCCCCACATCCCCTCACCCAGGCTCTGCTCCGACCTGCCTGAGCAGGAATGATGCTTCTGGGGACCCTGGGCCCTCTTCCAAGGACAGACTGCTGGGGAGTGGCGTGTTTCCTACTCCTCCACCACCATCTTCAGCACAGGTGTTGGAAGAACAAGCCATCCCTCGTGTCTGGGGAGCCACCTCGTGCCCCCTGCCACCACACCACAGGCTTCACAAGGCCAGAGCAGAGAAGCAGATTCTAGGGGGACATTTCTAGGTTCACCCCAGGCTCTGGCCTCTCACTGGCCCTCAGGGCTGAGTCAAGACTAGCTCTACAGGCCAGGCAACAAGTGCTATGCTGAGTGACAGAGCCACCCTCCAAGGCTTTTCCAGCCAGGAACAGTCAGAGGCCCTGTCCCCTCCCGCTCCCCAGCCTCTTGGGCCCAGGCATCACAGCAGATAATGGTTGAGATAAAAGATATAGTCGAGGGACTCAGAACTTAGAGTGCTGGAGCTGGCCACACTGTCCCCACCCTCCTTCCATCCCCACAGGAATCCAAGAGGACTCTGCCCATCTCCACTTTACAGACGAGCAAACTAAAGCTCAGGTCACACGACAAGGATTTGACAGTGCTGGGACTTGAACTGGGCACTCTGGCTCCAAAGTCAGTGCTTTGAGGAAAAGGGTGAAGAAAGCTGCCTATCATGCTCTAGTCTCTGCTCCCCTGCTAGCCACAGTCTCCCTCTGGGCCTGAGCCCTTCACAGGCTCAATGGCCCGCTATCACACTGACCTACCCGCCTGTAAGTCAGGGGACAGGCAGCAAGCCTGAGGATGTTTGGCAGCCCCATACTCCAGGACTCATCCTCATGCAATCAACGATGCTCAGAGAAGGGGGTTAAGCTACCTGCAGTCACACAGCACGGCTTTGCCTTTACTCCTATCTCCTCACTCCCCATTCTCCCCCTCAGCCCTCTGGGGAGTTGATGGAAGAGGCCCTTCTGACCTCCCCCGTGGGTCCCTTGCCTGCTCCTCACACCCCGGCTATCCCATCTCTGCCCACCGTGGGCCTAGGCATGTGTGTACTTACAATGAGGCCGGGGACTCCTGGTGGCCCTGGCAGACCAATTTCTCCCTGAAAACACAGAAATCAAGGTGGTGACTGCCCCGCCTCCCTCCACACCATACCCCACGCAGGTGCCGATTGGAGCATTGGGAGCAGACTTCCCCTCTTCCTGACCACAGTCCCTAGGTGTTCCTTTGTGCTTGGCCTGGGTTTGAAGAAGACACCCCCTCTACCATCTATCCCACCTGTCACTTCCAAGCCTGGCACCTAGCATGAAGGACAGACACACGGGTGGGACTGGACCCAGGCCATAAGCAGGTGGAGGTGTTTTCCTCTCGTGGAGAGGACACTGGGATTTCGGAGGTGAGTGGTCCAAGGTCAGAGGCAAGCAAAGAGGGAAACACTAGGGCTCCATCACCATTCAGGCTCTCCAGGTCTGCCCATTCTTGGGACTTCCCGGATGTCATGGGAAGGTCTTGTTGGGGCCAGAGGATGGGACAATGTGGGACTGACCTTCCAACTCCAGTCCCCAAAAGCTTTATAAATTGACCATCTATTGTCTACACCCGGATAAAAAACAAACAAAAAAACCAAAACAAACCAAAAAAAAAAAAAAAAAAAAAAAAAAAAGGAGGGAAGAGTCTGGCTCACATTCAAAACAGATAGTCATGAATCAAACCTTGAGGTTCTGGCCACTGATTAACGGTAAGAAATGCCAGCCTCTCCCAGGGCTGTCCTTGTTGATACAACTGTGGGACTGCCCTGAAGGGAAATGACTTGCTAAGGTCCCTCAATAACTCCATGGCAGAGCTCATGCCAAGGCCAGGAAATTGTTTTATTCCTCCAGACCCTAAGGAGAAACATGTCTCTCCCAATCCAGGGAAATTCCCAGAAGGCCATATCCTTTGGTGTGATGCTAACCCATTAAGAGGCGAGTCTGTGGGAAGGGCCTGGCTCCCCCTGCAAACCCTTGAAAGGTATCTTGCAGCTCTTTCCTTACCCCAGTTCTTCTGTCTTCTCCACAGGCCATTCCTACTCTCCCCTCCCTCCTCTGTGCCACCCAGCTCCCCCAGCCAAGTACAATGGCCTAAGGAGGTAGCACTGAGACCAGGGACCACCTTATGGACACTTAGTATTAATGACAACTGTCCCCTGAACACCTGCAGCGGCCAAGACCTTCCATTCTCCAAAGCATGCATTCTGACCCGCACTTTGAGGGGGAAACTGGGGTGCAGAGGAATGAACGGGTTTACCAAGGGACAAACTCCACATTCCTGGCTAGGTCAGGCCTGGGGGATCTTAGTCCCTGAGGCATCTGGGTAGGTCAGGCTCAGGAGCATTTATGGCACGGCAATGGGCCAACATATGGCAGAGTGCTGGTGGAGGTCCCAGTGGACACAGCTGGGCATGGCTGCTCTGGTAACAAGCCCCAGGGAAAGTCAAGGACCTGAGCAGGTGTTCCTGAGAACACTGGCCATGGTCTGCAACCCAGGCTGACATTAATGTCCTCTCCCACCCAGGGCCTGGGGCTGGGACAAGAAGGGAAAAGCAAACGGACTCCCCAAGGGGAGACCAACCCATCTCCTTGCAGGCAAGCTGGGCCTCTGCACATTTACAAACTGTAAAGTTGAAGATGCCTGTGAACTTGCCTCTGCCTCCAACAAAGCTTGCAGCAGGTGGCTTTGCCAAGCCGAACTACCTGTAAATGGTTCTGGTGCCTCCTCCGGGTGGCAGCTGGGGTTTTTTCACCAGACAAAAGCCCCAGAGACTGGCACCACCTACAGCTAAGTAGTCAGGGACTCTCCCAAAAGGCCACAGACACTCCAAAAGAAAGGGACTCAGAGAAGTCTTTCCATTTTTTGCCAAGGGCACCCAGCTAGTAGGTCATGGGCTGGGGACAACCCAGTTCTGTCTGACCCCCAAACTCAGGCTCCTCAAGTCTGCTGTACTCTGGCCTGTTGGCAAGCATGGAGGTACTTACAGGGTTCCCATCAAGTCCAGGAGGGCCTCTTTCCCCAAAGTCTCCAGGGAAGCCCTGAGGGAAGGACAGAGAAGAATACGGAGGTTAGTATTCAGGGTTGCAGTTTGGCTCTGAGCCACGCCCTCAGGGGATGCAGGAACACTGTCTGAGCAGGTTCATGCCTCAGATCTGGGGTTCTGAAGTCCTTCCTGCTACCCACAAACACCAGCGCACATGGAACCAAGGGACAGGCCTCAGCCAATCTGAGAGGCGGGACAGGAGTCCTCCCCAGGTCTGGGACCTGGTCCCAGTAGAGTGGAAATGATACAGACTGAGGCAGGAAGCAAGGCTCAGACCTAGACCGTTGCCAACCGGCTGAAGTTTGTAGTGCACCTTTCTCACCCTCGGGCCTCAGTTTCCCCCCTGACCAAAGGAAGGCCTCTGTGGCTGTGCTTTGCACCTCAGAAGCCATGCTGTGGAACTACCATTCCTATGTCACAAGCTAAGGCTGTGACAGGGTAAACGGCAAGGTCATGTAAGGTCACATTGCTAGGGAAGATCAGCACTATGGTCACAGAGAGGCAGGTCTGGCCCTTCAGCCCATTGGAGACCTGACTAAGAAGCCCCACACCCCTCAGGGAGCCAGGCAGCTGGAAAAACATCAGCTGTAAGGAGGCGACCGAGGGGTGGTGGGGGTGGGGGGATCCATTCCTACTTCAAAGGAAAGGGAGGGATGTAGCTAGAGCCTGTAAACCTCTTCCCCTCTTCCAGTTCGAACTGCGGCTTTCCCAAGGTGAATGGGAAGCAAATCTCACATTTGCCTGACAGAAAGAATGAACACAAATACGGCCAGACTGTGAAGTCCCCCTCCCCCAGCCTCTTGAAGGAGCCTCACACTCTGGCTTGCTATTACTACTTCTGGACTATCCAGTGAGAGCAGGAAACCAAAACAACAACAAAACCAGACACAGTCCCATGGTCTGTACCCGAGCGGAGATCCTGACTCTGTATCTGCGCCTGCCTGCGTGGGAGCACACAGCCCCTCTCCGCGAACAGCACAGCACAGGCGAATGCCACTGGCCCAGGAAGCACGGGTGCATTCGGACCCCGCTTCGATCGTCTGGGACCAGGTTGCTGTTTTCGCACGCAAGGCGGCACATGGGTCTGACATTCATGCTGATGGAAAGGTGACTGATCCTATTTAACTGACGGGGAAGTCGAGGCTCAGGCAGGAAGTCACTGGGCTCTGACCTCTGTCCACTTCCACTCCTGTGAGTCTCATCTGGGCCCCGCCCAGCATGAGGAGGAGACAGAGTGTCCACCCGGCACACGGAGTGACAGAGTGCTTCCACCACAGTCCTGTCTTGGTGCAGTGCATACAACCCATACACGCCCCCTCTTCCCCTGACCCTGGAGTCTCGGCTAGCTGACACTGGCCCGTCTCCAATCCAGATCCTCTGTCATAATGCTGATTGCTGTCACCTCATGGGACAGGGGACATCTGTCAGGTGGGCTGTGATATGGGACACCTTCTGAAGGCACTGACTTTTCCTCTGTGGTGGTTGCTGGGGTGGGGGTGGGGGACAGGGTAGGAAGGCAGTCCCTCGTGGAATGAGGGCAGTGTGCCACAGCAGCACTGGCTGGCTCCGTATGGTCCCAATGGCAAGGCCTGGGGATTGCCGGTTCTACCTGGCTTCCCCAGGCAGCTATGTGATGTGCTACGGAGGGGCTGATCCCCAAAGATGTAGTAGCCAGGCCTGACCCCTACACAAGGCAGGGGAGGAAGGAGACCTTCCTGCATGAGGTTCCACGAGCCTGGGCAACCTGGGGATTTATTGGTCCATCCTGTACGCAAGGCCTGAGATTAATAGGTAGCAGCACCAGGTGGGCTCTGCACACAGGGCAGCTCCGAGCTGGCTCAATACTCCACTCAAACCCAATAGCCAGGCCAGCAGCCCCGAGCCACTCTGGATCTACCACCCAGAGGGACAGTCCCGAGCCATCCTGGATCTACCACCCAGAGGGACAGTCCCGAGCCATCCTGGATCTACCACCCAGAGGGACAGTCCCAAGTCATTCTGGATTCGCGAGTAGCGAATGGGTTATGTCTGCTTTACTTCAGACAACACTAAGACCAGGGAGAGACTCAAGATTATTGCCTTCTGAAAGTTGACTCCAAACTCCAATGAGTCCCTGCTGCAGTTCAGCAGGAGACTAAGCCAGCCCGTGAGCCGTAGAAGGACAAAGCCGTGACAGGAACAAACAACCCCAACAGACTCATGAAAGGGACTCTGCTTTCGATATCAAGAGGTTCAGAGAGGTTAAGAAACCTGTTCAAAGACACACAGCTATAGGATAGCACGGTGGGGATTTGAATTCAGGCAGTCCGGCCCCAGAGCTGGTCTCTTGGTGTTTACGCTGTGACACCGAGCATGGGCAGAGGAACTAGAAGAAGCTCAGCATCTCAAAGGCCATCCCAGCTCTGGACTAACGCGCACTAACTCCAGCTCTGCCTGGATGTACACAGTGGTCTTGGGGACCAGCTCTCCTTCTCCATTTCCAGCTTTGTCTCTCTAGTGGACGGGCAATGTCTGGGAGTCTAGGGTTTTTGTTTAAAAAGACTGTTAGGAAACACGGACGCTTTTAAGGGTGCTAGAACAATTATAGGTGGTCTGAGACGCAGCAAGCCTGGGTGAACAGCAGTTTGCTACTCTGGTCGGAGACTGAGATTCCAAGCTCCTGCCACTCCACTCCCTAGCACGTGGCCACACCCAGTGGCTACCCAGGGCCTCTGTTCTCGGCCCAGCGGGCCATCCAGTGCCTACTGACTGTGCCTGATGTATGTGTGATGATATGGCTGCACATCAGCCTGTGGCAACAGGCACTTCCTTCCTCTGTCTCCCCAACCCCTGACAGCAGCAGCCTGGCCCATGGCCCAAGGAATGAACTTGGCTCACGGCCGGGCCTGCTACGTGGCTCCTCTGCCTCCCTAGGTCGGGCCCCTCTGGGACTGAACGCCTCGTACTGTGAGCAGGACCAGGCCCAGCAGAAGAAAAAAGACTGGGGCCAGGCTCCACCCTCTCTCTGGATGGCAGCAGTTCAGAGGGCCTGAGGTGTAGACAGCAATGTGCCAAAGGCCCAGACCTCTAAAGGCATTTCAGCCATGCTCCTGACTCCAGAATCTGCTCCTCTGTTACAGCGGTAGACGCAAGGCCAGGGCAGCCTAAGTATTCAATAGATGACCTCCTGTGCTTCACTCTGTCTCCTAGCCTGCAAACCTGCACCCTAGGCAAGACTGAGCCAAGTAAGCATCATTAACTACTCAATCTAGTCCCCAGCAAGCTGCAATGCACCACTACACCACTAGTCGGGGTTGGTACCCACCACGGAACTATTCAGCAGCCTCCAGAAGTCACCGACTTTTAAAAAGGTATAATAGTTAAATTTTTTAATGTCTGGAAGTCCCTGCACAGGTCTAGCCTGCATCCTCCCTACTGTACTTGAAATGTGCTGATGGAGAAGGCCCCCTGAGGTTCCCAGCTCCCTTGCTTCATGATGCAGTTCATGTCCTACCCTGGCCTGTGAAGCCAGATAGGAAATCCACTGATGGGAAAAGAGATGGAGACAGGCAGGCAGAAGTCTCCCAGAGATCCCTGGGACAACTCTGGCTCACATCATCTGTTTGGGCCTCAGTTTCCCCATGTGGGAATATACACTTCCTGCTTCCGTATCTGAGGTCTTGAAAAAGCTCAGGGCAGGAAGCCCTGTTCTGAACCAGATAGCTGTGTGTCCTCGGGCAAGCGCTCACCATCTCTGAATCACACAGTGAGAGACTGAGCCAATCCTGGACCATCTAGTCCAGTGTCAGGATTGCCTTCCTGACTCTATGCAGGCCTGGCCACAGTAGATAGGTCCAGGCCGTACACAGCACTGTGGGGTTAGCTGGCTTCACCAGACACCCCAATGTACTGATGACAGATCCAGAGAGAGAGAGAGCTAGACCAGAGAACTCACTGCAGCCTCTTTCTAGAATCAATGAGAGGTTCCGGCTGGGACATGGCTCAGCCATCTGCTATGCATAAGACTGAACCAGCCAGCCCAGAAGCCCTGCCAGCTCTAGCCAACTGCCAACATTTTATATTTGGACCTTCTTCCAGAATTACACACTCCCTTTCTAGCACGAGGGGTGAGGCAGGGGTGAGAGCTGTAAATTCCTCTGGAGGAGAAAGGACTGGATGGAGAGAAGAGGGGCCGTAAGGAAAGCACCCTGTGCTATCAGGGGTCCTAGGTGCAGATCCTGATTTTGCCACCAATTTGCTGTGTGACCCTGGGCAAGCAACTTGCATTCTCTAGCCAATGGCAGGCCTGACCAGATGACCAGGGTTCTGAGGCTGGACAGCAACCTGCAGGGTGGCAGCAGAGAGCTAAGCCACCAGTGGGGACAGGCGTGGAAGACAGTCATGAGGTCTCACCAGCAGAGGGATGCTGCACATTTCACTCTATTTCTCACCGCCTCAGTTTCCCCTTCTGGAACAATGGATTTCCTAGCAGAGGCTAGGAAACCTACTTTTATAATATTGGTACCATATGGTGTTCCCAAGAGTCAGTCCCTGGCGTCCCCAGCTCAACTGTTCAGTGGCTGCAACACCTTGTACATGTTACTTAACTTCTCTGGACCTTGCCTTTCTCTTTATACCCTATCCATGGCCGAACAAGAGGAAAACTAATCCCTTATAGCAACAGAGAGGCCTAAACAAGCCAGTGGATTTTTTTTTTTTTTGGCAAGGTTAGGGGTCAGGGGTCAACATCAAACTGTTCCTGGGACCACTCCTACCACACTCCACAGTTGTCTAAACTTGTGTATGCATAAATGAAGATAGATGGAGTGGGGGGCCCGACACTGTGGGGATGGTGTGCTGTCTGGGTGAGCACTTGAGTCATCTAGTCCCTGCTGGCCACTAACACAAACACTTGGACAGAAGCCCCAGACACAAAGCTATACCCACAAGCCCCTGCAGCACACAGGGATAGAGGAGGCACCTGGAGCAGTAGGAACCCCAGGCCGCATCTCAGGCCAGCCGCTGTACCTGCGTACCCCACCCCACACCCACAGCTGAGAAACAGAGCAGAGAGGCAGACAGCGCCAGGTCTTAGGGACCACCAGTGCAGTCCGACCAGCGGGAGGTGGGGCTACCCGTAGAGTCTGCGTAATAGACACGGAAAATCTTTACCGGCCTACCCATCTCGCCCCTCTTGCCAGGAACACCAGGGAGGCCCTGTAGGAGAAAGAGGAGAAAGATCATTATCAAGTTCCAGGCGGGCACCCCCCAAACCACACCCAGGATGAAGTCCCAAGTAGTCTGGAATGCTTGCCCAGAACAGTAGCGCCAGCTGCATGTTTCAATGGGTGGATCGGGGTTCAAGGACTTATGAACACCTACTGGGGGAGTTCCTAAAGAGAGCTGCCAGCACTCCTGGCATCCCGCAGGTGCTTACTAAGTGCACCTTCTTCTGCTTTCCTATAATGCTCTATATTTAGCTTAATGACAGGGTTCCAACTGAACTTCCAAGTACAGGCTCAGAGGAGGAAGGAGCATGTATCAAAGTCACCAGTCCCGGGCATCTCTTCTCCGACTTGGACACTTGGTCTGGAGGACAGGGCATCTTGGGAAATCTTAAGCCTACCCAATCTGAAGCCAGTGTATATTCACCCCCAGAGCTCAGAACGGAGCCAGGCATCCATGGTGTCCCCTGTCCCTGATGTCGCCGAAGCTACTATGGTCCTGCCTGGGGTGCCTGGCCTGGCGTCTGACACCTGGCTTCTGTCCCCACCCTTCTCCCAGACAAGCTTCGCATCACTTTACAAAGCAGCCAAGTGTCTGTGCCAGCAATGAGTGGACGCTTGTGCAAAAGGGAAGAGAGACTGCTTGGGGCTCTGTGGGTGGCCTCTGTCACAGCTACTCAGCCCTGTCACTGTGGCAGGAAAGCAGCCACAAACATTGGTAAGCTATAAGCATGTCTATGGCCAATAAAACTTCATTTACAAAAACAGCCAACTGGCCGTCCCTGCAGAACTCATATTTAGAATACAACAGTCTGTTGCTGGTGAGAAGCTCCTGTGCAGAGTCCCTTCTCTAGCCCCCGTCCCCCAAGTACCTAGAACACATGGCCTCGGGCCCCCTACCTTGTCCCTCCCACCAGTGCTATAACTGTGAAGTACACACATGCTGCCCTACCCTGACCAGGTGTCCCCCCGGAGGGAATGCACATCTTCAGCTGGCCATCTGTAGCAGCAGGGTGGAGCAGAGGGGTGACAAGGCACAAAGGTACTTACCCGCTCTCCATCCGATCCCGGCAGGCCGAAGAGTCCCGGGAGTCCAATGTAGCCCTAGAAAAGAGCAGGTGGGAATTAGAGAGGCTGAGCATGGGGTGCAGTTAGCCCAGCCTCCCTGCTGCCATCCCACAGCCCAGTCCTCTGTGATGGTGGCTCCAGTGCTCCTCGATGACATAGACCTTGAGGCAAGTGTATATGCCCGTGGACTGCATGGTGCTGCGTCCACGATGTAGTCCAAAGGCACATACGCTCACACCAGGGAGGGTAGCGTAGGATGACAGAGGCCTGGCACCCAGCTTGGGACCTGTGGAAGGAAGCTAGTACCCAGGTTAGAAGCTGCAGGGCTGTGAGATCTACCTGCCTTGGGGGTGTTCCCTATAGTGGCTCCTCCAAGAGCTCTAAGGTCCTGGACCTGGGGGCTTACATCCATCCCGGTGGCCAAGTACTGCCAGTCAGCATGGCCACCTAGAGAGTGACACTGTGCTGGCACACGGGTGCTCCTGAGTTAACCCTGGCAAGGACCCCGCAGACAAGCGGTGCTACCAATTTGGATTCAGCTAATTTGTGTTCAGCTCAAAGGCCACCAGTCTGTGTCCCTGGCCCAGAGAGAATGTACCTGGTTTCCAGCCCATAGGCCTGTGGTCCCTCTGAGCCCTCAACCAGGCATACCCTGCCTACCTTATGGTGGTAGAAACACGGCATGCATAATCCACTTTGAGTGCTCTCCTGTCTAGTACCCAAGATGCAGGCTCATCCCCCAGCACCATCCAGCTAATTCCCTGTCCTCTGGTAACCTCTCAAGGGCCAGGATCTAGCACAGGGCTTGTACCACTCTGCGCTCTAGATGCTGTGCGGCAGTTTAATGAAACTAAAGCAAAAGCAAATGCTGCCAAGCACAAACTACCCGGCAGGTCCGACTCAACGCTTTACACACGCTAAACACGCAGACGTGTCCTGTCTTTGACACGGTGAGAAAGGTGCCATCTACAGAGCTCACACTTGAGAACTTCACAATCAAGTTACAAAGGGGGAGGGAAATCACACACACACACACACACAAACACACACACACACACACACACACACACACACACACACACACACACACACCCTTATAGAATGTTTCAAGTTTATTATTTCATGTTGGGTTGGGATATGAATCCATAGCTATCCTAAAACAAATGCAGCCTACCGGCTACACACTGGACACATGATTAAATCATGGCATCCTCACCACACTCCTGGTGAGAGACATTAGTTAGAATTCTATACAAGTGAGAACATTTAGGCCTAGAAAGCTAAGGGACCTGCCTATGGTCACACAGCTGTAGTGTCACAGATCCGGTCTCCGAGTTCAAGCCCAGTGGTTCCTAAGCCCACACCCCTAACCAGTGAGTGAGTGTGTCATGAACACACACAGCTGAGGGAGACTGGTAGCAGCTCTCCTTGCCCACATACCCACCCCTGTGTTCCCCTCAGCAGCCAGCTTGATCAACAACCATCATCTCAAGCACTTATCCTGACTCTTCTGTGCAGAGCTCACGGCTTGTGTTCACAGTGAGTGGACTTGAAGAGGCCTAGTGACCATCTGGGGTCAGTGGCCGAGGAGGGTCTCTGAGTCCGTCATGCAGACCCCAGGGCTGGTCTGGGCAGTGTCTCCTTTACACACAAGAGTAGACCCTTGAGTTTGGGATCCTTTCTCTCAAGATTTAGACATTCCCTCAGAGACCATTCCTCATGGGAGCCACAGGAGAGAGACCCAGAATCCCAGGACAAGAGCTGCCCTGACTTGGCATGCCATGCAACATCTGGGGGACCTTGCCTTCTATGCTGGGCCCACCTCTGCCACCCCTAGACAGATGCAGAGATTAAGGCCAATACCGTGTCCACATTGGCCCTCCCACCTGCCAGGGTGTAAATAGCATTGGCTCAGTAGAGGAAACGTCACAGGGGACTTGCCCTGACAGACGGCCATGCGATTCACTTGTTGAGCATTTCTTGAGAGTCAGCAGGCCCCACTGCAGGACACCTGGGTCCTGTCTCAGCAGTGTCTTGGCATGCATCATGAACACAGCTACCTAGGTCCACCGTGACCCGTGCCCTTTGTCTTCCCCTCCAATTTCCCTATTCAACACACACAGAACCTTCTCTGCCTCCTAACAACTTCTAGGAGATCCCATGTGGAGTGCCTTCTTGGCAGTTCTAGGCAGAGGGAGTTCAGTGGTTGCCATCTCTTGGCCCCCTAATAACCCTGACCTCCCATAAACACATTAGAGGGGCAAGCAGTGTCCACTCACAGCCCTACCTGTGTGGGACTAGCCAAAACCCACTTACCCGGCTGCCTTTGGGGCCAGGATCTCCTACAGGTCCAGGGAACCCCTGAAACAGAAATAGAGGGGGCAAGGCCATATGGAGAGGCCCTCCCTGCTGTCAGTGTCCCGGGGTCAGTCCTGTCTTGGGCCTCAGCTGTTCTTTGGAGCATCCATGGAATGGGTTGGACCAGGGATGGCTCAGAGGGAGACTGGATAGAAGGCGTCTCAGGAAGCCGTTCTCGAAGCCCCAGTTCTCCTACAGACCCCCCCCCCCCCAGCTTGCAGCATGGCTGCCAGGTCCAGTGCCTGACCAGCCCTTTCCTTAGGGCCCACCCACAGGGGCAGCTTTTGGGCCCCAGCCCACAGCCTCCCTCTGCTTGGGGCACTCTGGTCACCACCATGGCCATAGCTTCCAGAGCATATACTGCACCTGCCTGCCAGGGTAACCTTTGGCCCCTGGACTGCCCGCAGGTCCCGGCTGGCCCTGAAAAGGAACGAGAGACACGTTAGGAAAGCTCTGAGGCCCTGCGCAGCTCAGTCGGGGTCCGGGGGTGGGGGAGGGTGCCTATAATGGACAAGGAGAGGGGCAAGAATGTGAGGCCAAGGGGGGAGAAGACAAGCAGGGCCTGCTGGGGCCCCAAAGCCCACCTCTCTAGAAACTGGTCAGACCAGCTCTGGGGACAAAACCCTCAGCTCCAGGCGGAAAATAAGAAAGCACAGAAGAGACCTGGCTGGCTGTCCCCTGGCAGGACTGCTGTTTGACTTGGGCCAGGAGACCAGAATTCCTGCAAACCCCAAGGCGAATGGAAGGGATAATATCGTCTAACATCGCCTGGGACAGGCCAGCTATTCATGGCTCTAACCAGAGTCCAGGGGCTTCTGCCAGCCCTGGGCTGGGCTGGGCAGTGCAGACACAGCCTCTTCCAGGACAGTGTGGCTGACTGGGTGGGGGCGGGCAGGGGGGAGTTTCGTGGCCTTGTTCTGGGGCTCCAGAGAATCTCAGTCCAAAGAGCGGGCTGGTACCAAGCAAGGACGGGAGGAGAGAAAATAGGCAGTGCAGGGCCACGCACACGGGCCTCACCTGTTCTCCAGGGTGCCCTGCTGCTCCAGGATGGCCCTTGGGTCCCTGCGGGGTGAAGAATTAGCATCAGGCAACAGGCTCTGTGGGAGGGACAGGGAACACACTCCCCACACGGATGCAGGTTGTATGGCGTTCACAGAATCCTCTGGTGTCGTCTCTCATTAGAGCAGGGGTAGGGTGAGAAACTATGCCCCGGGGTCCGTATCCCAACCCCGTCTTTGAAATTCAGAGAGTTGGAGGCATTCAGAAACAGGAGCAAAGGGCCTGTCACATGAGGAACAGGGACAAGGTCGAATGGCACACACAGGACGCCTGACGCCATCGGGAGCCACTCCAGCTCATGTACTGTGACCATGTCACCCAGAGCCACTGTCTCCTTCCTCACTGGCTCTGCTCCTAGTCCAAGGGAGAGAAGGCCACCCAGATGCTCAGTGGCAGCCTTGACTCTGCATCCTCACTTGACAGTGGGACCACACTGACTCCTGGCAGACCCCTCACACGGTGCTCTCTGTCTCTGACTCATCTATGCAACCTTGGGTGGGTGATCGCCCTTCTGTGGACCTCAGATGGGGGATCTGGAACTCTGAGTCCCTCTGGTTCTGCTATCTTTGAACTCCAAGTTCTAGGACCCCTGAGAGTCTATGATAAGGGACAGGAGACTGCCACTCTGCACAGGCTCTTGACACAGGGCCATGTGGAGATCTTGGCAGACTTTCCCCACTTCATCTTTTCTTTTCTTTCTTTCTTTCTTTCTTTCTTTCTTTCTTTCTTTCTTTCTTTCTTTCTTTCTTTCTTTCTTTCTTTCTTTCCTTCCTTCCTTCCTTTTCTTTCTTTCTTTCTTTCTTTTCTTTCTTCCGTTCTCCTTTCTTTTCTTCCTTTCTTTTCTTTCTTCTTTTTCCTTCCTCCCTCCCTCCCTTCCTCCCTCCCTCCCTCCCTCCCTCCCTCCCTCCCTTCCTTCCTTCCTTTTTTAAGAGAGGGTCTCATGCAGCCCAGGCTGGCCTCTAACTTGCCATGCAGCCAAGGATGACCCTGAATTTCTGACCCTCCTACCTTTACTCCCAAGTTCTGGGATTATAGGCCCGCACCACCACAGTTGGTTTATGTGGTGCTGTGGATCAAACCCAAGGCTCTAGCATGTTGGGCAAGCACTGATCCACAGTCCCAGTCCCCAGATGCACATGCTCTACACACACATAAATGCTGCCTCACGCAGGTGAACGTCAACACCCCGGACCCTGAAGATGCACAGGAAGTGGCAGTCTTCGTTATAAATAGCAGAATCTGTCTCAGTGGGGAGACTTGGGAAGTTTCCCAGCGATGCTTCTGAATCATTTCACACCAAGAGAGACTGCTACCCACAAGATGCATCTCACTCTACATCAAGGCCTGCCATGGGGAAGACTTCTCCATAGGCCAGGAGTAGGCAAGGTGAGCCCCAGACCACAGCCAGCAGCTGGACGGAAGGATCCAAGCTCTTCTTACAGACTGATCTGGATTCCAGGACTGCTTACCTATGGGCTGGCTGGGTGACCAGAGCCAATGACTCGATCTTTCTGAGCCTTGATTTCCTCAGAAGTTATCCAACGCGGAGGTAAAAGCCAATGCCTAGGTGGCATGATGTGTGTGGGGAGCACAAGGCATGGTGTCTGGCACTGAATTCAGCAACCTCAGAAACACCAGCTACTGTTTTATTTCTCATTGTTCATTCGTTCATTCATTCATTCAACCACTCATTCAACAAACACTGATGAAGTGTGTGAGGACCTGCAGGGTTTTCCCCAAGGGAAGAAAAAGTCAGTCAACATCCTTTGCCTTGGGAGTTTACATTCCTCGAAAGGAACTAAAAACAAAGTAAGTAGAAACGATAACTGTGGGTGGCCGAAGGCAGAAGATGAGGTGTAATGAGTGTCAGGTGTCAGTTTTGCGAGATGAATATGTTCTGGAGATCAGTTGCTTAACCACCTGAATGTGCTGAACACCATTGGGCATTTCAGCCCATGCACTGAAAACTGGGTGAAACGGCAAATCTGATGCTCTGTATCTTTACCATAACCAAAAGGAGCCATGAACAGGTTAAGTTAGGGGACAGAGGACAGCGTGGCTGGGGAGGGGTGGTGACTCCAGGGACAGCCAAGGGATGGGTGACAGGAGGAGAGGTGGACAGGGAGTTAGCTCCTAAAAGGGCATCCAGGCAGCTGGAGCAGAGAGTGCAAAGGCCTCGAGGCACTTTCTCTCAGTGGGCTTAAAGAAGCACAGAGGGCCCCAGGGACCAGAGAAGAAGAAACAAGGGAGTGGGCTGAGAGGCAGCTGGAGTAGCCAGTGGGGTTGTGACAGGAAGCCCTGGGGACACGGGGACCTGGCACGACATGACTTGAGGAGGAAAAAGCTGAGCCCTCTCTCTCCCACAGAAGCACCAAGGTGAGCCATGTGCTCTTGGCTGTGTGACTGAAGCAGGGCAATCACCTCTCTGAACTCACTCCGCCAAACTCTGTGTGCCTAGAGGATCGCTGTAAACAGCCCATAGTTTCACGGGGCCAAGCGCAATGCCCGTAGGGTGAGGCGGGAGCCCCAAGTCTCCAATACTCTACTGAAAAGCAGTTCACAAGCAATTGCTCTCTCCCAAAGACAAGGGACGTGTTCAGTTAAATCCCAGATGAGGTTTAAGCAAACCTGCATCCAGGAAAGAGCTGGAAGAAAAAGAATGACAGAACCCATCATGCCTAACCCTGTGCCTGCTCACCACTGGTGCCTTAAACACGCCTGCTAACTAACATCTTAAATCACTTCTAGGAGGTAGGAATCACCTGGCATACACACCAGTGAGGAAACAGAGGCTCAGGGAGGGAGGGACTTTCCTGATGCCATACAGCTTTCTTAGAACAGCACATGGATCGTGACCCAAATCCCTCAGACTTGAACCACCAATCACTGAGGCTAGGACCAGCCCAGAAGAACAAGAAAGGTCCCCTTAAAGATGCATCTCCCTGAGACAGAGCCACTGAGTCCCAGCAACATCCTGAGGGCAAAGGTCAATAGTAGAATGCTGGAGTACCCACATTGGATGGGACCAAAGTCATCGTTTCAACCACCGCCTGCTTCACTGGACAGACGAGGAAACTGAGGTCCCAGGAGAAGACTGGCTGGCCGGAAGCTATGGCCAAGGCTGGACAGTTCTCTAAGCTCTAGATCCCTGAGTTGGGCTGAGCTGTCCTGATCAGTGAACCCCAGAGGGTCTTGACTGTGACTGTGAGCATGTGCTTCGAAGGCTGGTGGGAACGGCACAGACAAGCACAGTCAAGGTGGGAGGTGGGGTGCGGAGGGGGCGCCCTGGCAGCCCCTTCCGCAGTGTTTACCAGTTTTAAATGACAGGCCTGGGGAGTGAGATTCTAAACCATTATCTTCTCCTGGCCCTGGCAATTACGGGGTCAGCTCATCCCACAAGGTAGCCCCGGGGCAGTGATTTCTCCTGCGTGGGTGAAAGGTGCCAGGTGGGAGGGAGGCAGAGGTGCTACAGAAGAGCTGGGCCCGCTGGCTGCCTGGCAGACGGGCCTCCGCAGGCCCTGTGTTTATAATACAGCACGCGCTCTATTTTGGTTTGGGAGCCAGATTAATCACTGCTTACAGTGCACGAGGAGGAACCAGACATCACCTCACCCTGCCACAGACAGTGGGGTGCTATTTGGACTCCAGGCAAGGAGGGAGGGGATCCTGTCCCTGCCTGGGGGTCTGGACACCGGTGTGTGCCCAGACTGCTCCGCAAGCTCCACTTGGGTAGGAAAGTGGAATTCACTCCCCAGTCTTGCTCCGACACAAAGGGCTGCCCATGGAACTCACCTGCCACCCCAGCAGCCCACACCCCACCAGCAGAGAGTAGGACAGAGGGTCAAAGGGGAAGAAGCTGGATGAGACTAAGCCTCTCTGCGCCTCAGTTTCCCAAACTGATCTCTCAACATGCCCTCGGGGCTCCAGTGTTAAGAGGATTCTAAAATCAGTGGGTCATCTAGAAATACCAGACGGGTCACAGGACATCCAACCCCACTTGGTGGTAAGTTGAGGAAGAGAGGGCAGGGAGGTCTACTTTTCATGTAGCTCATGCATTCATTCAACAAACATCTGCTGAGCCTGAGCAACGAGATGACCAAAGCCCGGGGGACAAGCAGTAGCAGATATAACATTGAACAAAAGCAATGTGATCACTACCTTCAAGAAGGGGGTAGGGACACCAAAGGCACAGGAAGAAGAAAGTAGGCAAAGAACTGAGTGCCTGAGATGGAGCTCAGCTTGGGGGAGGTCGCACAGTACCTTGAGTATGGCAGTGGGGCAGAGAGGGGGACAGAAATGGACCACGGCAGGAGAGAGGCCAGTGGGAACGGCCGAAAGAGCCCAGCATGGAGCTGGGGGTCACACTGGAAAGAATAGCTGGGGCTCAGAAAGGCAGGGGTAGCATCTCTGCCCTCCACCTGTATTCCGTCTTCCTGAGGGCAGTGCCACCTGGACAGCACGGGAGGGCCAGTGACCCACAGAGGAGCCTGGGGAACTGAAGTTGAAAAGAGAAAAGGCTTTCAGTATACCCACTTCCTTGCGTTAGTCACGTCTGCCTGGCAGCGTGCTAAGTTAAGACTCAGAGGCCTGTTATCAGGTCTTGGCAAGACAGATCAATGGGTGATGTCAGCCAGAGGAACGGGAGAAGGGGAGGGGTGGAGCCAGGCAGATGCAGGTGCCCAGTGTGCGCTGAACCTCGAGTAGGGAAGCTACACCGGTCAGGTCAGGTAGGATTCTGACCTCAGAGCGCTGCTCCAGGTGGAGAAGTGTGCTGAGGTTGTCAGTGAGGCATTCAACAGCCAGGAAGTGGGGAATCCCGAGGAGGCTCCAAAGATGAGCCAAAGGGTCTGAGAAACGAGGGTGGGGACCGTTGGGGGTGCTGGGGAGAGACTCGGAGAAGAGAAGCAAGTAGCGTTAACGATGGATGTGGAGAGGGCAGGCCAGGGGCACACAGAAAGCAACACAGGAAGGCAGGAAGCCAGGGCGCTGGTAAGGGACCATGCCCCAGATCACTCGGCCTCAGCCCAGGGGCTGACCTCATGCACACGGGGGACTGGGACTGCGCTGTGCTCTGCAGGACTGAGGAGCATATCCAGCTCCTACATGTGAGCAGCCGCAACCTTCCCACCTTCCGGAGGGTAAGCGAGGCTGTATGTTTGCTATCCTAGAACTAGACGCTGGCACAGAAGAATCACCGCAAGTTTTGGCCCAGAGTAAGACCCCGGCTCAAACAAACCAATGCATAAATGTCTGCGGACCTTCCTGGCCCGGAGGGCAGAGTCACCTCCTGCAGTGAAGCACTGGTCCACATCCACAAAAAGGCACCAGGCCAGCTCAGGACCCATACAGTGGGCGGGGGTGGGGGACAGAGGGAGGGCAGCTTGTCTGGTGAGCTGCGAACCGCCCAGAGGATTAATGATGATACCAGGGAGCCAGAATTCCTTAGCTGCTCCTCTTTCATGACCATCGCTATGCTTCAGTCGATCAGTCAGTCAGTACATACGGTGCCTGCCATGTGCCAGCCCTGTGTGAGTGTTGGGACTACAAGATCCCATTGACCTCCCTACTGTCCCCTGGACAATGGAGGCTCACCCCCATTCACAACCACAGGGGACACAGCTGGGACTCCATCACATTCCATTCCCATGAACTTTCTCATAAAAAAGCCTCTTTTGAATGCGAACTCAGCAGGTCCTTCCTCTCTTGGTTGAGTCTCAGTCAGCCTTGTGGTAAGAAAGGGGCCAGAGGGTCAGAGACCCAGGTTCAAACCCCAGCCCTCCACTTTAAGACACAAAGAAGGTGTCTCCCTTAAGTCGGTGAGTCTGGATCTTGGCCGCATGTGGAACCCACCTGAGGCCTCACAGAAGTTCTCTTGCCTGGGTCTAGTACCTGGCCTGACACTCAGCAGGGTCGAAGGCCACCACTGCAGAACATACCCTGAAGCCCTGACAACCTCACCTGTCACTCAACACCAGAGTCAACCAAGGGTGTAGAGCAAAAGTTCCCATGTACTGACTAACAGGAAGGGTGCATGACTAAATAAAATCTAGCTGGGCCTCAGTCTTCTTAGCTATGAAATGGGCATGGTTTTGCCTCACTCTGTGAGGCAGCATCGTGTGTATTTGTGTGTGTGTGTGTGTGTGTGTGTGTGTGTGTGTGTGTGTGTGTGTGTTCAAATGTATGAATACATGTTCACATATGTGCACATACCTATGTGTACATGCATGTGGAGGACAGGGATGTCCTTCTTGTTTATTTTATTTTAGAGACAGGGTCTCACTATGCAGTCCTGGCCACCCTGGAGCTCTCCATGCAGACCACGCTGGCGTCAAATTCACAGAGATCCACCTGCCTCTGCTTCTCAAGTACTGGAATTATAGGTGTGTGCCACCACATCCAGCTTGTATTGTTCAGCTTGTTTTGAGACGGGTCATCTAAGAGGGACCGGGAACTTGCTGGTTAGAACAGGCTTGCTGGACGGTGAGTTCTGGAGTCCTCCTTGTCACCACCTTCCCAGCACTGGGATCACAAGCTCATGCAAACACATGTGGCTTTTTACAGGGTGCAGGAATTGAACTCAGCTCTTCAGGCTTAGGTGGCAAGCATTTTACTGACCGAGGTAGCCCTAGTCACACCCTCCAATGGTTTAATTGCCACCTGTTTCCCACTGGCACTCTCTCAGCCAGAACTCTCTCCTGCCCACTTTCTCCACAGCCCTTCCTGTCCTCCAACACACCTGAGATCTTGACCATTTCCCTGTTTTCTGCCCTTCAGTGAAGGAAACTCTGTAAGGCAGGTTCTGTGTTCATACAGCACAGGCCCAGCACATAGTAGGTGCTCAATACATTCTCACTTCATGAACGAATGGATGAATGATAAAAAACAAAATTCAATGCCGCAGACAGCTGACCTCACCTCTGCTCACCTGTGTTCCTTCTCCTCAGGGTTCCCACAGAGAAGACACAGTCACCCTGGAGCAACAGGACGAAGAGGCTGCCACAGTCACCAGAGATGGGGACTGCTTATAGGGATAAGCCCAGGAACAGGATCCCAAGCAATTCATTCCCCTCCCTGATGCCGCCACTAAAGAGGGTCCCTATCTCAGGGCCTGAGTTGTCTGTGCTCTACACAGTATGTGGGTGACACAGTCTGCCTGTCTTGGGTCAAGGCTCTGTAAAAAATTGCTCACATGTGTTTGCCTGGTCTAGGGCCAGAGAGGAGCACAGAGTACATGGCCAACCACAGGAGGAGCTCCCTTAACTCGGAAGATACCCAACCCTGAACAGGAGAGCAGGGGCTGTCAGAGTCCTTGGCCATCTGCTGAGCACAGGGAGCCCCGGAATCCTACGTAGGCGGTAGCACAAGTCTGTGTTTTCTCCACCCTTTCTGCTGCCTTCCTACCCCTTCAAAGTGAGGCCGCCATGGGCTGCTTTATGAGTCAGACGGAAGGGGCCTTTCCTAGCTCCTCCACCAGAAAGTGCCAGAACACAGGCCAGGTGCATGCAGAGCAGTAGACATGCCGTGCCAGCAAACACTGTACTATCCCATGGCCAGGCTGGCCTCTGAAGTTTAAGGTATGGCCTGCTCTGCCACAGAGGGTAGTGGAGGTGATGGCTATGACCTTCTAAATTCCCTGTGTCATGGGGACCCTCAGAGTAAGGGGCAGCTTGGAGCCAGGAGATACCCTGGCTGTCCCGGTGAAGACCAGATGACTGGTCTAAGGAGCAAGCAGCTGGGGCCACATCTGGGAACCAGAGCGGAAGTAAGCACTGGGCACACATGTCTGTTGGACAGCTCTTCAGGAGTGAGGGAATCTTCCTAAAAAGTGATTGACCTCTGGCCTCTATTGTCTTTCCTGCATGCACACAAGGTACATGTTGTGCCAGGAGGAAGAACCGCAGTCACAGACCAATGTGCTTACCCTGCTAATGAGGCAAGACTCGGGGCTGAAAATAAGATGGGCCAAATGTCCCTGAGCAAAGGCCATGTTGACCCAAAGTCTGAATGCTCCAGAAAGGCTACAAGAGGAGGCACAATTCATCATAAAGGATGGGGGATGGCAGCCGGGGACAGGGAGGAAGGAGTCCAAGGCCTCTGGCGAGCGCATTCTGGAAAATGCCAGAATCCTCACCAACAGCAACCAAGAGCAGACCTAGAGTGGCTGAGGATGGTGGCAGGCATGGGTTAGCGTAACAACCACACGGAACACACAGAGAATGTGGGTCCTCTGCAGAGCGCATCCCTTCTTCTGCAGCCCATCCGTGAGGGGTGTCTCAGACTCAGAGGATAAGAGTGGAACCCGGACCTTTCCCCTGAGTCACACAACCACCCCCAGGCAGTGAGGGACTGATAAGAACTGCTGTCCTCACGGCACATGAGGAGAGACCCAGGTCGAAAGCCGCTCAGCCAGTGCACTAACCGCCTTAAGCATCCTTGAGGCTTGCCGCTCTGGGAGACAGAGTGAGCCGGACACACTTTTAGTCACACCTCATTAACCACAGGAGATCCACTTCACACCAACAGGCTCCCAACCCCAGCCCACCCGGGACTCAGAAACCTCTCACTGCTTGCCAACAGGCTCTATGCCCAGGGAACCCAGCCGCAACCAGGAGGCACAGGTGGCCCACAGGGCTTCTGCTTGAAGGCCAAGCGTGCTGGCAGGCCCATGGCCAAAGCCAAGCAGAGAACCAAGGCCTACCTTCCGTCCCAAGGGTCCTGGATTTCCGGAGAGCCCAGGCAAGCCCATGTTGCCCTGTAAGACACAGATAACAGAGTTAGGTGAGGAACTGAACAGTGTGGCCTCCAGCTCCAATGGCTGCAACCACTTGTAGAGGCTTGCTGAGGCCTGAAGTCTTCAGAGAAGACATAGTGCTCACTGAACAAGGTAGGAGCAGGAAAATGGGTGGGGTCACCCAGCCTCAACTCCCTGAACTCACTAGCAGAAGACATTGTTTGGAGAGTGGATTCTGATCTTAAAGGCATGGTTAAGCCCACACTCTACCCCTCGCTGATTGGCTTTCTTCATCTCCTGAACCATGTTGCCATCACTGGGGATGGTGGTCACCAAGCAGGAGGTGTTTCTGCCATGCAGGACCACAGAAAAGGTCCATAGGCCCCTCTGCCACAAGGCACTCATCTGGAGTTTCAGCTTTCTCGTTTTCAATCTAGGGCTATCTGCCCTGGTGAAGGTTATGAGAATGGAGGGATTAGACATGGACACTGTCCTGGGACTGAGTCACTTGGCACAGGTCTATTGAGAGGTAGTACTAGGCAGTGTGGTATGAAGTAGTGAGCCTCCTGTGACGAGAAAAGATCAAAGGAAGGACCCCCTCCCCCTCGTGTGTGCGTGCACGCGCACGTGTGTGTGTGTGTGTGTGTGTGTGCGTGTGTGCGTGTGCATGTGTGTGTGTGTGTGCGTGTGTGCTTGTGTATGTGTGTGTCTATAACTAGCAGCTGGCTGGAGATGTAGAGATATAATCGTCAAGGCCCAGATGGAAGCCAGACAGACCTGACTGCCTTCCTCTAGACTCTAGAGTATGATATGTGAGGCCTGTGATTAGCATGCTGGAGTTTGGGTCCTTGCTCAGCTGGGAGGTGGATGCTTTGGGGATAGGGAAGGTCCTTTGGTCTAAGTGTTTTCTCTTCTGTAAGCAGTCCATTTACATTCATAGCCCCAGGGAGCTAGAAAGTCTGTATACCTGGCCCTTTCACGTCCCACCCCCTGGAAACTCCAGGTCTCTCTGCTCCAATGAGCACTTGCAAGGGCTTTGAAGGTCAGTTAGGAGTTTCCGGGGCACTGAAGGCCAGGAAGCTTCTGTATGGCAGCATCACCTAGCAAACATCTCGTAAAGCTATGGGGCACTGGGTGAAAGGGCGTTTACCAAGGGCTGTCCACAGACCAGACCTTCCTTCCTTCCTTCCTTCCTTCCTTCCTTCCTTCCTTCCTTCCTTCCTTCCTTCCTTCTCTCTCTCTCTCTTTCTTTCTTTCTTTCTTTTTCTTCCTTCCTTCCTTCTCTCTCTCTCTCTCTCTCTCTCTCTCTCTCTCTCTCTCTCTCTCTCTCTCTCGATTCACCAGCCACAGCCCAGGAAGGTGGGGTTGGGAATGGTCACAGTCTCAGTGTTGGGATAGACTAAGCCCTTCAAGGAAAACACCAGATCACTTCCACTTTTCAGGACTTCAGAACTCCTGGTTCATGTTGCAGTCTCTTCCTGGGGGGTTCCAGGGGAGGGTGGAGTACTGGGGTTCCTGGAACCTACCTTTGCCCCATCATGAGCCTGTCCTGGTGAGAGTCCCGGGTCCCCTTTCTGTCCCTGAAATAAAAATAAGTCTGCTTTGGTCACCATGTCACCTTGAGTGGCATCTCCACACAGACGACATGCGTGGCCCTCTTCCCTTCCCTGGCCCATTTCCACCCACATAACCCTCCCTCCATTCTGTCACTCTCTTTACTCCAACACCATCCACTGCTTCCCTCCGACTACATGACTCCAAGTTCCTTCTCACAGCCCAGGTCTTCCGTGATCTGGCCCCAGGCAGTTCCCATTCGACTCTCCTGCCACCAGCCAAGCCCACAAAAAAGGTGTCACGTGCATCATGTCCTGTCAGTCCGTCATCACTGCCGACCTTCTCCACTCCATCCACTGTCACCAGCCACATCCACACACCCTCTAGACATGGCTCTCACATCCTGCCACCAGACCCTCCCCCAACAGGGGGAACCACCCTAGAACCAGCAGCATGCTTTAAGTTGCCCAGCTCCCGGCCACCACACGTGACCCGTCTGCCCATGTGTTGCCAGCTGTCTTTCCCTGGGCCTCAGGAGATTCTAAGAGACACAGCCAAAGGCACCTAGACTGCCATTTTCCATAAAGCTGACATTTGCCTTTGCCTCCTTGATCACCAGGAGCCCGAGGATCACACAGTGCAGGCCATTCTTACCTACACACTGCATTAGCCTCGCACTCTAGGCTGGGGGGTGAGAATAGGGAACCCTATCACCCCAAAATACATTCAAGGACACTGAACCAGGAGCAAGAGTTTTCAGGGACCCAGGATAAGGCACACAGAACTGAGACTGGACTCCTAAACCATGACTTCCAGGTCTGTGGGAGCCCACCGGGGGGATAAGGGCAGGGCACTGGTGAGAACATGATAGTAATAGCAAGTCTCCATTTGGAGCAAGCATTGGCCGTTCCTGGAATATGAGTTGGTTCTTTCACAAGGATCCTGGTCCCTAGAGTCTGGGTCATCACAAAAGCCAAAGAGCTCACTAGCTGCATCTCACAGGGACAGAGAGAGAGAGCTCTCACCTGTAAGAGAATGCTAGGAACTCTCAACCCACTCCTATCCCCTCTGCCTAAGCTCCCTGGCCTTTTAGCCTCAGTGAGCTCAGAGTCAGAATTCCTGGGTGGGAGGCCTGGGCCAGCCATGGGCTCACAGTAGGACCACAGGCCAAGGTCTCCTCTCTAATCCTTCATTTCCTCGCATTTCTAAAAGGGACCATGCGGCTTACATGCACACTCATACGGAGCCTGGCTTCTCGGGTTTCTAGGAGAAGGGCCAGGGGAATAATGTCTGTGACATATGGAAAGGGTGGCTTGGCCAACTCTACTTAATTCCCATTAAGTCTTTTCTTTGTCAGAACTCAGGCCTCCCAAATCCTAACTTGGTCCATCTCCACCAGAACCCACCTTGATCTGGGCTGGAAAGAACCTCTCTGTCTGTTCTCCTATTATGCACCCACTGTGAGGTAGGCTCTCATATCAACTCTCTGCTTCCAATGAGGGGCAGGACTGGGTTTAGGGAAGCCATCACAGCCTGAGCTGACCCAGCAGGCAGGATGCAGGTGGCTGACATCAAAGCCTTTGTCTGTAGCCTGGAGGTTCTTCCCTCTACCAGTTCTCCAGCCAGCTGCCCCAATGTGATGGCCAGCCCTTCCTTGGTTGGTTGTCCCCAGAACCCTAATTCTGTCACCCTGAGCACCCCAGGGGAGAGGGGCTTTCTGCAGAACCTTACCTCCAGATGCACCTGACATTATGACCACCCCTCTGAGACATTCTCCCACCCTCTAAATCAGAAGCCCGGCTCCATGCCTTTTATGTCCACAGTGCTTGCAAGGTCTGGCACAGGCTACCCAGCTACCAAGGATTCCTGTGGCCAAAAAAGGACAGACATTCTCCCTCCCCCCCACCCCCATCCTCACCCCACCATGCCCACCGTGGTCTGCAGCTGGCAGAGGAGCTGGCACACAAGACTCATAGGAGTTGGTCTTTGGAAACTCTACTTATTCTGTCTTTTCATAGAGTCTAAAGACTAATACCCAAAGCTATGACAGACTGGCTCCCTGGCCAGGACTCCTTGGTTATTGATGGATACCTCTAAATGTTCTCAGCAAGAGTGCTTGGACATAATCTCCGTCCAAAGATGGATTAACAAGAATGGACATTCACTACAAGCCAGATGTGGTATTGAACATCAGGAATGCTATGGTAGAGAATAAGGCACAGGAGTCAGGCCCCTTGGGAGAGAAACCTGAGAGACCAATCACACAGCCTAACATTTAGTGAGTATTCTTCTAACCCTACATGCATATTATTTCGTTTAACCTCCAAATACATGAAGGAGCAACGTTCATGAGCTCCATTCTACAGAAGAGGAAATGAAGGCAGATCAAAGAGCTGCCACTTGTCCAAGGTCAGACAAGGTCAGTGGGATTTAGGGTCAGGAAGTCTGGTTGTAAGCTCTCTACATTACAGCACAGGGCAGTGAAAATCTACACACCCGTGCTAAGTGGAGGGCAGGATGAGGCCGAGAGCTTTGCCTAGATGTAGGTAAATCCTGGAAAGGATAGCAGTTAAGCTGAGGCTGTATAGAAGACAAGGAGGCTCAGCTAAGGTATCCCTGTCCAGACAAATGATGGCTTCTAGGATGAGACTCGACTGGTGTCTTCTACCTTCTGACGCTGCAACACTATGTTGTCATCTACAAAGTTCATACCTGAGATCTGCACAAATGAGTTTCAAAAGAAATCATAAAATCATACGTTTTAACTAAGTTTATAATTGTGTTGGCTTCCTTCATTGCTAACCTTGACCTTTTGCAGCCTGTGGACCATGGGCTAAACACACCTCCTTTGCCCAGCCAGGTGCCTACAAAGGTGCCAATGAGAGGGAAAAAAAACAATAGATGGTGTTTTATGAATCCTTTATGTGTTGAGGGCAAGGATTTGGTTCTTAGACCCAGTTCTTCAGTCAACAAGCCCGTGTGACCTGGAGCAAGCCATATGGTGATGTGGAGCCAAGTCACATGGCAACCTGGAGCAAGCCACATGATGGATGGCCTCTGCTTGGACTAGTTCATGAAGCCTTGCAGCCAAGCAGACTACATAGGAAGGTAAAACACGAATGTTAGGTGTTAAGACTATGGTGGGGATGGGAACTGTGCTGGGCTTCATCTCTTCAGGAAGAAGAGTAGAGAACTAAGGGCCCTCTGTGACTGAGGCCCAGGAAGGCGATGAGACAGAGAAAGACAAAGGATCAAGAAATGCTAGACTGGAGGTATTCTACATAACTCCTCTGTGACCTCAAGTATACAGTACAGGGCTTGGTCCAGAGACAGCATCATAAATCAGTTCATGAATAAACAAATGGGGTCTCAGGAGAATCAGGAGCCACATCTGGCCAGGTCCTGGGACTTCCGCTGAAGATTTCCTTTGGCTATTACTGTTTTATAGGTTCAGAAGTCTCAGCCAATGCAATAAAGCAGGAAAAACAAGTAAAGGGAGGAGAAAAAAAGTACGTCCTTCCTTGCAAACATGACTTCCTGTCTAGAAGAGTCAGGAGAACTAACTGAAGCATAAGTAGAACAGACAACATACTGCAGTGAAGAGAGAATAGGCAGGGTCATAAATACATACTAAAGGGGCACAAATAAAAACTTCTCTTCGGTAACTGAGAGACAGCAGAAAGAATAGCAGCCACAGAGCATTAGGTTTTGAGTATAAACCGAATAATAAATGTGCAGGGAGTATGCAATAGAAACTATAAAAGTTTACTGCAAGATGTTTAAAAGCCTCAACCAAACCAGAAGACATACCATGTGTGTAGTGGACAGGAAAACTTAATATTTTAAAGATGCTAACTCTTCACAAATTAATACATCGCTTAATACAGTTTCAGATAAAAGAGAGAAAGAAAGCTTTTAAAATGAAAATGGAAATAAAATTCATTTAACAGAAAAAGAAGTCGGAAATATTTGAAATGAAGCAAGGAGGGGAAACACATAAACATACTATAAAGATGGTAAATGTCATATAAATAGTATTTCACTAGCATGCAGATGGACAAATGTCAATGAAACACAACAGAATGGCCTCAAACAGACCGTGGTCTACCCCACAACAGCCACCAGAGCAAAGGTAATGGACAAGGGAAAGCAATGTTAGCGTGCTAGTTCACATCCCAGACCCACCATGATTAATTCCAGATGGCTTGAGAAGTTTGAGTACAAATGATATTGTGGAATGACTAGAAATAAAAGTGAACACAGCTGATCCTAACATAGGAGAGAGAGAAAAATCTTAAGTGCAAAAATGAAATAAGCCGGGCGGTGGTGGCACACATCTTTAATCCCAGCACTCGGGAGGCAGAGCCAGGCAGATCTCTGTGAGTTCAAGGTCAGCCTGATCTACAGAGCGAGTTCCAGGAAAGACACAAAGCCACACAGAGAAACCCTGTCTCGAAAAACCAAAAACAAAAAACAAAAAACAAAAAAAAAAAATGAAATAAGCCTGGGACTGCAGGTGAATGACAGAGCACATGCTTAGCATACACAGGACCATGTTCAATTGCCAGTACCTCCAAAATAAATGGGGTGGGAAGATGGCTCGGCCAGGAAAGGCTTTTGCTGTGCAAGCTTGGCAACCTATGTTCGACCTCAGAACTCATGTAAGGGTAGAAGGAGAGAACTAACTCCACAAAATCATCCTCTGACCTTCAAACCATACCATGGCATGAACACATGCACACACACACACACACACACACACACACACACACACACACATACATGCACACATGCACGCATGCAAAAACCACACATAGTAACATTAATAGCAATAAATTAAAACTTTAAAATTTTAAAAAGAAAGACCCAGACTAACCAGTAGTACCTTTTCCAAATCATTTGACTCATCATATTTGTTAAACATGTTAATATTGTTAATGTGTGTGTATGTGCAAGTGTGCATGCACATGTGTGTACATGTATGTGTAGACCAGAGGACAGCCTCTGCTATGATTCTTCAGGTGCA